TGGGGGGGGGGGGGAGAGGGCGGAAGAAGGAATCCTCTATTGCGACTTTGTGAACGATTTCATCGCCCAGTTCATCGCCCTCATCCTCAGAATATGTGCGGGGATGAGGTCACGAGTGGTCGCATCATGTCAGGGAAAGGAGGCGCCTTGGGGGTGAGGATGGGGAGGCGTCGAGAATGAGAGGAGGAGGAGGAGGAGGAGGAGGAGGAGGAGGAGGAGGAGGCAAGAGGAGAAGAATGAGATGAGGGGAGGACGAGCACGGAGGTCGATGGTGAGGAGTCATCAGGAGAGCAGCGGGCAAAGACCGACTTTCAATGTACAATGAAGACATCGAGATGGTCCGAGGAGCGGGTCTTGGTCCCGTCCCGGCCCGTAGCGGCACAGCAAGGTCTCTGCTGTGGATAATTTCTTTAGCTCTATGGTTCCCTCTCCTCGAGTCCTACACTCAGAGAGGACGCATGTCGGAGCCGGCGGCTAGCTTCCCCAACGAACATTTCCGCGTGGCTCTAGTCCTCCGAGGAGGGAAGCAGGGGTGAGAGGTGTCATGCTCTTCTTTTCCTTGACTCGATTGGGCAGGAGAGGCCTTGATGAAGCCACGCTGGCTACTCAAGGGGACCCTTTGATGAGCCTCTTGACTGAATTCCCTGCTCCTGCCTGTCAATTCGAATCGACGGCGCCTGTCATGGTGATCGGCGAGGCCTTGCTGGTGTAGGATGATGACGTTGTGTGCTCAGCTGAAAGTGAGAGCCCCAACGACGAAGGGGAAGACTCCGCCAAAGGTAGACAAACTGGTAGGGAAGTGGGAGAGTCACGAAAGCTCCAGACACTGGTACCAGCAGATCAAGTTCTTGAACGGATTTATGCAGAACCAGACAAGAAATACCCCAGTAGACAGGTGAAAAGAGTCAATGGTTGAAGGTTGTCGTTGTCTGATGATCATTGAATCTCAGCGTGTGAAGAAGAAAGAAAAGAATGAAAAAGCGGAAAGAGGAGTGAAAAATGCAAAAGCGAGGAACAAAGGGCGCAAGGCTGCAGTGAATGATGATCCAGAAGGCTTACCAGGAGAGGAGGAGGAGTTGTCCGAGAAGAATGTAGAGCTACCTTCTTCTGAGAAGCTCCTTGAAAGAAAGTCCGAACTGTCACGGGTCCGCTCATTGTGGAGTCAGACAGGCAGGATGTTCCACTGGGAAGGCGCTGAACAAGGAGAAGAGAAAGAGGAAAACGAACGAGAAAGGCAGGAAGAAACTCCTGAGAGGGAAGAGATCCAATCCTTTGACAAGAAAGCCAAAGAAAAGGTAGAGCTTGTTGATGTCTTCAGCATGAGCAGGGCTGTTGATTGCTGCACAGGACTTGGTAACGATGATGGAGGAAACTTATGGGACGAGAACAGAAGCGGATGGAAAGAGATTCAAATTGAAGACTAGATGGATAGAAGACGGGATTATGCAGATAGAGGAAGAAAGTTCGGAAGAGGGTGAGGATGAACACTGTGATACGAGAGTTGAAGCACCTCTCTTAGCAGATGAGGCGATGAAGAGCTCGACAAAGGAGGAGGAAGCTGAGGAGGAGCTGAGTCAGGAGAGGGATCATTCCAAGATGAAGATGAATCCTCATAGGAGAGCGCATGAGCTGAAGAAGCTGACTAAGAAGAAGGAGGAGGAGGAGCAGGACCGAAGAGTGAAGGAGGGCCGCCAGTCGATGAAAGCAGGTAGAGGGCAGGCACGAGCGTGTCAATTCCATGACAAGGTCCTTGGGCAGTCGCACTCATCAACAAGCTGAGGAAGAGGCATCAGGTTGGTCGATCCGTCTCTCTCCTTCTCTCCTGACCATGGGGCTCAGAGGATGATCTCGAAGCTGGAGTCACGCAGGGATCCGACCAGTGGAAGCTTCCCCTTCGGGCGTGTAAGTCGCGTTGCTGCGATCTCCTACTCCTCGTTCACTTATTTCATTCAGCCGTTGAAACAGCATGCGAAGGACCAGAAGCAGAAGCAGAAGCCACAGGTTCCCTCCTTCCCCTTCTCCTGCTCCTGCTCCTGCTCCTGCTCCTGCTCCTGCTCCTGCTCCTGCTCCTGCTCCTGCTCCTCAGTTTTTGCAAGTTTTGTTCTGTTTTTTCTCCTACCAGCAGAATTAGGGCATTCCTTGCCCCAACACCTTTCCCTTGTATCCTCTCTCCGCTTTTCACTTCTGCCACAGCAGGTCTGGAGGCGGCCAGGACCATCAGTAGTGAACGCTCAACCGAAGCACATCATCTTTGACTGAATCGCTACCCTTGGTTGCTTCTACTTCAATCACCATCTCTTCTCCTCCTATGTTTGAGTGCTGCTACTTCGCGTCTGCATCGTCTCTTCGTATGTCCCCGACGTGATCTCTGCTATCGATCTGCTTCTCCCTATGAAACTTTTCGCGCTGATCCACCTCGGCGTCAAGTCCGACCGCTGCGAGTCCCTGGAGGTCCCTCGCTTTCGACTGACCGTCTCCTCCTCCTGCCCACCCCCTTCCTCTGCCGCCTGCTCCACTGCATCAGCGCGAGCTTCACTGATTCCTCTGCGCTCACCTTGGAAGATTTCGTGTGCATTTCAAGGCCCCGGAGGTCGGGAAAGCTCATCCTCCTCGAAACCATTCTCTCCCTAAGCGATCCCAGCTCTGAGCCAGGAGCAGTAAACCCCCTGCAGCACACGTCAAGGGAAAGAAGGAGATGAAACAAACTTGAGCTCTCACTTCCGTCCTGGCGTCCTCCCATACCGCCATGAAAGATCGTCTTTATCTTCCTCACTCGTCTGCTTGCAACCTCAGACGTGAGATAAAATGCAGAGGGTACCGACTGCATCTGCTGCCAGCTCAGGGTCCACGATCATGGATGATTGTGTCATCGAGGAGACAGTGAAGCTGCAGCCAAGTCAATGCAGGAGACAGAGGAGCCGACTGCAAGAGGAGCATCGGGAAGAGACAAACAAGCAAGGGAGAGGACAGGAGGAAAGGATGACAAAGTTCTATGAAGAAGGAAGGAAATCTCACCGATTGTCGCACTCTGAAAGTTTTCCGGGCCTATCGCTCGAGTGCCAGACTCTCCCATAGACCGCGCACTGTCGGATGTCAATCTCCGAGTTTGAGGCGTCCCAACCAGCGTAGAAAGCTGCATGATTGTTCTCCTTCAGAATGCATCCCCGGACTTTCACCTTCCAGCAGCAACGTCACTTCCCTCTCCCTTCTCACTCATGCCTACCTTTGCATTGTTGTCTACTGCTATGCCGTAGCCATTTCGCTGGAAGACGCAGCTTTCAATGACAGCCTTCCCTGAATCACAGCATTTCAGCGAGTCCAGAGGAGGTGTATGCAGGATCCAGGGCAAGAATGCTTTCTGACCATTTTCAATGAGCCTGATTCCCGGACTTTGATATTCAGTCTCGTCAATCTGATCCAACAGCAGTGAGAAGGAGCAGGAACGCGTCCTCAGTCCACCTGTGAGTTCTGAAGGCAACACCAGCTGCTGTCCATGATCATCACGCAGCATACTGCTCGTCGAGCTCCCCCTCCCATCCCCCCCACCTGAGTAAAGACTCAGCCCATGCAATGCACTCTCCATTCCTTGCTGTCCTCCTGCTCCTGCTCCTCCCTTTCTTCCTTTCTGATTCCCGATTGACAGGTCAGCGTTGGGGTACTTACTCCACATCGTCTGACGGTAACTCTTGATGACTTGGCGCACATCATGGCGTACGCACCAGCGCATCTGCAAGACAATCAGGCGAAGGGGGGAGAAATGATGAAGGTATCAAGCCGAAATGTGCAGAAAGAAATTGAAGTTCGCAGAGCAAGAGAAAGCGAAGATGTGGAGGCAACAACCTTATTTGACAAGTTTCGAACATCCAAGGGTTTCCTCTGACTAGAACGCAGGGCCAGCTCACTCCCTCCGTCTCGTATGCGCACTTGAGGCCTTTGAAGCTTCTTTCCTTTAGTGCTCTCCCTTGCCGCCTCTTCCCTCACCTTCCTCCCGTGTTGATGGAGATGGACCATCTGCCCCACAGACGAGCGTCGTACTCCCCTATCTTCCATGCTGTATCAGCGAGCGCTCACCTCAAGCTTCCAGTGGGAAGTACCACGTGCATCCATCTTATCTTTCCTCGCGTGTCGTGGGGGCCTTGCAATGTAATCTTCGCGTCCCAGTGATGATCTCCCTGAGGCTCAGTCAGGAAGGCAAGGAAGAGCTTGTTGGACCTTGCGAGCATAGATCCTCTGACCGCTCCTCGCCTGCTCGATGGCGTCCTTCATGCTCTCATACTTCCAACTGCGTGAGGATATCAATCAGATTTCTAACTGTGGCACGTCATCATCACAATCACTCCCCAAACATTGAACCACTTTGACACGAATATCATCGTCTTCTTAAAGCATGACAAGCACTGCAAGCAGATCCTCTCGCTCAACACAGATTCGCGTATCATCATAACCAAGTCAATACCTCGGTACCACATGATCATCGTTGAGAGACTCGACAGGATATTCGAAATCTTCCCATGGCTAGAGAGTCAGGAATCAGTTCTTGCGTCTAACACAAGACTGCAGACTTACAGGTGGCTCAGGGGAGCTGTCACTTTGCATCTTCTCTTTGAATCTCCGGTAACTATCAAAGTCCAGCAGTTCAGGAAAAACATTCAATCTTTGGATCATCAAAAAACCTCAAGAACGGCCATGTGACTGCAGATGAAATCTCCGCGATAAGATGCTCAAACAACCAATACAAAGTCCACAAGCCTGATGCTTCATTGAGGGCCCTCACGACAAGGGAACAACGAAGAAACCTCTTGCTAAGGAGGAGAAGACAAGAGGCTCGAGCGAGGTGTAGGCGTGAGCTCCCTTCGAAGGTGGAGATGCAGTCCCTGCGCAGGACATCAACATCCTAGCAATAATGGCGTTAAGTCTTACCCGTGAGGCTGGTTCGACGAAGCTGAGTGTCAGCTGTTGCATTATTGTGAGAACAAGTTGGAGGAATGATCTGGGTTACAACCAGTGTGGATGCCGGCCACATGCAGAGCCCCGTAGATGGCGACGATGAGAGCTGCGCTTCTCAGGTTCTTGACCATGGCGAGGAGAGTGCCGAGGTAACATTCAAAGGAGGCCTCTCACACCGAGCCGAACATCGTCCCAGGATCGGCGGACTGACATGTCTGCGACCAGAAGACTCTCTCACTGCCTGCCTGCCTGCCTGCCTGCCTGCCTGCCTGCCTGCCTGCCTGCCTGCCTGCCTGCCTGCCTGCCTGCCTGCCTGCCTGCCTGCCTGCCTGACTGACTGCCTTCCTTCCTTCCTGACCTCTTTCTTCGTCTTTCTGTTCTCCTTTCTTTCCTTCACTGCCGCTGGCGATCCGCCCCTAGCATTGATCCACCCCTCCCTTTTAAAACCACACTTTGCTACCGACTAGCTCGGAGGGTGGGGTCCCGTGAATATCCGTGCAGGTCATGCAATGCAGCCTTGGCGCTGCGGGAAAGCGGTACGAGAGGAGGAGGAGGAAGACTCAGAGGGCGATGAGAAGGATGAAGAGGATGAAGAAAACGAGGATGATTATGTGATAGAGTGGGGACAGGGGAGCAGAAAAACGCGAAGGAGGTGGAGAAAGGAGAGAGGGAACGAAACGGAAGGAAGAGAACATTTGAACATGAGGACGAGGACAAGGACGAGGAAGACAAGAAGGACCTGGAGAAGACGTGAAAGGATGGTGAGGAAGAAGATGACGAGGAATAGGAAGGCTTGCATGATGATCATGACACAAGCATAGCGGGCAAGGATTCTCACAACCCCGAGGGTGAGGATAAGCCTAAAGGAAGACGGGGATAAGGACACGGGGCCGAAGGAATGTGGGGCCAAGAGCTCGTTGAAGGGCAAGGAAAGGAGTTCTAGGAGGGCAGGGGAGATAGCATGTAAAGAGGAATGAGCGCGTGCCCCTCAGATCATGTGATCGGTGTTGAAATCTTCCTTCCAGCTTGTGATAGCCCTCCTGTCTCTGGCTCGCAGGTACTTGTGGACTGGAACTCACTGCCTCCTATAACGTGAAGAGAAGTCTGGCTACTAGCAGGTCAATCAGCCCCTTCCTCTTCTGTCTCGCCGTCGCTCCTTGCGCCATGTCCTGGAGGTTACTTCTCTCTCTCTTTTTCCCCATCTCAACCTTCTTCCTAGCCTCAACGTAGGTTTTCACCAGCTGCGTTCAGTCGCGCTCAGGCCTGCTAAGGAGGCCATCATCTCGTCCTCCCCGGCCACGCGATCCATGTGGACAGCATGGAAAGCGATGTACCACACGGAGGGGGAAAGGAAGCCTCTGTCACGATCCGCCAGCGGAGCCTCAGATATGTGAGTGAGCGAGACTTGCACGGACAGTGATCAGTGACGGAGATGCTGCTGCAGTCGATCGCCTCTGAGAGCCGAGAAGAAGAGGCGAGCTGCCTCCATGATGCCGCTCAACTGTCAGAAGCAGGAGGCCTCCAGCAAGCCTGCTGGGACAAAGCAAAACAGAGGGATCGAAAGGGAGAGGGCGAAGCGACTGGCGACAGATCTGGGGCTCGATGGCATCTTTCCCGTCCACAAGCCTCAAAACTTCACCTCCTACGATGTTGTCGCCAAGGTTCCCGAAGGAAGAGGTGGACGACCGTGACACTTGTTCAGATCCGATCAATGATTAGCAGGCACCTACGAAGCCTCCAGCCTGAACTTACAAGGAAAGGGTCAGTGCTCTTGTCATATTCATCTTCCTTCTTCATCCTCATGCTCCTCTTCTTTCCCGTCGTCCTCTGTTGCCCTCTTCCTGTCCGCAGACGCCAAAATTCCACTACTCCTAATACCTCCTCCCTTTGCTCTTTGGATCTGCACTTTACGATCGTAACGCTCAGGGCGGAGATCAAAGTCGGGCATGGTGGGACGCTGGACCCCATGGCTACCGGTGTGCTTGTAATCGGTGTAGGAAGTGGCACACGAAAGATGGACTTCTTCACCAAGGGAAGGAAGGCTTATGAAGCGGTGATGCAGAACAAAACAGTTGTTCGCCTGTGCTCCCCTGTCCTTTCTATCTTTCCATCTGCCTATTTATCCTTTCCATTCATCGTCATCGTCATCATCTCTTATCTTTTCCCGTCTTCTCCTCTCTTTCTCTTTCTCTTTTATATTCCCCCGTTGTGTCCACTTTCCCATGCTCAATCTTCGCTCTTACTCCCCTGTTCTTTCCCATAACTTTTTGCAAACAGGTCGGAAGATTCGGTTTCTTCACGGACACGGGCGATGCCGAGGGAACGCAGGTGTGGGGTTGTGAACAAGTTTGATGCGGAGGAAACGAGGGTGGTTGTGAGATTCGGCATGGAAGTGACTTGAACGTTTGAAGATCGGAGAAGTTCACCCCTGGGAAGATTTGACCGATGAGAAGCTGATCAAGGTCCTAGACTCGTACATTGGCGACATCCTGCAGGTCGTCCCCCCCCCCTCCCCCTTCCTCACTCCCATCTCACCTCCTTTACTCCAGCGGCCCCCCATGTACTCTGCCGTCAAGATCCAGGGAGTGCGAGCGTACGAGTTGGCAAGGAAAGGGGTCGAGGTGAGCCGCTGCTTCCGACGCTCTTCCCTCCCCGTCCTGATTTTTCCCTCAAGGTCGAGATGAAGCCAAGGCCAGTCAGGGTCCACAGCATCAAGCTGATGCGTCCATTTGCTGGTACTGGCGCCTTTTCCCCTCCTGCATCCCTTCCTGCCGCTCCTCCTCTTCCATGCAACTTTGCTCCTTTACCTCACTCCTCTGGTGCCAGAGACAGCACCGGATTTCCACATCTATGTGGATTGCGGAGGAGGAACGTACATTCGCAGGTTTCCACGCATCTCTTCCCTTCCCCCCTCTCATGATTTTTCCAGCCTCATCTCCGACATCGCTCTCGACCTTGGCACCGCTGCTCACATGACGAAATTGGTCCGCACGCATCAGGCAAGACGATCCATTCCGTTGTCTCTCCAACCCCCCCCCCCCCCCCCCCCCCCCCCCATCCGCCGCTCGTCCATGTCCTGCCCTCCCCCTTCCCACTCACGTCCCCCGTCCCCCGTATCCCTCCGTACTCCGCTTGACCGTCAGTCTGCGTTCCAGGGAAGGTTTCAGCTGGAGGACTGCTTGACGCTGGACGACATGACGCCGGACAAGATAGTCGCGAGCATCACCAAGTCGAATGAGCTGCTGTAGGGGCAGGAGATTTTACAGGCGTTTTTCACTGCTGAAGGCAGAAGATAGAGATGAGATCTAGAGAATGAGGGGGATGAGACCTAGAGAATGAGGGGGATGAGACCTAGATTCTTCTTCCTCCCTTACGCTTGTTAAACCCAAACCAAGGAGCCAGGTGGACGAGATTCGATGGGGCGAGCCCGGTCCTCGAATGCCTCGTAGAAGTCGAAAGTCCTTCCTTGCAGCGAAGGATCACGATGACGAAGAGGTGCAGGGACGGGCGTGGCTGGGGAAGGAGCAAGAGCAGGGCTAGGGAAGGAGCCAGGGGCAAAGAGACGGGTAGACACAACATCAGGAGAAGGTGCAGGAGCAGGAGAAGGAACTGCAGGACGGGACGGAATCCCGGAAGGAGGACGAGGAGGCGACAAGATAGGGGGAGGCAGAGAAGAATTCCCTGTCTGATTGGTCCTGTCTTGGCTGGAACTGAGCAAGTTCAAACTGCCCCTTGCATCGCGCACGACTGAAGTAAAGTTTGCATGCAGCTGTTGGACATCCGAGGCTCTGTCGTGAAGCTTGGGAGGGATGTTGACTTTTGCTTCCGGCGATTCTTTCCTCACAATCCTGGTGTCCGCTGCTCTTTTCTCATCCTTCATCGCATGATCCGCCATCTGCTCTCGGTCATTCTGCGGCGTTTGCCCACTTGAAAGCACCGCCTCCTCGTCAACTTCCAACCCCTCGATCACGAACTTTGGAGGAAGGGTGCTGGACAAGTTCGTACTTTCATCAAGTCCTCCCTTTACGAATAGGGCTCTTCGCTCGTTCTCAGCCATCAAGCTTCTCTGCATGTCAGCTTCTGTCGCTTGCATGCTCTTTCTCCTCCTCTCGTAGTCGCCATCTCTGGCTATCAGCGGTATGCTGCTCCCTTCCTCGGAAGTAATTGAATTCTGCATGTCCTCCTCAGTCGCTTTCACAATCAAGCACGTCGAAGCCTGTGCCGCGGCATCAAGCGCATCCTTGTGTTCAGAACCATAGATGTCCGTGTAGATTTGCCGGCACTGATCGAACAGGCTCCTTGCTCTGTCGTAGTGCCCGATGCTCTTAAGAAGGAGTGCAGTGTTGTACTTGCTGTCTGCGATGGGCGAGGAGTAGAACTCTTTCTCCGAGGCAGACAGTCTCTCAAACTCCACAGGAAATGTTGTTTCCGCTCCCTGGAAGCACATGTCCGCCTCCACCACGTGATGCACGCGAGACTTGAGCAAGCTCTTCTTGTCTTTGTCCTGCAGGCTGTTGTGCGATGGAGTTCTTCCCGATGTTGCCCCTGGTGTCACTGTCTTTCCTGCAGCAGCTCCCGGAGTGAGCGTCATGCTCGGAGAGGGAGAGATAGGATTGAAAGGCACCCTTGCTGCAGCTGGGCTGGGCATAGAGGATGGGGAGAGTTGCGAGTACGAATGATGTTTAGGTTCACTTTGTGGTGTCCGCGAAGGTATGACTCTCGGAGCTGCTGAGTGTGCAGCATAGTTGGTGGGAGTTCTTGCTTTGCTTGCAGGAGATTGATCTGAGCGTTGCCTGTTCGTCACGAATGAGATGTAAGAAGTTGTTCGATGATTAGACTGAGATGGATGATTGGGTTGAGACCTCGACTGTCTGTTTTGAATGGCAGACTCGTCGGGACTTTTCCCCTCAATCCAGTCCAGAAATTTTGAGGCTTCTCCTCCCATGATCAGAAAATTCCAAAATTACACGCCAAAATCATGCAAGTTCCGCTGTGAGTCTGCGTTAACAGCACCAACAATCTCTAAGCACCAATAATCGCCGATAGAGCGATGGTGCGGGTTGAGAGGAGCGGTAACAACGTGCTATTTGTGTAAGAGGTCGGAACAAGCCTGGTTCCGGCAGTGACTTGTTCCTTGCTTGTCCTGAGATGACAGATATTGGACACGATACCGAGGAACCAGACGCAAAGAGACAAGGTACGAGAACGGATACCGAAGGGCAAGGAAGACGAAGAGGGAGGGAGCAAGGCGAGGGAGGGAGTAGAGATGAGCTGCTAGGAGATGAGAAGGAGGCAGGGAGGATGGCGATGGCAGGGAGAAGGAGTATGAGGAGGCGCAAGGCGTCAGGCCATTGTGATCAAAAAGAACGTCAAATGGCATCACCCTACCCCCAGCAATGCCGGAGTTTGAACAATCACCGGTACTTTGGATTTGCAAAAAAGAGGGTACTTTCCAGTCCATAAGTAGTGGTAGGAGAGGGACCCCTCCTAGGAACGCCACCCACCCCCACGGCAGCGGGTAGGCCTCGGAACTCGGAGAACAGAAGGCAACAAGAATAGTTTTAAAAACTGAGATGCTTCGCACACTAAACTCTTCGCCGCGCCGGACTCGGAGTCGGCCGCGCGGCCGGGCCTCCGAGCCCGGGAGCTCCGATCGGACTCGGGCTCCCGACTACGACCCCTTGAAGTCCAGGAGGGCCCAGGCTAAACTGAGTGTCATACAGGCGGCAGGACTGAAGAGTCACCGGGAGTCTACTAAACTCCAAGTTTTGGTTCTCGGATTTCAATTCATTGAGCTCAAAGTCACAGACGGTCTGCTGCTGCCCGAACTGCTTTTTCTAGACTGAGTTGACGATCCGAATGAAGTCAGCATAGATCTGAGTACAGGCAAGAATCAGCCCTACAATCCACCACGTCCACTCCTCTTACCCCAGCAGCAGTGACAGCAGCTCCAGCGCCAGGGCCCTGGATGACAAGGGGCTGAGGAGTGTATCGCTCCGTGTCAAAGGCCACGATGTTATCTGCCCACTGCGTGCCGGCGAAAGGATGGGTCTTGGGGTACCGGGCCAACTTCACAGAGCACTTCTTGTTCTCGACGTCGACCATGCCGACATAGCGGAGCACCTGAAACACGAGTAGACACGCTCAGATCTGTGAGCCGAAATGATGTCAAGGCATGTAGAAGAACCTCGCCAGCATCGTTCGCGGCCTTGATCAGAGCGTCCTTCTCAGCATCGTAGGCTACCAGCTCCTTCACGAAGGCATCAGCCAGGTTCTCTCCCTCCTTGGGCTTCCAGTCCTGGAGGGGCTTCGGCACGAGGCTTTCGACAGGAATCTGACACCAAATGTCACCGACGAGAAAGGTTGTGACCTGAGACTCACGTCCGACAGCTCGACGTCGATCCCGCACTCTCTTCCCAAGATAACAACTTTGCGAGCAACGTCCATCCCAGCAAGGTCGTCACGAGGATCAGGCTCAGTGAAACCCTTGTTCTTGGCATCAGCAACAACATCGCTGAACTTCATTCCAGGCTTGTAAGTGTTGAAGATGTAGGAGAGAGTTCCGGAGAAGATACCCTTCGAAGCCAGTCATTCCAAGACTCCACCACCCGACATCCGTCGCACCTCGATCTTCTTGACCTTATCACCCGTCTTGATAAGGTCAGTCTGAAGAACATGAAGAATAGGGAGTCCTGCTCCCACAGTCGTCTCATAGCCTGTACAAGCTCAGATGAGCAACTTCGACCCAACAGTCGCGTCTGCATACCCCACTTTCCAGCAGTCTGCTGCATGTTCATGCAAGACTTGTAGCGATTGATGGGACCAGAGCCAACTTTCTTGTTTGGCGTGATCACATGGACTCCCATCTTGAGCCAAGACTCGTACATGTCGGAGACCTGCCAAGCCAAGGTGTCAACTTAAAGGGCAGCACGTGTTATGGACCATACCGGCTCAGACGAAGTAGTGTCGAAGATGACAGCGATGGGAGCGACAGACTTCAAGTGCTCAGCCATCTTGGCATAATCTGCCTCCTGTCCAGCAGTCTTTCCAGATTTGAACGACTGAGGATCAGGAGTCACAAGTGTCACCAGCCTTTACATAGGAATGTCAAGCCCTCACGTTGACTTGGTCGACAGTGATGTAATCATTCTTGCACCTGGGTAGAGATCAGGTATATCCATGGCATTGGACCGGAGAGGATGGGTTCAGACTTACAGCATGACTGGTTTGCCATTTTGACGGCTCGCAACAGCAGCTACGGTGACCTGTTTCACCACCTGTCAAGGGAAACGAGCCGTGCAAACAAGAATTGTTACATCCATGTTGCTTTTTGCAAGGATGCTTTTAGTCTTCTCAAGCTGGTTGAGAAGCTCTCCTCCGACAAGGCCAGGTCCAACAATACCAACCTAAGATCATGTGAATGCGTGAAACAGGATTCCCAAGTTGTTCATGAGATATTTGAATACAGGACTGTACATGAGAACTTTCATGGTCGAAACCAATAAATCTCAAGCACATTATTCCTCAAAATAGTGATGGATGAACCGATCAATGTAGATAAAAGTCGCTCTCACCGCAACCTTCTTGGCAGCCATGGAAGTCGCAAGGGCCGCATTCTCAGCAGTAAACCTCCTGACGCGCCCGTTGGAAGTGAAAGAGGGTCCGCGAAGGGCAGGAGCAACGAAAGCCTGACCTCCTCTCCTGAGAATCGAGGCGCTTCCTCCTCCTACCACCATGAAGGCCTCGGCTGTCGTCGCCGCCAGCATCAGCATCGTCACTGTGGCCATAGCGATCCTTTATTTGCAACCCTACTACCCCCGAATTCATTTGTACCCCTACCCCCCTTAACGAAATATCCCATACCTCTACCCCACATCTATCTATGCATTCACCATCTTTTTTCTAATATCTGTACCCACCCCACAACTCAAGTACCCCTCTAAGATACTCCCTCCTGTACCCCCACCCCTAAGATCCTCCTCACATTCCCCATGTCTAAAACTGGCTACCCCCTAGTTTTCCCCGTCCAAGTACCCACACTCGTTTCAGGATCCTCCACCCCTACCCCCACCCTGTCATCCCTCGTGCAGGGGAGAGTACCCCCTGGTCCAGTTTCTCGTTCAAGGTGAGTCTACTCAGATTACTGTAGGTAGGGGTACATGAAGTACGGGTACGAATGAGGATATCTGGTACAATTAGCAGGGGTAGTCTTGCTGAGACGAGGGGATGGAATTCACGATGGGTGATTGGGCTGTGATTGGTAGGGGTGGGTGTGAGAAAGAGGCGCCGACAATGGCGGTCAAGAAGAGGGCGGGAAGAAAATGGAGTAGGGCGGGGAGAGGAGGGAGAGGAGGAAAGAATGGACGGTGAGATGTGGGTCAAGCAAGAGGATGAGCGAGTACCGTGTGCAAGTGAAGGTAGAGAGAGAAGTGGAGGGCAGGCAAAAGGAACAACCTGGAGGTTGAGCTGCAGGGGTCCAAGGACGGAGAGGGCAAGGCAACAGGAAGAGGGGGGTTGCCAGGTACATGTTGGAATGGAAATCCTGACAGCAGATAAGGATTGAGTGAATGGGTGGGAAACAAAGGAAACATTGAGGATCAGACACTCTTACTGATTAGATGAGCTTTGGAAGAGTGATCGTAGAAAGAACAGCAGACCTCAAGTGATATGTGCGTGTCATGGTTCACCTTTGAATGAGGCCCAAACTCCCTTATTGTTCAATTTGTATGGGCTGAGATGATTTCTTTTCAAGATAGGTGTGGTAAAGCCACTGCATGTAGATTGGTTTGAAGGAAGAAATCCCTGGATTTGCATTTAGGAACAGAAAATCTGGCAAGATGGAAGATGCAGAGGCAAGAGCGAGGAGGTTGCGGGAGCTGAAAGAGCGAGCCAAACGCGCACGTGAATCGGGAGACAACAACGAGGAGGAGGCGCCCAAGATCAAGTTCCGCAACTATCAACCCAAGTCTGATGAGTTCAAGACCGCGGTGGTGGAGCCGGTGAAGGTCTCGGTAGACAAGGAACTGGAACAGGTAGGAGCGGCTCCGCAGGGTAACGAGATACAGCTGGATGTTGCCCCGAAAAAGCCGAACTGGGACTTGAAGCAGCATATCCAGAAGAAACTCGACAAGTTGGAGAGGAGGACGCAACAGGCCATTGTCGAGATGATAAAAGACCGAGTGTCGCAGACGCAGGGTGAAGATAGCGGTGCTGATAGCAGCGGTAGGATGTTGGCTGCTGCTGTGGCTGGGAAAGTCTCTTGAGCTTGCAGAGAGGGAAAGGAGCATGTTGTTTTGAGTTGCTAGTCTTCCGTTGTCAGGATTTGAATGAAAACGTGTTTCTATGCCATCTCTCTCCTCCTAGAGGCTTTGCCGCAGGTAGGCGCTGTCCGTGACCCTCCTGCAGAGCAGTCAAGCAGGTAGAGGCGATCGCGTGAGCATGGGTAGGGGATCAGCAGCATGTCACCTGCGTCGTGGGCTGGACGCCGGGCTCGAGTTGCGGCTGACGGGAGCAGTCAAGAGGGAGAGGCAGTGAGAACCTGCATGCAACACCTGGAGATACAGGGAGTGGAGGTGCCGGAGAGCGGAGGAGTGCGGAAGACGCTGCCCTGGTTGCTAGTGCCCCTCACCTGTCAGCCCCACGGGTCAACGGGGAAGGAGGGGAGGAGCGAAGGCTAGTCTCACAGCCTGCAGAGCCTTCAGAGCCTCGTCCCTCATCAGCACGGCAACGTCCCCGTCGATGTTGTGCATCTGCGAGCAGACGGTGAGAGGAGCGGAGGGGGATGGAGCAGCGCAGCGGTCGCTTCCTCGCACCATCCCCATCCACAGCTGCTCGAGGACTTGGATGGCGCCTGCCTCTTGCAACCTGCCCCTCTGCAAGTCTCCCTCCCTGGCTATCGCCGCTACCTGCGGGCCTGTGAGGAGCAACGCGAGAGAGGGCAAGCAGAAGGGAAGAGAGAGGAGATGGAAGAGAAGGGGGAAAAGCGCAAGGCCAACAAGATGAACTGGGAAAGAGAAGGAGGGGGACTAGGAGGAAGAAAAGGGGCTAGGAAGACGAGCTGGTACCGCGAACGCAGCATCTGCCTTGAGACGCAGGAGGCTCTCAGTGGGATAGAGCCAGCGATATCGCAGTCTGAGAATCTTCATCAGCGCCTGTACGGCTCCTGCTCGCACCATCGACTCGACGTAGTCGCTGCTTCCACCTGGAGTGATGGAGCTCAGGGGAGGGAATGGAAGCCGGAGAGGGCAGAGAGGACGGAGGAGGAGCGGGGGGGGGAGAACGAAACAGACCGGCAAGGAAGCCAAGGGATCGAGCAGCGCAGGCCTTGCAGTCAGGAAGAAGGCAGATGATGCGGAGGAACCAGCCTCCTTGTAGCTCGCTCACAAGCGGCTGGACCTGGAAGGGAAGTTACCCTTCCTCCTTACTCCCTCTGCTCCCGCCACCATTTCCATCAGGCGCAGGTCCTTCTGGAGCTTCGAGATGTGCATCCCCTCTGAGGCAGCGACTCTTCACCTCCTCCCCGTCACTTGCGCATGCTGCACCGTCTTTCAGGGGCTTCGAGAAGAGCGACGACGCCAGCGAGCTCAGCATCTTGGCGGCCTGACCTTGACATGAGCGGTGGGGGCAGCCCCAGCAGGATGTTCACCTGCTTCCTCGTCTCAACATCCCTTGAGCTGAGAACTTCGGTGATCAGCTGGGAGGATCCTGGGAAGGAGAGGACAGCTTCTGCCCCCAGGAACCCTGCAGGGGTTCGTCAGGACTCCTCGCGACCCTCCTGCGTTTGCGGCACCGGACTCAGCGATTTGGGCAAGGCAGCGCAAGCATTGCTTCGTTATGCTTGCTTTCTTCTCCCTCTGCAGCAGGTTAATGAGGATCTTCACGCCGTCTGCGTGACGCGTCAGCGCCGGCTCACGATGTGCGTCCCGACCTTTCTCGAGCAGCGAGTTCACGACGACTCGAGATGAGCACATGTTCGCCAGGGCCTCTGCTGCTGCCTCCAGCACCTCCAGGTTCTGACAGAGCCCCGTCAGCCTGCCCTACCCCAGCTGTAGCCTACCTGCTCAGACTTGATGACGTCTGTCAAGATCACGATCCCATCCCAGTGCACGATGTGCTCCTGCCGCTCCTGAGCCAGCAGGACTTCAGCTGGGGAGAGAAGCTCTACCGCCCGCAGACCTGCCCGCCTTCTGCGAACTCCGCGATTCTTTTGCAGGCCTTGACCTTCTTGCCAGGAGGGACGTTTGAGTGCTGGACAACCGCAAGCAGTTCTGGGATGCTGTGATCCTGCTCCTCGGATAGTCAGGAAGAGGAGCGAGAGGAGGGGAGGGAGGAGGGGAGGGTGGGGAGAGGCAGGAGGAGAGGCAGGAGGATAGGGGGGATGGGGAGGGGATGGGGGAGAAGCAGGGAAGGGAGAGGGTTGTGGTAGTCTGACATGCAGGCTGTAGAACCAGGACGGGACAAGTTTCGCTGCCGTTGCCTTGATGACGTTGCGGATCCCCTGGCGATGGAGGATGGCGACCAAGACCTTGATCTCCTGCGTCATCACAGAGGCTGAAGGAATGAGTCAGCAAGACCCTAGCTCGAGCCCGCTGGACCCTGACGGGCCTGCGGGATGCTTGCGGGACGAGTTTGACAAGTGCAGGGGAGTTGACGGGAGATGGGAGATAGCTGGGAGGATGAGCACCTGAGACTGCGACGACAACTTTGGATATCCAGCTGATACGTGGTTTGCACCGCAAGAAGAGCTGGCCTTGTGCTGGGGAAGGAAGTGAGGGGGTGCGCAAACTGTAAATAACAACAGAGAGGCACGAGAAACGCGAGACTAGAATGGGGGGAGGGAGTGGAGGGAAGGTGGGAAGGGGAGAGAAGAGCAAAGAAAAGCAGAGCAGATTGGGAGGGAAAGAGAGGGGAGGACACAGGGAAGAAGAGGAATGAGGGAGGAGGGAGGAGGGAGGAGGGAGGAGGGAGGAGGGAGGAGGGAGGAGGGAGGAGGGAGGAGGGAGGAGGGAGGAGGAGGTATTTTGACCTTGATCCCCATCATCGCACAGCTGGAGCCATGAGAAGTAAGCGATCAACACCCCCACAAGATGGGAGTCCAGCTCCATATCACGAGCCCACCTTCAAGGCAAGTGAGGAGAAATAAAAAACAAACAGGAAAGAAGATAGGAAAATGCGAACGAGCAGATGGGGAAGATCGGGGAGATCGGAACGCAAGGAAATCCAGCGTGAAAAAGGGAATGGAGAGGGGAGGGGGGGGGGGGAAGGAGAGAAAAAGTAGGAGAAGAAAACGATAGCAGACCTATAGGCGCTCTTGACGTTGGAGGGGATAACGGACACATAGAGCCACTTGAGGAGGCGGCGAATGGCTGCCCCCAGGCTAACGACGAGGAGGATGCCGACGTACCAGTGGCCGAGGGACAGCTGCTGCATCGTTGACATCACCCAAGGGGTGACTGGCGGAAAAAGGTCAGCTGAAGGTGAGTCGAGTGAAAAGGAGGAGGGAGGGAGGGAGGGAGGGAGGGAGGGAGGGAGGGAGGGAGGGAGGGAGGGAGGGAGGGAGGGGAGGGAGGACGTGGAGAAGTCACCGGCAGGAACGATGGGGGCAGCGTAAAGAATGACGAGGATGGAGGAGAAAACTGTTGCCTTCCACTTCCACTGCCTGTAAAAGTTGAGGAGGAGGGAGGAGGAGATAACACTTACTGAAGGGGCTTGAGAGTCTTCTCTGACTCTTTCCTCAGCTCCTTCTGCCTTCTCAGCTTGGCCTGCATGCTCCCTCACTCACCCTGTCGTCCTCTTCCTTCTCACCCCCTTGCTCCTCCCACTCCTCCTCTCCTACCTCGGAGTCCTTCCTCCATTCCGAGACTTCCGACTGATGCCTGCAGCAGCATCACTCTCTGCGACCTCGCAAGCTGATCCACCTCTTGGTCAGCTTGTACATCTCGTCCGCATGCTTCGCGTCTCGCCTCTGAAACTCCCACTGGCCCGACAAGTTAAGAGGCGCATGGCAGCTGGAGCAGCGCGAGCACCTCAAGCTCTCGATCGTTGATCTGCTCGTTCACAGCGTCGCTCCAGTCAGGAAGGATCGAGTTCCTGTACTAGGATGAGAACCGTTGCAAGATCTCCATCCTCCACTCCCTCCTCTTCCCCCTCTCTCCCCTCCCAGGCTCCCCCTCTCCCGCCCTCTTGAGCAGAACTATCTTTCCTGAAGGAATCTTGTTTGGCAACAAGGGAGCTGAGAAGTCTTTCATAGCCTGTCGCTTTCACCCTCTGCTCCTCCCGAGAGAGCCAGAGGAATCGCTGTTTGTGATGACACGTCAACAGAATGCTGCAACTTGTTCTCGACCGCTCACATTCCACAGTTGAAACGACTCCTTGGCTGCTTCATACTTGCGAGCCGCCACTGCACTCGACAAAACCCTCGATCGCATCCTGCCCGCTGCTTGTCAGCTCCTTCCCCTCCTTCCCTCTTCCTTCTCTTCAAGTCCACCTGCGCTCTCGTTGCCATTCCTTCCATTCACTGAGAGCGATGCTATACACTTTCCTGCTCCATCGCCTGACATCTCCGTCACGTGACAGCAACACTCTTCGTCCTCTCACTCTTGGGCAATCTTTCTCCTGTGCTGTCTCAGGTGCCTCCTGCGGGTTCCGAACTGCCAGACTTGAAATGCCTCCCGTCCGGTGATGTGAAAGAACTTCTGGTAGATGACTTGTCGAAGTGCCTGAACATGAAAAGAGTGAGAAGAGAGGAGAGGAGCGGAGTGGACAAGGCAGGGCAGGGCAGGGCAGGGCAGGGCAGGGCAGGGCAGGGCAGGGCAGGATTGGAGTGAACGTGAGGGGGGAGAAGGAGCGAGGACGAGGGGCAAGATCAGTCGGGGGATGATTTGCAAAGGAGGCGAGGGAGCGCGAGAAGGAGGAGGGAGAGGAGATGACCGCAAGGAATCTTGACAGAGAAGCTGCGTGAGCTAGGTTAGTCTGCTCGACCACCTGGAGCGGAGATCAGAACAAGAAAAGGCTATCAAGATCGTTTCAGGACCATCCTGCATTCTTCTCGCTCCCGCTGCAAAGTCCTGTGGTGATCCTCCTCCCTCTTCTTCAGTTCATGATCGTGAAAGATCCTGAAGTCTTCCAGCGTCCACTTCTGCAGCTCCCAGTCGTCTTCAGACTCGCCCTCCTCCTCCTCAAGGTCAGCCTCTGCTCCTGCCGCGCTCGCGTCGTTGATCGCATCAGCATCATCCCCGATCGACTTCCTCCTCCGAGACTCCATCGACTTCTCGGTCTGCTGCATGTACTGCAAGGCTGCAAACGTTCGCTCGGGATGGGCGGCAAACCAGTCTTGCCGCAGTTTCTGGAAAGCAGCCTGCAGGTCCGTTGCCTCGAAGATCCCTTCCCTCCTGTCCCCCCTCTTGCCATGCTCGAGTCGCGCCAGCATGAGCAGGTGCCGCGTCCCCGCCCCGTTGCTGCCGTCGAAGAAGTTGAAGTTGAGCACGAAGGCCTTCTGTAGCATCACCTCCGTCACTGTGCTGCCCAGCCTCACCTGCTCTCTGTCGCACTGCCTGCGGAAAATCTCCATCAGCTCCTCGGCTGAGTACCGGTCGAAGTCCATCACAAAGGGAAAGTGCCTCCTGAGCATGGTCGGCTTCGCCGGCTGGTAGTGTCGGAAGATGTTGCCGACTGAGTTCCTGTCCCTCCCGGAGACAAGGAGGGTAAAACCATCGCCATGCTCCTCGAGGAACCTCTGGATGACCTGCACCACTGCCTTGATCACCTCCACCGACACTGAGTCGGCAAGGGAGTCGATCTCCTTGAGGAGCACTACGTTTCCTCGGTGCCTCTCAAGGAAGTTACGGAAGTTGTTGGCCGTCGACTCGGGGCTGGAGCCCTTCAGCTTCGGGGCCCGCAGGAGGATCAGGGGCCAATGTTCGTCCTCGTGACCTCCAATCGACAGCCTCATTGTCGGTCGCTCCCATGTGTTGGACACGTTCATACTGCCCTGAGTGAAGCCGTCCGTCTTGATGAAGCCAGAGGCCCACAGGAAGCGAGCGTAGAGCTTCGCAAAGTGGTACTTGCCAGTCCCCTGCTGCCCCAGAAGAAACATGTTCAAGCAGCGGTTGCGAACTCCCAGGTGCTCCCAATATCTCAGGTAATACTTGCAGAGGTGGCCAATCTTGGCCTTCCCTCGCTGTACTCCCACCATCTTCTCCATCTCAGCCACCACGGCATGGAGACTCGGTCGAGTCGCCTCGAAGCTCTTGTCGGCAACAATGGCAGGAAGTGTAGTTGTGCTTGGCAGGTTGAACTCAACTTTCCCATCCTCTCCTCCCGGCCCACTGTCCCCCTCTTTCTCTCCATTCCCGTCCCCTTGCCTCTGGAAGGCAGCATGCAGGCGAATGTCCTCCATTGGCCACAGGTGGACTGACCCATCCCAACTGCCGCTGATGGCAACCATTCCATCGGGAGAAAAGCTACAAGTGGTTATCCCACGGGAGTGACCTCCTGCAGCAGAAGCAAGCGCGTCACAAGGATGGGAGACAGGGCATCGCACAGCAAGAGCAAGACACTGGAGGGAGCGGGAGGGTACCTTTGAAGATGCAGGCCCGTTCCCAGTCGTCGGAGTCTTCCGCCATCACCCAGGCAATGAGGTTCTTGTCGAACGACCCAGACAGGATCATCGTGCCGTCCAACGAGAATTTGCAGCAGCGCACGGCATCGACATGTCCAGTGAGCACCCTCATCACCTTTCCGCTCTCGAAGCTCCAGATCCGGACAGAGTAGTCTTGACTCGATGAGATGATCAGAGTCCCGTCGAGGTTTACGTCGACTGACATCACGGCGTCCTTATGGCCGGAGAAAGTCTTGACATCCTTCATGGTCTTCGTGCTCCAGACCTTGACCGAGTTGTCCGATGACCCTGAGATGATGCTCTGACCGTCGGAAGTCACTGCGATAGAGTTGACAGCATTGCGGTGTCCCGTTAGAGCGATCCGACGAGACGTCATTGATTGTTCTGCAGACGATTCGTCTTCAAAGAACTCCCAAACCAACTGGAAAGAGTCAGAGCTGTCGAAGCTGCTGATACATGTACCAGTGACTTGTCGGCCGACGCAGAGATCGCTTGCACCTTGGTGGGATGAAACTTGACGTCCATGACCGCCTGTTTGTGCTCTTGAAGCGTGTACAACTCCTTTCCGAGCGATACATCCCAAACCTGTACGTAGACGATTGCTCACAGTTAAGACACTCTCATGCAATCATCTCTCTTACCTTAACTTCACCGTCCAGCGACCCGGATATCGCAAACTTTCCATCCCAGCTAAAGCTGCAGCTGTATACTGGACTTGCGTGACCTGAACAAAATGTTGAGTTGCTGCAAATCCCCGGCATGCGAAAGACCACCATCAAATTGACGAAGAAAAGTGAAGTCATTCAAACTCCAAAGCTTGAGGGTCTTGTCTCCGGAGCATGAAAGGAGCATGGTTCCATCCATAGAAACGCAGCAGGCATGCACTGGCTTCTTGTGCTCCCTCCATATGACTCCATTTTCGCTCGACGACGATTGCACAGCGCCCATTACTTGAGATCCCTGGTGACTTCAGCTACATACGTCGACCAAGTGACAGGAACACGTCCTGGTAACTCTGACTCCCTCAACCCAAAACACCTCACAGCATTTCCATCACCCTTTTCAGGAAGCTGATTCGCACCATCGGAGTCTTCATCTGTTCACCATCGTCTGTTAACACCAGCATCTTCATGCTATGATGCTCTTCACCATCATTTCATCTACTTCTCATCTTCATATCGTCCTCATCCTCGTCCTCATCTCGTCATTCCGCATCGACGCTATCAAGCCATTATCAGGCTGAATCCTGCAAATGAAGACCACCCCTGAACCACTACCCCTCTTTTCTACACCATGTAAATGTTGTGGGTGGGCTTCCAGGTAAGGTGACCGGAGCAGCTGGTGAACCAACTTCAAAACTGCCGTAACCACCGGAAACGCACTGTAACGTTCTTGACGGCCTTTCGCCATGGTCAGGGCAGTTCACCATGAAGCTCTGCGGCGACCTGCGGCGGCCATAGTATTCTCAGCGGCAGCAGCTCTAGTTGCGATCTGCTGCCTGATGGTTCTCTCGAATGCGGTAAGCTTGTTCTCACTTGATCTCTTTGCCGTGCTATTCTACCAGTCTTATTTTCTTCCCTTGTCTTCCTCCCTGCGTGCGCTGTCGAAGTCCCTGACAAGACGTCGCCAGCATTCAAACATTGTGTTCCACAACAAGCAACAGACGGTAATGATAGCTCACGATCTATCTAAGACAGCACAAATGACGGTTGGTATTGCAGAGTCTTGAGCAACAGAAGTTGTGGGAAAACTACTTTCCGGGATACAAAGCGATCAGGGCACGGTACGAGCGTACAAAGTTGTTATACAACGCGCACATGAAGCGCATGGGTGCACCACAAGTACAAAAGGGCGAGGAACTCCACAGCAAGAGCATTGCAAATCCTTACATCTTCTGCAAGCGAAGCTTCCCCCCTGTGAGTGACTACGATCAAGCGGAGTTTCACTCTTGCCTGGATGCATTGGGTGTGAAGAGAATTAATCTCCAGAACGTCGGGGACTCACAAGTTGCAACTGACATCACTGGAGCGCCAGCAGGATATCATCAGCACGATGGGCCGAACTCACTCTCACCAGGATCGGATGGCTGGTCCAGATGGTAAGTGGAGAGGGAACGAGTTTGTAATGGTTGTAAAGATAGGATCCTACGTGCTCGAGGTGTTTCCCACTCACATCGTATGAAATTTGCAGCTCGAACTGAACTGGTCCCCTTGCTCCAGCACTTCGGAAACGAGGCACCGCAGTCGTTCTTTTGATTGTGGAGGTCCGAGACAGTTGACTTGACCGTGACTTGCTAGCAATTGAGCAAGTCACGGTCAAGTCTCCTTTGGGCAGGAATTGACAAAGCTTCCTTCCATTGCGATGACATATCAGGAGTTCTCTTGACTCATAGATGCCTTGGTCTCATGCCACTACATCGCACATCATCTGTACCATCTCACCTGGAATTCGACATCCATCCTCGCATTACACCATCCTTGCTCGCATCACACCTTTCTTCCCATGAGTTTCGTGCCACCCAGCTCATTTGCGGATTGACACCAAGGGAGCTTGATCGAGCTACTGAATCAATCCTTGCTGCAGACACCGAATGGGCTTTGTGTGTGCTGTATCTCAGAACAGTATGTAGTTTGCTTAAGAGGGGTGAGATGTGATTTTAATTGTGGAGTCAGCCAGATACACCTTTGAGATTTTTCAAGTTTACATTCAGATCAAGCAGGATGCTCAAAATAACTAACTTCTAACTTAGTCCGCATAGCCAAATCCATATAAAATTCCCACAGGAAAGAATCCCTTGCAAAAACTATATGGTTTCACACTTAGTTGCCCGGGCAGTCGAAGGTCTGCTGGTGGGGATCCTGGAGGGTGAAGGTGGCAGCGGAGCCATCCTGCCAGGACTGGGGGCAGAGGTTGTCATAGAAGCCCGGTCCGGTAGCCATGGGCTGAGTGTAGAAGTAGGCGGGGAAAGAGCAATCCTGAATGAATGCGTTAGTCAGGCAAAGAAGCAGAGCAAGACTCTCATCATGGTAGTGACAACAGACATTCAAATTGGTGTCAATATCAAATTCATCATCAATGTGAAGATCTGAGCTCACACAATGTAGGTCAGAGCATGTGCAATCAACACAAATCAACAATCAAGAACCAACACATTTTCAGCACAGCAGAGAAAAAGCAGTCATGGCGGTAAACATCAACACGATCACCTACACAGAGCAAGAATATTTGTATGTCACAAAGATATTTCAACTGTGAGGGACCGTGACTGAGCTCAAACCATTTCAGTCAGCACAATTGTTGAGACCCTGCACGTGTTACGAGACAGAACATCCATGGTTATGTGAATGGGAAGAAGACAAAGTGAGAACAAATACACAACCAACAGGAGCTCAGCTTCCTCCAGAGGATCGAGCATAGGGGGCAAGCATCGACAGTACAACTGGGGCGATACGTACGAGCTGGGAGAAGAGCATTGCGAAGGCTGCCTGTCTCTTGGAGGGAGACCCTTGATGAAGAGCCGCACCCCTACTGGATGTCTCACCCAAATTCACAAGGACCCCTGAATCTAGCCTTCTCACCCATGATTTTGGTGTAAAAAGGACGGGTTCTAGAGTACCTGTTTTTCTCATCGATACTCACCCCTACCTACCACCACCCCCATTTATGTAGGCTTGACAGCAACGTCCTTTCGACTAAGATTGACTATAGCCCTCAACAACCAAGTGTTGACTATAAACCCTTTTAATTAAACAGTTATCTCACGCTTGTAGTCAACTCAATTATTTCAGGCCCGCACCGGCATAATACCACCCACCCCCAGGAGGTCCTCGACAGATTCTATGACCCACCACTGGAAAAAGCACCTTGTGTTATATAAATATGGGGTACTTGTTACACCCCACCATGGAGAACTGGAAATCCCCGAAATAGCTCAGTGGATGGTTTCTAAAGATGGTACTAAGATTCAGTTACATCCTGGTACAGTTTTTAGTCAACAATATGGGGTCCATGTCCTTGATCAACTGTCTTGTCGAAGGGTAAATACTTCTATCAATTGATAGTAATAGTTTAGTAAATATCGATGTCAATACATAACTTTACTCCATAGAGAAACACCCACCAGCATTCTCCAGATTACTTGCCCCTCTATGGAAATACATTTCTGCCTCGTCATCAGGCAGGGTTATTGAGGTTAGCATGTAGTGGGTGAGGATTGAGGAAGAGAGAAGGAGAAGAGAGAAGAGGAGAGGAGAGGAGAGGAGAGGAGAGGAGTACAAGAATATGTTCGATGATGATATGATGATTGGATCAGGCCATAGAAGATGAGGGGATGAGATGATGAAAGTGTGTATCGACAGAAAATACGATTGCATGTCGTAGTTTCAGGGTGACCAGAATGCGAAGCTGCAAGGTTGAATTACGATTCAGAAGATGTTCGAGAGTACTATTTGCATAGGTTTAGAGTCTTTTTTGTTTCTGGACAAGATGTTCCTTGGTAAGCCTGGAATGATCGTAGGCTACCTTGTGAAACCGTGCTGTTCGTTATGAGGCATCTTCCGGCCAGTGAATTTACAACAGAGGGGCCACGAAAGGGGATCTTAGTGCTGGTGATCGAGAATGATTATGAAAGAGTAGATGAATGAAAATGAAAGAGTAGATGCATGTGACATGTTGCCTCTGAAGCATCTAGATATCTTTAGGATGAGGGAGAATGCCAAGAGAAAATATAGCAAAACAAGAAGAATCTTCTGATCTTCAAGCTGACGTCTTGTGTCTCCAGGAGCGTGTAGCGAACGTCTTGACGTACAGTGAGCATCTCGGTTTTGTTGTGCAATAATCTAACTGTCGTAGCAGTGTCCGCCACGAAGACCATGACGTCTCCAAACGAAGTCGAGAAGGGGGAAGCATCCGAGTCTGAACCACTGGTCGAAACTTCCGCTGAAAAGCAAGAACCTCTGAGGGCAGCCCCTATCCGTGCTTTCCATGCAGGAATCCATTTTGTCTTCCTGCTGTTCGGCAAAGAGTACGGATGGGCTGGGTTTTGCTACCTCGTCATCGGAACGACATGCTCTGTCGCTACATCAGTGCATGTTAACTGGCTCGCTGGCTGTGCTATGATGATGCTTTTCTTTGCCACCTGCTTTTGCTTCGCCGGGTACCAAGCTGTGAGCGGCAAGTACGAGCTCGCAAGGCCTCTCATGTTGGCAGCCATGATGATGTTCCTCTCCTGTATTCTTGGCGGTCACTTCTTCGTTGTCTGGTCGAAGTCGGCTGGCAAGGATGTTATCAAGGGCGCGTCCTTGGCGGACCTGCCGAAGGTAGCCAAGAACTATGAGGAGAACACAGTCTTCTACCTCAAGGATGGGTCGGTCGGCACTGATTACATCGGAGAGTTCAAGTACTGCAAGGACAAGCTCCCTGTCGTCGGTACTTGCGTGTATGACTACTACTGCACTGCTCCTCTCCTCGACACTACCTATGAGAAGGGAGTCGTTGCTTACGCGTGGGTTGCGACCATGTCGCATGTTTCCTGCTCGGACCCCACGTTCGAGAAGAACGTAGTGCAGGCGAGCTGGAGCAAGAACTTCAGAGCAGGATTGGGCGTGAGGAGGACTCATCACTACACCAAGTCCATCGAGGAGGCTTCCAAGAAGTTCTCGATCAAGACTGCATCAAATGCTCCCATCATCAAGTGGATGGCGGATCCTACACTGGACGAGAAGAGCGCATGGCATACAGGATGGCTTGTTGAGTTTGTCGTGTTCACGCTCTACCTCTTTGTCATGTTGATCTACAGCTACTGCATGGGATTCACGGAAGACGCCCTCCCCCAGGCTCGTAAGATCATGGACCCATATGCTCCCCAGAAGCCATCGAGGAGGAAAAAGGTCGAGTCATGATTGGCTCACCCCTGATGTCTTACTAGTCGTTGTCAATATTGTTCTTGCGGAGATTTTGCTTCGTCTTCTGGTCACCAACATTTCTTGCCTGTTTCATCCCTGTTGATGTAGCATCCTGGTTGAGAATGTGTCCGGCGGTTGGCGGTTCTTGCGAATCAAAGTTTTTGATGAAGGGAGTGTGCTAGAGATGGAAGGGCTCACGCAAACCAATTTCTTAGAGATATTTATACTTGAATGAAAACCTGTTCTTCGCATTGAATGTGGCTGAATACTTAACACTACGCTCTCTCAGTCTGTTCATGTTGAACTCCTCTTCTCCTGTCACGTGAGCTCCAGGCTGCTCGGCTCCTGTTTGGGTGGTTTGATGAAGGAAGAAATCTGTAACGAGCTGATTGGCTCTGGTCCTAGTTTGATCTGCGACAGGAGCCGTCAATATCGAAAACCCTTGACGTCTTCGCCTCACCGGCGCATGGAAGAAATTTTCGTTGATGGATCGCATGTCAAATGGGCGTTCTTGCTTTGACTGCATCGTCCTCCACGCCCCCTGCTCTCAGCTTCAGCTCAAACCCTCTCAGGACAGATTCTCGTTGCTGCCTTGGGCGAGGAAGAGCGCTTGTTGAGGTCCTGCTCAGAAGGAAACTCTTTCGTATTGTCGGTGGCGGCGACTTTGTGCCTAGTTGCAAAGGAGCCAAACGAGGTCTCGGAGAGGAGGCGGGGGGTAAGCTGAACTTTCTCCCCCACAGGAAGGAGAGCAGGATCTTTCCTCGTTACCGTCTCGTAAAGGCGAACAGGCTTGTTCCTGGTAGGGCTTCAGACTGGATGGGACCGGCACGGAACACAACGCTAGCTCTCAGCTCACCTGCGATGCTCTCCTTGATCTATCTGGGGATCTTTCTGTGGAAGGACGAAGCTCACGGACACTTGCTGCCCATCTTCTCCCTCTTGCCATCGTTTCTGCTGCTCCTGCAGGCGTGAATGTCAACATCTCCATTGGTAGCGAACGAGGAAGCGCGCTGACATGATCGGTACACGACAGCTCTCCGTTGCTTGCTTCGCGCACGCTAGCCTCGTAGTTCGTTTCCACGGCCCCTGTCCCTATCGTGACTTCGATTGAGTTTCTCCTTTCAAAGTCTGTCGCGTTGCTGAGCTGAAGACCCTGGGGGATTCGTAACTTTCATTTGCATCTTAAATCAGGCAAGCACCTCAACTGAAGGTCTCCTGCTCTCAGCCTTGCCTCCATCCCTGTCAGCCGACCGCTACGCAGAATTTCAGTCTCGTGCGGATGATGGCACATCTCAATGTTGTCACATTCTCTTCCATCGCACCGACAAAGTTGTCGACGTCTTCAGACAGTCTGCACGCACCATCAAACAGCCATCTCAAACGCGACAAGTCAAGTGTGAGTTCCTGAGGATCTCCAGTCGTTCCTCGTCGGTGATCTTGAAACCAACTTGCACGGCGTTCATGGTAGAGCTCCCTGCCCATCGCAGATGTGGCCCAGTCGGGACAATCTTCTCCCTCCTCGACGCCTCACGATATGAACTCCTGCGCTCCTGATGTGATCTCTGCTCCTTGTCTTCGAATCTTTCTGTTGATCTTGCTGAGTCCGGCAGCTTTGCATCCTTGGCTTCCCACGCTTGCTCGCCCTGAGAGGAGCAGGCAGGTGGCTTCGCCGTCACTGACTCAGTCGACGGCCTGCGATTGTTTACGGCATTTGGAGCGACTGATCGGCACGCCGTCAGATTGCGCGAGGTGTCAACGAATTAAGGGCGTACCTTCAGGTGTCCATGGTCGCAGGGAGCTGGAGGAGGACTGGGTCCTTGCTCGCCCTCTCTGCTCACGTTTGGCCAGCATGAACTTCGATCTTGAGGCTTCTACGTGGCTCGTGCGGGCACGTTCCGTCTGTGAGCCATCCTTGAGAGAACCTGTCGCATCAGGACTTGACCCACTACAATTTCACTATCGTACCTCGGGATGACGTGTCTTCCTCACTGAGAACAGCCTTGCGCTTCGATCTGTCAGCAGATAATCTCTGCCAGCCACTTCATTGTCTCCATCCTCCAACCTTGGCACCTTTGTCCATCCTTCCATCTGCTTCGGCAAGTTCGGCAGCCGCGGTGCAGACGCCTGTCTGACACGATGGCGATGCTCTGCGGCCTGGCCTGAATCACGAGCTTCTCCCAAGGACGAAGATGGCTGGACAAGGAAGCGCCCACTCTCTGCTCCTGGGGTTACCGTCGCCCTCCCCGCCATCTTCATCCTCATCCTCGGCCGCACGACGTTCATGGCCAAACGGTTGTGAAGGCTGAAAGAGTCTTGTCAATCACCCGGAACTCGGCGGAACAAAAGGCTTCTGGGACAAATTTATAAGTTTATATATTTGTACTGTTTTCATGTCAATAACTCGGCGGCTGGTCAAGGTGTATATCACCCCAACCTTTTTGATATGTATGACCTCCAAATTTACCTGGGAAGCTCTTCAGTTCGATTCCCACCCCTGGCTGCCCTCTTATTTTTTTTTTTCGCGCCACAGGAAACCAGAGGGGAACAAGAAACAACGGGGAAGAGAATCGAGAGGGGGGGGGGAGCGTGTGACTTCTGGGACCGTAGATGTTTGGTTCAGGAGATTGTTCGTACCATGTTAGTAAACTCTATACAATACATATGATTACCAAGGATGGTCAACCCCCTCCACCATAAACACTGTTCAGAAGGCGAGTTCTACATGCATTTGAATGCGGCGATGACCTGCCATGGTGCACCTTAAAGAAGCATTGCCATAATATTCATGCAATCAATTTGATTTCCAGACTATATTACATTCGCTATTTAACTAGGTTTCAATTGTTTCTTCTGAGCATCAACTTGGGGATACCCTTACATTCAAAGAGCACGAAATCTTCCATATATCTGCAGAGTGATCCATGGCAACATCAATATCTTGAAACTTCTTAGACATAGGAATGGAAGAATCATTACACTTCTGAACATCCCCAGTCCGAAGGACGGAGAGTTCCTTTGAGATATGAGCAACAACGTGGTCCTGCATTTTTTCATCATCCTCTGCAACAAGTCCCTTGAGGTCCAAGCAAGCTTTGTTTCTAACCAATTTAGATGAAAAATTCTGAAAGTTGGATTTCATGTGTCGATTCTTGAAGTAATAACCAGCCTTCTTCACATCCACCACCCGAATATCGTCTAGATCATCCTTGTCGATCTCGTCAGTCCTTGTGAGCAATTTCGAACACGCATATCGCAGTTGCTGAAGCTCGCCAAAGCTCATATCATCGCCGTTCAACGAAGGAAAGAGTTCATCCGAATCAACCCTGTGCGTGCATGAATCAGGCCTCCAATGAGCGGTACAACCAGGTCGGACTGCGCTGGTCTCGTGACATCCGATGCTTACTCTGTCTTCGTCTTTCACAACCTCTGGAGTGGAAGCTGCTGATCTTTGAGAGTCACAAGGTGATTCAACAGTGTGGAAAATAGGCATCTTTTTCTCCTGGCACATTCGTGATTTCTTAATTGTGATTGAGTTAACCCCGATGCTGCGCTGCAAGCTCATAGTCTTCATTTTTGCAGCAATATGTATTGTCTTCCGTAACTTGGAGTAGTTGGCAGTCAACCTATACTGTAACGAATAGTGCGTCTGCAACCTTCAACTCTCTACAACCTTGACACTGTTGAGCGCCTTCCGCTTGCAACGCGTTCTTATAGGAGACGCCCCTTAACCTACCCTACCCCATGATGTGTGAGCACTTGAGAAAATACCCCACACACTGCCCTAAGAAATACCCCTGATGAGATACGGATGGGTATACCCCACCCCTTCCAATCCACTAAACCCAGAGATTTTAAAAACTTGGTTTGTAACATCGATCTCGAGACTGGGGGTCGGGGAAAACAACGAACATGGTAGGGTGGTTAAGGCTGCTCTCAATTCGTAGGGTACATTCAGCATCAATCAGGGGTGAAAGGAAATGAAAGGGATAAAGGGGTGGTTTCCGTGAACCCCTTGATATTATAGTTTATACGTAAGGGGAGATAATGAAAGTCCAAAGCTATCTTGTTCACGTATAATAAAGCTTTTTAAATAACTCACCATGTGGTAAGTTGGGGTTGAGATCTGAAAAGACTTCTCTTCAAATAATCCATTACAAATTTCACCCTCGGATGTATAAGAGGTATAAAGCAATGTATAAGATTCTTGTATACATCAGATATTTTGCTGTAGGGGCGCAACGGAGCATTCTGCAAGAGATGCTGGAGTGAGTTATCGTTGCAATGTAAACTGTTGAGGAGGAAGTGCAGGTCGAGACACAACCTCCTAAAAATCTTTCCTCTCACACATCTCCATGGCACCGTTCACGAGATTTCTGTGGCAGAGTATACCAAATCAAGGCGCTGAAAGCCCCCTTGATCATCATCAAAGCTGGTATTTTACATGGCTTCACTACTTACATTCATTCACTGTCTATTTCGTGGTTTTTACATAGATCGAGGTTTTCTAGCATGCGGATATGTCTCCATCGACACTTGTAACAGGTAACAGTACAAATTGGTTAGGGTTCTCACTAACGCTCAACATCTTATCACCAGATTGAATGAAGCTTGTGCTATTGTCGCGGGAGTAAGCGACTACGAAGAAGTGCTGCATAAACATGTTCCAAGTTTTATAATGCAGTGAAGGGTGTTGATTTCATGTGCGGCAGGTAACAGCTGTCTCGAATGCTGCTATGCACATGGGCATCAAGGTAATTTGGCAAATTCTGCACTCTCACACAGCAGGATTGACCTCGCCCTAGGTCGGAATGAAAGGAAACGATGCTCTTGCTCTGTTGAGAGCGCCAGCTTTGCCAGGAGGGCCAGACCAGAAAGGAACCCCAAACAGCTCTGAATGTCACCGAACCAGGAGCAAGTTATAAATCGTTGTCTCAAGCCAACCCAACGAGCTATGCCAAGGAGCCTGTTGGACAGCCCTCCAAGATCAAGGGAGGAAACATGTTTCCTATTGCTGCAAGACTATCCACGGGGCACAGCCAAGCCTACAAGTGTGGCATATGACCAGAGATGAAAGACTGGGTGTACAAGGACTGACATTGTCATGGATTGTATTCGAATGCATTGTTTCCATGCATCAAATCCAGGTTGGTGCTGCTGCCCTTGCCATCTGCCTGTAAAAGCACTTGGCCTGACTCTTTACTGTCCTCAAACTCAACGAATCAAGCATCAATGGCAACACAACCAATGAGTGCCTTGAATCACGAGGTTCACATTTCGAAAACCTTGCATTACATATACTATTTATAGCCTTGAATGAACCTAAATCTGATTGCTGCAAATGAAACCAACAAATAAGAGTGCTATATGCTCGAGATGCATGGCTGAGATCAAAACTTCCACCCAACTTGCATAGCTTCTTCCCTGCAATAAACCCAATGTGAGTGAACGGAAAAGTGACAGCATGTTACACATACCTCCGACTTCGTGGCAAGTTCGTGATGTCTCTTATTCCTGTCGCTCCAGTCTCAAATACTTCTTCTCCTTCAAAAGGATGCACCCAGACGCTCCTCTTTGAACCACGAAAACCTTTGGAGGATTTCTTGATATCCCGTTTCAGGTTCCAGAAGTATGTCATGATCATATCTGGCTTGACTTGCTTCGAATTTGCTTCATTCTTTTGAAATGCGCCTGAAAGCTTCCGATATACTTTCTCTAAAATCGAACCCATGAACAAGGACTTGTTGGAGACTTCGACTATCCTCTGAAAGTGATGAAAGTTATAATCATCACGGTCCAAGTTACTTTTGTTGAGCACCAGCTGGACCTTATTCCTCAACTTTGACGGGGCTTTTGATAGAAAGGAATCGAAGGATTCAGTCTTGCTGAGGATTACATCAACAAGAAAGCTGACAAGGGACTTCTTGTCTATTTCCTGCCTCAGCTCCACGACTTTCCCAGCGCTGGCCAACATTACCAAGAACCAGAATTGTAGTATTTCTTCATGACTTGCAAGCTCCTTGAGAGGAAACGTATTAGTACAGTGCTCAAGACAAGATTGAACTTGATTACCTCAAATAATCTTCGACCAAAGACAAATTCTCGATAAGTAAGGTGTTCCTTATCGCCCTCTTCCGGAGTGTGAATGGCTCGGACGAAGCGAGAAAGGAGCGGATTTGTCTTCCCAGACATAACAGGAAGGCTCGAAACACGGGATATTTGCATGGCAGTGATTTCTTGTCGACTTCCAATTCCCCTGAAAGTTTGAAGTGCTTTCTGCACGGCCATGTCACAAATCAGGGTTTGGACAACAGTCAAGTCAAAAGATTCCGACACTAGAGCACCTGCATTTCAAGCATGTCGATCTTCAGCAGGTCCATGAATTGGTACAAGTTTTGACTGGAAATTGCTCCCTCCTTTACACCCCAAAGCTTCTCTTGCAGAGAGTGAATCGGAATAACTTGCTCGACGTCAAACTCGTCAACGGATTCGTTGGTATTACTCCCCCTCGACGAGTTGTAAATTGAGCCATCAAGAGTAGTAGCCTGAGGGTCGTCAGCATTTTGTATTCCGATATTCGGATAATGCATCACCTCGTCGTCGTCGTCGCCCGGAAAGGCCACCTTTGAAAGAGCTCCACACCCCATCGCACTGCGTTTTCCCCGCGTTTTCTTGGTATGCTCGCAAGGTTGCTCGAAGGGGCTTGCGTTTGTGATGAGCTGATGTGTCCTCACTACCTCATCTCACACAAAGTTGGTTCTCCGATGACTCATTCTGCCTCCTACACTTTCTTGGAACCATCTCCCATTGTAGCCCCCAGCCTGCGCCGGCTTTTTTTGAAATGGCGTGTTGTTACAAAGGGTAGAGCCCATTATTGTATGTTTATGATACCTAATAGAATTCTCTGCCCTTTTGAATTGTAAAGCAAAACCCCGAGGCGAGCTATGTATGTCAGCTCCAATCCATTTAAGTAATTAAATGGATTGGAGCGCATCGCTGTTTCTGCCATCGTGACGGGAGCAACTCCCCGATCTAGAAGAAGATAGGGAGGAGGAACAGCGTTGGATGCAGCCATGACGCTGGTCGAGCTGTATCAGGGGCAGACAGCAGCTGCCAAGTTCGTGTGGCCAGAGCTGGTCGACATCCGAGGTTAGACACCAAGTGTTGTAGCATGCCTATTCACATCGACGAAGCTTACGATATTCCGCAATCTGTTATGAAGCCGAACGCATCAGAGGAATAAATGTTGTCTGTCTTGTCTGCTGACACACTATAAAGAACTATCTCCTTCCATCTTGTTTCACAAGGCCCCCGTCATTCCTTTTCAACCAAGAATGCTGCAACTAGGGGCGGCAGTGAGGTCCGCCAACTTGTGTTACTACTACTCTCCATGGATGCTCTTCAGAGCGGTGCCCAACGCCCTGCTGCTTTTAGAAGTAGTTTTGATCTCCCACCCGGATATTTCTCGACTCGCTGCCCGCTAAGTTCTGACAAGCCCTGCAAGGCATATGAATGAGATTGGTTTCAAGAGAGCCGGCAAGACAAGACCTCGAATGCAGGAGGCAGTTGTATCTGCTGACGAAAGACTCGATGGAAAGATAGCAGCCCTGCGATAAGGGGGGAGGGAGGGGGAGATCTTGAATGTCAGGGGACAGGGCGAGCCTGGAGCAGTCCTACCTGCAGGTGTCTGGTTGCACTCGCAGGCCCAGAAGGTTTGAAGGAGGTCCTCCCGTGCAGCATACGGCGGTTATTGAACACAACAGTTTCACCCTCCTTCAGCCGGAAGCTGATTTTGAGCCCATTCGCTTCATCTTCAACAAGGTGGGCGAACTTCTGTCTCCACGCGTGAGATCGTGTTGACTGCTTCCCTCCTGCTGGGGGTTACCTTGTATGCCTCGAAGTATCGCTGCACCTGCGCCTCCGGGACTTGTAGCGGACCCTCAAACGCTGGCGCCCAGAAGACTCCAACGACTTCCTGGCGAAGCTCCGCGTCATTCAATCTGAAGGATGGGGATGGATCTGAATGGTGGGGAGGTAGGGGCGACGGGAATTGGGATGAGGATAGCGATGGAGACGAAACGTCGAGAATTCCAGATGAAGGAGAAGAGAAGTGGGAGAGAGACAAATTACCTCGTCGTGGTTCAACACAATATGTGGACGTTGATACTGTGTGGCGCGAAGGTCACGATCAGCAAGGGAGCCCAACAAGAGACGGAGAGCAAAGATGATAATGTGACCAAACGATCGACCAAGAGCGAGAGGGAGAACCAAAGAAAAAGGAGAGAACCTTGAGGTGAACCGGAGATGCTCTTGCATAATGAATCTTCTGGAACGTGGCAGGAACCCGGACAAGCGTGTCGAATGCCTCCTTTGATCATAGGTTAATGAAGGCGTGAAGAACAAGAGCAAGTCAAACACTTTGTCTGTCTTTCTCAAAAGCTCGGCTGCTTGTATCGCATCAGCAAAGGTAGAATTCCCCCCTTGGATGCTGATGTAAACAGAAAATAAGTACCCAAACATGGCACAGAAAATAGCGCACCCCTCGTCGAACTTCATGCAGTGAAGGAGCTGTAGACCCGGCGGGCTCTCATAGTATACGAGATCCTGTTCCCCTTGGTCAGAAGCCTTGACTCCACAGAGAAAGGCATGCACCTGATGCAGGTCAAGTCCGAGGTTCGTGTACGCGATGTTGATCGGATCATTCTCTTCGAAGCTATGTCATATCGCCTCCAACCTCGATCAGTGTCAAATCACCAAGCCGCACGTCCCAGATCTCTCCGTAGATTGTGTCCATCACATTCCCTATCCGCCTTGCCAGCTTTGTCACCTGTATGCTATCAGCATGAGCACTGGAGGATTCAACCGAATACCTGCCCCTCATGGCATGGTGTGTCGTGCACGATGCAGAGTCCATCGCGCATTACGTGGTCCATCCACTCGAAGACGCCATCCTCTGACGTCGTCACCCGCTCGTAGGATATTCGAGGGACTATTCCCCCGTTCCTCTCCTTGAGCGGAGTCGGCCTGCGCTGCATCTTCCTCTTGTTCAGGGCCTCGCTCGAGCAGTCGTGCTCGAGCAGCATGTTGACTGGATACTCGCTAACACTGAGACCCTCGTCCTTCCACACGATGTCGATTGTCATCTTCTCCCCGTTCAAAGTCGCCGATCCGATTCCGTCTGGCGCGTTGGAACAAGATTCCTGCATGTTCTGGCCGCTCGAGGACAAGACGCCAGGCCGATTCCTGTGCAGCCAATCCCTGTGATAGAAGGACGAGTGGGATTGGCTCCATTGCACATGCAGTCCACCGTCCTTTACGAGCACTTGCTGTGGCGGTCTGCATTGTACAGGCAAGGCTCCTGAACAGAAAGAACGACTACTGGAAACTAGAGACTGTCCCAGGATCCTAGCAGCCATAGCTCGAGCAAACAATGTAGCCTTCATCCTCGCCTTCACTATCACACACACTCTCTCTCGTTCTCTTGCTACCTCTCCTCGTCTGTCCTTACCTCTACCTCTACCTCTACCTCTCTCCTTCTCTCTACCACCCGCTCTTGCTCAAATCTGCTCAATCTCCCAAAAAGAGTTGGGACGCTAAAAATCTTCCTCTAGTTTCGCTTCTTCTGCCCTCCTTCTTTTGACTATTCCCTTGACTAATTGTAGAGTTCTGCCCTCCTAATTTCCCTCTGACATTGCAAGATTATTGCTGCCTTTCAATAGTTTCCTATGTATTTGGTAATTATTTGGTGATGTCTTTTATCTTTGATAATTGATTGCCTGAGGTGAACCGGACAGTCCAGCAGCTGAAGGCCAGGAGAAACGAGATGGCTGATGCGCCAGCAGAGGTAAGGCAGCCCGCCAGCCATGGCGAAAATGAGGAGGAGGAGAATGAAGATCCTGAGGAGGAGGAGGAGGAGGAGGAGGAGGAGGAGGAGGAGGAGGAGGAGGAGGAGGAGGAGGAGCGGGGAGTAGGAGGAGGAGAGTAAGAGGGGAAAGGGAAGTGGGGGTGGAGAATGACGATGACGATGACGATGACGATGACGATGACGATGACGATGACTGCGACGATTGTTATGATGGTTGTTGGTATGATGGTAACGAGGAGGAGGAGAAGGAAATGGAGGAGGATGACAAGGAGATGGAAATGGAGGTACTGGTGTAGGATGATGATGGTGGTGTTGGTGGTGATGATGATGTGGCGGTAATGGTGGTGGAGACGATAATGATGATGCGCGGAGACGATGGAGAAGAAGATGGACGATGGAGAAGGAGATGGAATTTTAATTTTCAACAGGAGACGCCTGCATCGACATCTGATCCCTCCCACATGAGCAATGGAAGCGAGAACCATCCATCCGCAGGCAGTCTGGTGGGAGGGCCGACGCCCTCTCCCGCCATAGCTAAGAAGGTCAAAAAAGTAGTCGAGCTGAGACTGGATGCGCCAGAACTTTCAGCGGCACTCGACCAGCTTACAGAGTTCTATGGTGAGGAGCTGACAAGCATATTGATGTCAGGATTGGCAAGTGACCTCTAAATAACCCTTGTGATCAGGAGCGAATACCCTGGAAAACAGGAGGAATCTCAAGTCTTGCATTGAGAAGCGAGGGATCGATGTGAACCATCAGTTCATCAAGTACTCGCGTCCTCACTCGAGGAGATTTTTCTCTCTTGACCTCCTATGGCAGCTGCTTTGAGGATGTGATGAAGAAATTGGACCATGTGGAAAACTACGTGGTGAGTGACTAGGCGACAATGAGTCGGCAGTGATTGGCTGGTGGTAGATGAAGTTGTCGGACTGCTCTCAGAGGATGCAACAGAGGCTTCATACAGCTCAGACAACAACAGCACAGGTCTGTCCTGAGTGCAGAACATGGAGAGTTCGCTCCAATACACTCTGATTGTTGCTTCACAGGTGCTCAAACTCACGGAGCAGCTGCAGAAGAAGGAACACACGGCAGAGGCACATAAGAACCTAGTGCTGGCGTTCCTTGATCGGTTCCGACTGAAACCATCGGAGATGCAGCTCCTGCAGACCGGAGAAGTCTCGGATCCTTTCCTTGAAGTTCTCGATAGAGTTGGTCAGATCCAGAGCGAAAGCAAGCAGCTGCTGCGGGTACATCATAAGACCGCCTTGATGGACATTGTAGACGAGGCTGCGTCGTTGCAGGAGAAAGGATTTGATCGCCTGTGATCTGAGTGAATCCATTGCGAGCCAGTCTCTCACTCTTGCTGCAGGTATCGCTGGTTGCAAAAGGAGTTGTCAAACGTGCAGGGCGACAGTTCAGATGTTCCGCTGCTTGTCAAGAAGGGTCTCAAGACTCTTCGAAGCAGAAGCGCTCTGTACAAAGTGTGTCTGGAGGACCTCGCGGTCTCACGTCGTCAAGCCCTTCATAAGAGATTCGTCGCTGCACTCAGTCGAGGCGGACCTGGCGGAACTCCGAAGCCCATTGAGATCCATGCCCATGATCCCCTTCGCTACATCGGCGACATGCTTGCTTGGGTGCATCAGGCACTGGCGTCAGAACGCGAGCTTCTGGCTTCCCTGTTCATCGCGACTCGTCCAGACAGCTCAGAGCCTTCAAAGATGAATTCCGTAACCGCCAGGGTTGAAGAGGACAAAGTCTTGGCAGGGGTGTTGGACGGTGTCAGCTCGACTGTGCAGGTGGGAAAGATTTGTATGATGAAGAAAATAACATCTGGTGATAGGCTCGGGTAGAAGCAGTCTTGCAGAGCCAATCGTCAGCAGTGCTGATCTTCAAGCTTGGAAATCTTCTGCTCTTCTACTTACATACCATCGGAGGATTGCTTCCGGACGGAGCCTCTCTGACCAGCACCATTCAAGTACATCTGCTTCTTGTTTTCAACGATTGTCGCTGACGCGATTGTTATAGGGCTGTCACAAGCTTGCTGGGAAGCTTTTCATGGAACTGCTTACAGCTTCGTCTCAGCGGCTCTACAAACAGCCCCCGCCCTGCCCATCGACCCTTGCTCCTCATAATGATATTCTTGCGGCTTTGGAAGAACTGAAGGAAGTTATGTCATCTTTCGACGCATCGCTTATACCAGCAAGATTGCGTGAAAATTATTTCAAGGTCAGAGGTTGAGGTTTTACATAACACGCTAAAGCATCTTCAAGCCTGTCGTGGAAGAAGGCGTGGAGCCTCTGATTGGTGCTTGTGCTCTATCTGCCAACGCCATCACTCCAGCGGAAGGCAGTATCTACCTGGTCAACTGCTTGCTCGCCATCCAGGTGTGTCGACAAGCATCTGCCTGCTGGTTGACTCCCGTGACAGACGTTACTGCAACGTTACGACTTCTGCGCGTGGAGGATCCCGAGGCTGCAGGTCAGCTGGTCTACAGCTGAGCTTTATCTCTTTACTCGCTGCCTTGCAGAATCAGATCGCGCAGGCGCTGGAGCAAGGGATCAAGGAGCAAGGTCCGCCTTGCCCTTGGCTGGTCGAGTGTGACCCTCGTGCAGTGTTGATCATAATGCGACAGTGCAACCTAGACGACAAGATGTCGTTCTCCTTGCTGGATCCCCCGCGGCTGACGCCATGGCAGGTACTCTGTTCGTTCGTGGAAATCCGAGCAGCGAGGGGAGGGGATGGAGTCCTTATCCGGCATGGTCGGCATGGACCCGCTCGCTCTTAGCATCAGCCTGAAGCAGTAAGATCCTTCCATCTGCTCTCCCCCTCCTCACCCCTTCAAGGTTCTACGGAGTCGTTCTCACCAGCTCCCTGGAGTATCGTTACGTCGACAGGCTGTCGACCAGCTCGATACGCTCGTCCGCTCGTAGCAAGGTGAAGGTGAAGGAGCCGGGCCTGGCGGAGTGACGCTGTGGGCAGGTGGCTGCGGGCATCACACAGAGCTACAAGGAGCTCTACGACGCCATCATCTCGCCGGAGTCAGGGTGAGTGGAGGAGGAAGGAGGAAGGCAAGAGGCGCAAGTGACGCAGGGAGCAGGTACAGGGAACCGCACGCTATCTTGCTGCACGGGCCGCAGCAGATCGAGAGCCTGCTCATGGGGTCTGTTTGAAGGAAACGTGCACATAAGACATGATGTATTGAATGAAGACATATTTGAACGACATAAACATACATGGTTGTATCAAGTGAATATGAAATCATCTTCACTCTGCTCCCAACAAACCTTGGTCCTGCCTCTCATCTGGACACCGAGGTCAGACTTGTCCACATCGGTTCATCGCCGTTACCTTCTCCCCAAACCGCAACATGTCGACCCTGTCGATGGCAGAACAACCTTCAAGGCCAGCAGTCAAGACAGTCCCCAAGTGACGGCAACACCAGCGTACCCAACAGCTCCAGCTGAGTCAGCCCTTCAGCCCAATCGCGAATGTGGACGAGGGAGTCCTTGGTGACGTTCTCGCAGTTGGAGATGTTCAGGTGCGACCTGGCGGTGGGTGAGGCCAAGCAAAAGGAGCGAGGCGAGCGCACAGGAAGAAGAGCGATCTCGATATCTCCGACATGGCCAGGTCGTCCAGACCAAAGCATCCTGAAGGTCCATGAGGAGGGAGGGAGGGCAGGAGGCTCTACCTGTCAGGTCCAAGTCTGTGATGCCACCGCAATGGTGGGCCAACTCAGAGAACCCTGGGAGCTCGTCAGGCACTTCAAGACCAGCCGGGTGAACCTTGGTTGGTGATCTTGTCACAGTACGCCAGGCTGACGTCATCCAGCTTCGTGCACGATCGAGCCACGCAACTTATGCCGTAGTCGGTGATGCTCTCACACCTGCTTCCTCCGTCAGCTGGCCACAGCATATCGGAGGCTTCACCAGCTCAAGTCAAGCTTGCGCAGCTGGATGCATGTGTGCGACAGATGCACCAGTTGGACATCTTGATACCTGACACGTGGACGAGTCACGGCCAGTCACATCGCGGGCAGTTCAGTCCCAACAGTTTGCTCCCTGCCACTTGCAGACTCTCTAGACTCGAACAGCTTCCGCAGATCTGCCCGAAGGACTCTTCGGTCGTCTTGACCAGCCCCGTGTAAGAGATCTGAAGCGGTGACGTCAGCAACTTCTGGTCACGCGCGTGCGGCACCTCTCTCAGTCGGAAATCCAAGTCGAAGTTGACGAGGAAGGCGATCGAGGCGTCGGTGAGCTCCGAGCACTCGTTGAGCGTGACGCTCTCGATCAAGTGACACCCCGACGCGACCTCCATCATGCCTCCGTCGGTGATGCGCACACAAGCCTCCAGCTCAAGCTTCTTGAGGTTGGGGCAGAGCCTGCGAGGGTGTGAGGGCAGTCGACTCGGGGAGTGGAGACCTTGCAATGTGCCTCAGAGCGTTGTCCGTGAGGCCCCTCAAGCCTTCCAGGTTCAAGCAGACTATGTTGGGCATAGACCGAACGATCTCGATGACGGAGAAGTCGGTGACTTTGACGCATCGAGAAATAGTCAGTGTATGCATCTTCTTGTAATCCTGAAAGTAATCGAGCATTTGAGTGACCGCATATTCTACCACCTGCACCGCCACGTCATCGTTTGCTGGTTTGCAGATGCAAAGCAAACCCTCTCGAAGACTTTCTCACTGACAATTTTCGTCCGGTCGAGGATGCTCCTTCCCTTCACACATACATCACAAGACTGCTTTGTACTTCAAACGGTAGCCTGACCATCTTTGATGTCACGGTGGTTCGCACGCGATTTTGCTCGTAGACTTCCAGGGACTCCCTCCATGCATTGTGTTCTTCTCCACTCATCGCGCGTATCGCTAACTGCATGTACCCCACAGGCTGTCCCTGCACAAACCCCGACGAGCCGTAAAGAGGGACTTTCTTGGTGATGATGGGATAGTCGATCTTTTGCGGCATCGGAGCCTTGTAGTAAGCGAGTGCCTTGGCAGGGCCTATATCCGGGCGCTCGCACAGCTCTATCTTCATGACGTCAAACTTGTCCATGATCTTGGGGAATGAAGTGTCCAAGTCGAAGTTCAACTCCGTCATGATCGCTTTGTACGCCGAATTCTTCACTGTCCCTCCTGACGACAACTGAGACCGCAGAAAGAGCCTGGACTGCGGGTTGACATCTCTGAGAAGCACTCTCTTGACCTTGCAATAAGGTATCTTGAGATGTATGGCGTACTTTGACAGGTCCTCTTGCCGGATCTCTTGCAGCGTCACAAACTTCCTATTCTGCAGGTCCCACTCTTCTTTCACCTGGATGTTCAATGTCAAGCAGAGACTATGCGAGCAGGTCAAAGACCTTGTTTGCAATGGATATGTCGATTTCCAATTCTCTCGCGATCTGGAAGGGTCGAAGTCCGTTCTTGACCTGTGGTACAGAAATCATTCTTCCGGCATGAAAGCAGATGTCAGAACCATCTCTCTGCATTGCTCCACAACTTTCTTCTCTTTCTCTTCATTGTCCTTCTTCTCCTTCTCTCGTAGCCGTCTCTCTCGTTGAGCAGGCTCCTCAAGCCCAAGTTTGATCGCGATGGAGTCCAAGTCGATGCCTTCGTCCTCGTCGAAGTCATCTCGTCCTCCGGCAAGAAACTGCTTGATTTGTGGCAGAGTCAACCCGGCGTTTCGAAGAATCTTTCTCAACTCCTCCTGGTCTTGTTGTGCTTTGTACAAGGCTATCTGTCTGATTCTTGACTGTGGAGTCTTTTGTCAGGTTGCAAGTAAGCAAGACAGCACTAGGACGCACCTGTTCCAGCTCAAAGGCTGCAACGGCTTCAGGGTCATCGGAGGCAGCAATGTCAGTATCAAAGATCAGGTCTTCTTCGTCGTCAGCTTTCTTCTTCTTCTTGCGATTCTTGATGATCAGGTCGGCAAGCAGGAGAGTCGGGTCAGTGTGGTCGAACAAACCGCCGGTCGGGATGCCTTTGGTGCCTTTCAAGAACCGTCTTGTCCGGTACGCAAACTCTCGCAGGCCAACGTCAGAGACTTGGGTGCAGTAGGAGAAATCCAACTTCTCTAGGAAGAGGCAGTGATGAGCAAGAGCGAGGATCGAGTTGTCTGTGATCTTCTCGCACCCTCGGAGGTTGAGCTCCAACAAGTCAGTCTTCTGCTTCGCCAGCTCGATGACTTCCTTGTCCTCCAGGGTCAGGCAGAACTGCAGGCTGAGAGACTTGAGCGAGTTGGGCAGGAGGCTTACAAGACCGGCAAACTCCCCATCCTTCATGTTGCTCATTCCATACAAGGAAAGGTGGGTGAGGGACCCAATCCCTTCAGAAACGCAGAGCTCCACAACCGACAGGATATCCGAGGGCGGCACCTTGTTGTCAGCTTTGAGCTTCAGGCTCTCGAAATGAGCGCCGTGCTCCTCGCACAGCACAGAGAGTGATCTAGAGGTGATGTTGGAGAGGTTCGAGAGATCGACGTGTCTGATCTCGCCGATAGAAGCTTGCCGACTTACCAACAGAATGCATGCATCGGATATCGATTTGTTGGTGAAGTAGAGATGCTCCAACGGTGACGCTTCAGAAGCAGAGTCAGCAAGCGTTCACATGAAACATTCGGATAGACCTGCTTGCTCGGGCTGTTTGGAGGACATGAACCAGTTGGATTTCTTGCGGTTCGACCCGATCTGCTTCACCAGACTGACAAGAGCTGAAATATCTGCTGGCACCAGACCGAGCTCTTCGTGGTTCTCGAGGATCCACGCGAGAGAAACTGCTTCCTCGTCTGCTCTCAACGCGATCCACTCGTTGAACGTCACCCCCGCCAACGTGAAGAGTCTCTCCGACCGAAACCCGCACGACAGTTGAGCCGCCTTGAGCACCTGCAAGCAAACATCAGCTAATGCACCAACCGCCAGACCTCAGCCTTGACCTGATCCGCCCACGCTCCACATCTGTTGGCATATTCTTGAGAGCGGTCAAGGATGTCACCTGCCTCCACACAAAGCTTGACGTAGTCCTCCTCCACGTCGGTATCTTGTCGCATCAGCGTCATCGCATAGATGGAATCTCCCAGCCTCAACATGGATGGCAGCCACGCTCGGCACACGACGTGTGAGTGTCGGAAGCGACGATAAGCCGCTCGCAAGAGTGAGTAGCGTGAAGACGTTGGAAGGGTCCAGGCGAGCTCATAGAGGGCAGAGCCAAATTCAAAGTTGGAGATCCAATCGTTGGGGTGATGCAGCAGCATTTCTTCAAAGCAGTCGCAGGCGCTCTGAAGCATTTGTACCTTTGCCTCACTCTTATCCAATGAGCGAGACTTGTGAAGAAGCTGCCATCCCCTGGCCGACTGCAGCAGGCCTAGACCTTTCGTCTTAGGGCCGATGCTATCGAAGTCTCTCTCGTTCCATCTCACAACAGAGGAAGGAGTGAGAGGAAACTCATGGATCGAAGAGATTTTCTTCAGGCCTTCTCGCGACAGCCGAATGCCAGTCAGCGTCTCGACTCTCCTCACAACCACCGCCACGTCGATGTTGTCAATGACTGACCAGTCAGTCCTAAGTTCTGAAGACGAGAGGCAAAGTTTGCCAAACTTTCGGATCAGTAGACTCTTCATGCTTTGTCGCCAGTAGATGCTGAACGGGTCAGTGTCCAAGGGTGTGTTGATTAGCTTGTCTGTGATTTCTGCTTTGATTGCTTCCATCTCCTTCTTCTGTGCCAACTTTTCGGCTCTGGCAGTTTTGAAATTCGAGTACTTGTCTGCCATCCACTTTGCTCCTGGCACCGAAGCCTTGATGATCAGTGCGAGTTCGCCCTTGAGCGACTCGATCGCAGCTTTCACTGCTTCAGGGTATCGTTTCATACGCTCTCTGCGAAGTTCTGCAATCATGGCAGACAAGGTGAGAACTTCGTCTATCTTTGTGGGCTCGATGCCAACAGCTTCAAGCTCTTCGCGTAACTCTGCATGGTTCTTTTCTACATACTGCCGTGAGAAGGCTGTGTCGAAGAAGTCCACAAGCGCGGCCTTGGATGTTTCTGTCGACAACACGTTTGCTTTGGTGATCTGAGAGCTGATCTCTGGCAGACTATGCGGATCTTCCTCGTCTGTGATCTTTTGTTCCTTGTCGACATTGAATTGAGCTTTGATTGCCTGGAGCATGCTCCCGCTCTGACCGTAAAACCCGCTTGCAATGCGCAGAACCTTGTAGATCGAAGTCTGCGGCCATCGTCGTCAGAGGCAGTCTCCCTGCAGAGAGAATCTTTCACCTTCAGCACCCTGCTCACCATCTCGTTGAGGAGCATCTTTCGCAGCTCGAAGATGGCTGGATCATACGATTGTTCCTTCACTTTGGACCTCAGGAATCCCAACATCCTCCTATTGAAGCCAGCGGCGTGTATGTTTGACATGATCCTCTGGTGAATGTCGATCTCATCGTAGTTGAGCGGTTGCCCTCTTAAGCCACATCAGCACAATGTGGCTGCTCTCAAGAGCAAACAGACCTGAAATCATGAGTTGCAAGCCCCGTTAAAGAGTCCTTCCCTCTTCGGAAGTCTTGGATGTCTCGAGACAAACTGTCGATCAGCTCCATTGACTTGACGACTGTGAGGTGTTGCAGAGCGTTTTTAAGATCAGATAGACTGATAACAACAGTCATCAGCAGGTTTCGGACAAAGAGCTTTCAACCTGTGATCTATACCCTCGTGGATGTATCGATTGATGGCCTTTCTGTTAGGCGGTGGAATGCCAATATCCGGGCTCAGCGGCTTCTCATATCTCCTGACGTATTCAGGCCTGACTCTCTCACTCATTTCAACATGCCCATCTGTCTTGCTTTGAAGGTTCCATCGAGCCTGGATGATAGCGATCACAAATCATCGCATACTGCAAGGCAGACTAACCCCTTTTGTAAGGTCCGGAGGCATCAAGTCTTTCAAGTCAAGGAAGTATATCCTCTTCTTGCGCTTCAAGAGGTTGATGCCTTGCAGCTCGACAAGACATCGAATCCCGGCATGCATCGAAGACAGCACGGCAGTGGATCCAACCCCGAGCTATGTCCAAGTTACTTCGATCCCTGGAGGTTTCACTCACCTTATGATATGACAAGTTGAGCATTGTTCCTACAGTCACCAGCAAGCTCTGGGAACAACCATGGCTCAGCATCTCCACAAGGATACACAAACATAAACCTGAAGGTCTGAATCTTCCATCACGAAACCCTTTAATACTGGATCCCAACCATGCACGTACTTGGTCTGAGCTGTGATCTTGGCCACTGCCAGCGTCCTAAAGCCTTTGTAATCTAGAATCATCATGAGCGGCACACATATGTGCGACAGCCCAGTATTCTTGTCGTGCAACCTGGAAGGTTGTTACAAACCATCAATCTTCTCTTGGAAAGCGTTTGCACAGACCTGCAATGCAGAATGTTCTTGGAGTGCCTCAGTTCATTGCCAAGCTCAACCCATGACTTTGAACCTTGGCCACCATTTGCAACCCTGAACTCAATGTTTTGAACCCCGTATATTGTGAAGTTTGCGTCGTCATTTGACTTGAACGCCCGAGGGAGGAAAGTTTTCTCATCACTGACGAGCGCCAGCTCTGATATTATAATTCTATTGAAATAATCTGCCTTCTCTCTGAAATCTGCAATGACGTTAGCCAGCAGAGTATATCCTTCCAAGTACTGCTCCTTCTCAACCATCTCAAGACCTCGCTGAAAGTCATCGTTCCAGTCTCGGGGCAAGTTGGTGGCCGCAACATCAAGGTTTCCGATTTCTCTCGTCCCAACCTGCCCAGTAGGCTTGCCTACAGCCTTACTTGATCCTCCACCCATGCTTACATCAATCAGCTGAAGCTTTTCTCCTTTCAATCGCTCCTATAATCCTGCTTAGCATCCTTAAATCGTGAAATCTTCGAGTAAGCTCATGCTCCCGTCGGTGCGCCGTTGTCCTGTAAACTTGAACCATGCACATGTATCCAGCTACATCCTTGTGTCTCGCTTCTGTATTGCTCTTCTCTCATCGGTCACGAGCCTTCGCCATCTCACCCGTGGTCCTCGCCCGGTTGCTGCATTGCGTAGTCCCGACACCAAATTCCGAGTACCACGCATGTTGGTAGACCTGCTAATATGATCCGGGCCGTCAGCCGGGCCGTGCCGCCTGGGCCGGGCTCCGAGGCAGTGCTCCGAGCCTCGGAGGCTCAGCACTGCCAGGGCCGCTCAGCAGGGCTCAGCGGTTGGTAGACCATCGAGTGCCCGCGGCGGGGCCCGGCGGGCCAGATCCCGCGGCCAGCCGGCTTGAATCAGTGCCCGGCTAGCCTGGTGAAAGGCTGATCACTCGGAGGCTCAGTTGCCGGGCATAACGGGGGCACGGTCGGACCTGGCAGTCCGACACGGCGGAACGGCGTACCGTACCGTATGGTACGGTACTACCGTCCAAGGATTTGTGGTCACGGTAGTCCGGCGGAAGTTTGTCACCCGAGGTTTTTGAAGAGGTAGACTAGAGTTTCAAAGTTTGCCGGGTTGGAGAGTCACGGCGTTGGGCTGCCAGGATCAGTGAGGATCCGATGATCATTGTGAGCCAAGGCGAGTTCACTCTCAGTCGCCGGAGTGACACTCGGAGCAGTCGCCCGGCCCGGCCGGCGGCGGCCGCCACTGGGCCAGGCCCGGCCGGTCCCCCGGTGGTAACCGTACGTCCCACCTGTCACGGGCCCGGTGCCGATGAATTCAAATTTCAAACACCCCACCCCCATTCGCAGGGTCACAATCAAGTCAATTGCACCCCTTCAAATCGGAACGACTGCCAATGACCCTGTGATCTACCCCTTGTTTGTACTGTCGAAGTACCCTACCGTGATATGCTCTACCCCTGCAGCCTGTCGGCATATGACCTACCCTACACATTCCATTCAAATTTCGTCGAATGTGGGGGTGATGGAGAACAGGGAGTTACCACTACCCTGTTCTCCACCCGTAATCCAAGGGTAGGGTGGAGGAGGTGGCTGAAGATGTTATGCCGGCGCTGCCCTTCCTCCTCTCGCTCATGCTCTGTCACTCCCTTCCTATCCGGTCCCGTCTTCTGCCCCTTCCATGTTCCCTTCCATCAGCACTGCGTGCTGCATGATACTTCTCATTGTTCAGCTCTTCTTCTGACTCTTCAACTCCTTCTTGATTCTACTTCGTGGAGTATCCCAACACCGTGCGTTGTAACAAACAGATATTTACCTGAGAAAGACAACTGTGCACTCCTCGATTCAAATATTCTTTCACGACCTGATCTACATTTGACCCTTCTGCATTGCAGTTCCTTGCAACATGAGCGGCTACAGCATCAATCAAGTAACGAATCTGCGTCGATTCGAAATTTCGACTCATTTTGCGCTGCTCAGGCGCACCTGATTCACGATCACTCCTCGGGCCGATCCAGTACACGTATGAAATTCTCGATGGCTAGCAGGCAGGCTAGCATCACTTTCCTGTGCTGACGTAATCTTGGGCAGGTCTGCACGCACCTCCCGGCGGTGCATCTTCCATTTCCTTTGGATGGGGCCAGGAAAATGAGGTGAGAGGAGCTCGATCCATCGGGGGAATGTCTCTCCTGATATCTGTTGTCAGCCACCACGTGTTGCCATGTCGCCTCCGAAGAGCATTGCTACTCCTCCCAAGGCTGTACAAGCTGCAAGCCCTCAACCCACCGAGTCCCCAGGGGAGGACAGGAAGGTTGATAAGATCTTAAAGATGAAAGCTTCAGCCTGAAAGTTGTCCAGGGATTTGGTGACACTGGACATTCCTGTGTTCGACTGTGAGTACAAGCTCAGTCCCTTTTAGGGTGACTCCTGTCGTCAGGCACGCTCCTGCTGGAGGTTCCAATGCCTTAGGGACTTCATTTGCCTGGGCTGAACCCGAAGGAAAGGCTCCCCCCCAGCCTGCTGAGCACGTGCACAAGGTTTCACACATCGTAAGGATGACATCTTGGAGCCTGAGAGTCTTGTGTAGCAGAGTATGCCATCTGCTAAGGTGGTGTCCAACGTGATGCAAGTCGGAAGCACTGTCATCTACAGACAGTTGGGAAGCAATGCCGAGAGTGTTGCCCAGATTGTTGAGATCGAGCCTGTTGGAAGCAGGTGATTCCTGAACCTGTCTGAGGTGTAGCTCAAAAATGGTCGCAGGAAAGACAACTACAAGATCCGATTTGAAGATGGAAGGGAACGAAATACCACGGTGGACAAGCTGCGACTCGTTCAAGAAGGTGTGCCTTCCTCTGCTGTTATGTTGCTCTGAAGTTTTGCAGAGGAAGCTCCTGAGGAAGGGATGGAGAGGATGAATGTTCAAGATGAAAATGTCCCTCCTGCAGAGACTTCCTCCCCCTTCCGCAAGACGGACTTCCAAGACAAGAGGATTGGAGATGGCGTGAAAGTTCAGGCCGTTCAAGTACAACATCATGATTGTGTGCCATGGTTGACCACGACATCAATAGGGAGCAGGAGTCGGCGAGCTTTCTATCGGGCAGAAAGTTCTTTACAAACAAACTCCTCGCTCAGATCCTGAAGAAGTTGTTGTTGTCGATGTGGAGCTTCCAGGCCACAATGGTTCTATGAGGACCAAGACTTACTATCATATCCAGGTGAAGCAACCTGGTAGGGTCTGCTCATCATGCTTTCTTTGACGATCGCGCAGTTTTCCGATGGCAGAACACGCGAGACCACAATCGACAAGATTACCAAGATGTGAATGTCTTTCTGTTCCCTTCCGTGTAGTCGCATTTTAATTTTGAGAGCTCTAATCCGTTTCTAGTGCGAAATTTGATATATTCTAAGAGAAGATGCGAATAAATAGTTTCTTTGACCTTAAGAACCAATTTGCACACCTTCTGTGTGATAGTGTAGTATGATATATTACAACAATTGTTACACAACTCCTGAAATGTGTGTCTTCAGGACGATTACAAGATTATCTAATTGCATGACGCATCGGAATCAGAGATCTTAGGCTCGGGTGAGCGACCCCTGAATTCGTTGAGAGCCGGAAGCAACCTCTTGAAGCCCCTTCCAGATGATTGTACATGGTCGAGCAATCAATCACGTGCGGGGTAATCACTTAATGTTGGAGATAACATGGGACCCCTCCATGTGTAATTCGTCGGAAGACACTGAGATGTTACAGCTGTTTTGGATGCAACTGTAGAGCTCCCTTGCACAGCTTGTCATTCCTTCCTGAGGTCTTGTCATGGAATCTTTCACTTCTGGTAATTGTGGCCCCGATGCATCATTGAAGATTCTTGTGTAAAGGTCTACCATTGGGCCTAAGCTGGATTCATTTCGTCACGAGCGAATCAAATGTATCATTTTCAACGACTGCAATCACATACCGGTGAGCAGTCTTGATTGCCATCGTGTACGAATCAAAAACTTCGCTCTCTGGGACATGTCGCCCTGTACACCAACGTCCAATCAGAAATGGAGTGTAGGTGAGCTCTCAGTCCGTCATGACCTGTCCTCTTTGCACGGTCTGACGCTCGAGAAAGAATTACTTCCATACTAGCCTAACACATGTGCATCAGCGATTTAGAGGAAACCAAAGATAGAATACCTCGACGTGAATGATCGCAATCCTGTGTCTCGGATGTCGCTGACGGATATCTTCTATTGTCCTTGAGTACCATTCATAGTTCCTTAGACTCCCATCGACAAACAACGTCTTCCCTTGCTGCAGAGCAGCCTCTTGGGCAATCTGAGCATGCCTGTCAAAGATGCTGTACCCTCTCTTCAAGTTAGAATACCTCTACGCAGTACCCACATTCTCTGTGTGTGAGTTTCCCAGCTGTTTCGTAGTTTCGGGAAGCATATTCGGACCACTCAGGGAGTCTGAGACGGAAGAAGTCTGGATCCACCCTCACAATCTGAGGACACAATCTTCATGAACATATACAGACATTCCATGATCTCACGTCTCCAAGACGAAAAGCAGGATTTTGACATATCTTGTCAATGACGTAGGATTTCCCTGATCCCATCGCACCTGAGAGGATGTACACCATTGTTACACGAGGAAGGAAGGAACCAAACACGATGTACCACAAGTGAAAATGATCCACGGATGTGTAAGCTGAGTCGTAGAAGGTTTTTGAAGAACCTCTTCGATCAGCATATCCTGCAACCTCTGCCTGCTTGACTTTCAGCGGTATAGATCCAAAATCGTACCTCACCTTGCAGGCATGAAGTTGGTGTGATATGTGTGATCGAGCTGAGCACTGGAAGAATTGAGTCAGAAATGTGATGTCGTCCTTTGAAGAATCATACCGAATATCGGCAAAAGGCCCCACAAACTCCATTTCATCGTGACTGTGAGAACAATTTCTCACTTGCGTCAACGACGAAACATAACAAAAACTACCTAAAGTTTTCTGCAGTTGAAAGGGACCAATCATAGGTCTTAGAATGCCCAGCATTTGTTATTAGAAGCTTGTTTTCGCTGGCATTGTTGCTAATCGGTTGATCCACAGTGATACCTCCCATGACCTGCAGGGAAGCATTAGTGCGTCGTTCCACCTAGAAAACGTCCATTTCATCTTCAATCCATGCTTCTCTGGATCTCCATCTACAATCACCTCTCATTCAGCTCACACTCAGATTCAGATGTCTTGTGTCCGGCTCCCATTCGCATTCCATTGCAGAGAAGGCAAGGAATATGAGATAGATCGAGTGCATTTCACCAACCCATGATCCATTTTCCTGTCTTGTTCAAGAGACGTTCTCACACCATGTCGAACCATCTTTCAAACCATTTCGAAACAATCTTTCTCTCTCTTCTGATCGCTCCCATCGTTCATCTCACTCCCCCCCCTCTCTCTCAAACCATTCATCTTGCTCCTCTACATCTCTGCATCCCCTCCAAGAGCAAGGTTCCCATCTGAGTAGAGCCTGTTTTTCCCTACCCCTACTTTGCTATACCCTACCCCAGAGTCTGGCAGGCTTGCATTACCCCTACCCCCTTGATTGGTAGTCTTTTTCCATCGTTCAATTTCTTCTCCTCAAGTCTTCATATTTGCTATGTCTTATGATAACATAATTATTGTATTGTAGCAAAGAGTACCCCTTTCAATGAGACACCCCTACATATTTTGCACCACCCCATGCTGAATCGGTACCCTGTGTCTTCCTATGCCTCCACAAACGATGCGGTCCTAGTAGTAAAGATGTACAACCAACTACCCCACCATCCATTGCAAGGGCTTGCTACCCCCACCCTCCACTGCATCCTAATATAGAGGCGGGCCGTCAGTGAATGCCCGGGGGATCCCCGAACTTCCGAAACCCGGCGCGACATCAGTACTCACCTCCATGAAGGCCGCCATGGCAGCAGCAACTGTGACGATGCTGTGGCTTCAAGGGAGCAGAGGAGGCGGAAGCTGCAGAAGCTGCTTCATCGCCACTAATAAACTACTCCGTCTACCAGGCAGCGCGCTTCCCTCGCTCAAGACTTGCTGCTTTAGGCCTGTAAAGGGACGATACTGGGTTGCGCCCGGTCGAAGCATGTCACGGAGTTCGCAAAGCGATGAGAATGTAAATACAGATCGAGAGATGAATGGCAACGAGATGACGGAAAAATTCTTAAACAAAAAGATCAGGGTCGATGAACTCTTGTTAGAACTCGGACTTGCCAGCGATATGAAGGTACTCATTTCATCAGTTCGTTCCAGATTTTGTAACAGTCGATCCAGCATGCCGGTGCTCTTGTCTTGGCAGGAGCTGTGATTATCGATGAAACCGTACGTGTCACTAGCCCTGCTCAAAAAGTTCGTAGGAGCACTCCGATACGTCTTAAAGCCCAAAAAGTAGTCGCGCCTTGCATAATACCTGCCTTATGACTTTTTAACTTCTCGTGCAGGAACATCCCTGGGTATCTCGTGGGGGGATGAAGCTTGACCATGCAATCAGAGAATTTTCTGTTGAAGTGAACAGTTGCTGAGTCCCTCTATATGCGTGAATAGAGTATGCAGGTCAAAGACGTGGTAGCGGTTGACGTGGGTTGTAGTACTGGGGGGTTTACGAATGTATTGCTGCACTATGGAGCGTCAAAGGAAAGAACATATACTCTCCTGTCGAATTGTTCGAACCCGTTGACAACTGCTGTAGGTTTACGCGGTCGATGTTGGGTATGGCCAACTTGACCTTCAAATAAGACAAGTATTGTCAAGCTGTGTTGATTGTTGGTATTTAGATATGGCCAGGATCCTCGAGTCGTGGTGCTGGAGAGAACGAATGCAAGAAACTTGACCCGAGATGTTATCGCAGACGCGCCATCCATGATAGTCTGTGACGCATCTTTTATCCCTCTGCACAAAGTAAGTCCTGGCTCTCGCCCAGGTCTATGACGGCCTGGATGCAGGTGTTGCCAGCCTCGTTAAAGCTTTGTCAACCTCCATCAGTGCTGTTGGCCTTGATCAAACCTCAGTTTGAGGCCCTTAGGCACGAGGTCGAATCGGGGACTGGAGGTTGAATCTTGCGATCTTGCGCTCTCCACTCACGTGCTCTTGGAAGTTGTGCGTGACGGGAAAGTGCACGAGAGGGTTTGCTCCGAAGTCTCTTCGTGGTTGAAATCGGTTGGATGGGAGGTAACGTCCTTGACGTATCAGCAAGCGAGATCGCGCTTGACAAGGAATGACAAGGTGCAAGGGATCACTCAGAGTCCCATTACAGGGCCCAACGGGAACATTGAATTCATCATCTATGCAAGACTGCAGAATGTTATGGAAACATGAAAGCAAGACAGAGACAGGGTCGCTTTCATACAACCTCCCTGATCATCTCTCATAGAAATTTCCTACATGTGCAGTCGCAACTGATCAAAACCCCCTCGAGGGCTTCTTGGCTTTGCCCCAAAATTTGAAGATCTGCCCTTGTTGCTGCGGGGGGTGGACGTCGCGAATCTCATAGATGAGGCCCATAACTTCTTTGAGATAAAACTGCAGCTAAAGTTCAGAGCATGTCAGATGTCAAAGGAGCAAGGCGACCTCTGGGTCGAACCACCCTCCACGAGTGATCATCTCCATCTCTGACCGGTATTGATGTTTCCCAGGATTCAGAACCTGCAAGAGTAAGGTGACCCGACCGACACTTGCAGTAGAGTTGATGCGATACCCCTTGACTGTTGAAGTTTGTCAAGGTCCTTCCTCCTAGGAGATTGTCGGGCCGATATTCGAACCTATGAGGCATTACTCTTGCTCTAGCAAACTTCGATTGTGCGGTCACTTACAGTGGCTCACGCGCGATGTTGAAGTTGTACTTGTAATCCGAGGGCTGATTGAGATGGTTCAAGAGGTGATAAAGCTTGTACACTTTCATCCTCATCTCGTACCTAATTGAAAAGTAAAAATCAACTTGCTGCCAAACTTTCGCAAGAGCAAGGGAGTACCCTTCCAGCCTTGGGTTATAGTGATGGTAACCTTCGAAGAACCTTTGAGGCATTCCAAAAGTTTCCCCTACCGACTGCGGAGAGATCAATCACAAGTAGAAAATTACGATCCGCGTACAAGATCGAACTCAGCTGGCCCATGCCAACTGGCAGGTCCGAAAACAAATTCTGTCTTGTCGCCTTTTTCCTGCAACGAAGTGTGAGAATCTAGTGGCTCTCTGAGCTGATTGACTTCTTACAGCAATATTTCCCAACCAGATGTCTCCGTGCAACATCGAAGGACTTGATTCAAGCACTGGCGCAAAGATTTCTCTCCACACATGGCTATCGACTAATCGCTCCAGTATCTTTTTCGAACACTTAAAGATGATTAGATGAAATTTATCTTACTGACCTTGTTTCCAAAGAATCCAATCTTATCTCGGATATTGTCACTGTACTCGGCAGAGCTGAGAGCAAGTCAATTCCAAAGATTTCAGACTTGGAGGGAGACCGATCCACTCTTTCTTTCGCTGCTGATGCATCACGGATTTCTGGTTCCAATCTTTTTTCCGCAAAAAACTCAAGGAAGTCCTAAGCTCACATGAGTCAAAGTGAAATTGCTCCATGCCTCAGAAACCTTCATTTCGCTGTTTCTCTGTCTACGCTGCCCAAGGAAGGTGTCCATGTGATATCCATGATTTCTTGATTTCTCCAAGGAGTTCAAGTGAAGGGCCGCAAGCTGGAGGCAATATCATCAAATTCCACTTCCTTGCCATTCACAATTCTATGCCTGCTCAGCGACTCTTCCAACAAGGTTGGGGGTGATGCTCTGATGCAAACCGGCATGTCAGTCTCGGAGATTCACATCATGAATGTTCATACCCGTTTCATCTCCACCCACTCCAGAACTCCATATCCCCCTGAAACGAGCTCTGATACCTAGCAGCGAATCATAACAAAACGTTTGAAAGTGATGGAGAGATATCTCACGTTCTTGTTGACAGATCTCATATTCCGTATGTATTCATCATCCCACAGGTCTCCTGCTACAAGAGGTGCAGGAACTGGAATCTGCGGAGGTTTCAACTTTGAGCCATGCAGCAACGATTTGAGGATATATGACCGATTTGAACATTCTGATGTCTCTCAACGATTCCTGTTCAATGTCCAACAGGTGTAAGCTCGTCAAACCAGGGCAGTAAGGGGATCTGAACATTTGCAAGTCACCTGCTCTCCTTCGTAGTAATCAAACGGGTATGGCCGTTTCTTCTCGACTGCTGAACTGCCAGCACCAGCTGAAGAAAAATCTCAACACAGTCAGCTTGGAAGACGCTCTTCCACCTATGATCGATTGCAGCTCTTTGGGAATATCAAGAACAAGACCCCCAGGCTCGTTTGACTCATTGATAAGAGAATCCTGATGAAACAACCTTATACTTGTTGAACTCCAATATCGCAAACTAGTGTACCATGAAGTTGTTGTTTCCGCCACCACCAGCACTCAAGAAGTCAAATTCTGTCCCATCGCTACAGTGGAAGAGTGAGAATGATCAGGTAGATTGATACAATACAACCACCTCGGCCTATACGACTTTTGAACTGAAGGCAGGCCCGAAATGGAAAGGTTACAAAAAGGCAGGCCAAACTGGACTGCATCTTACAGTCCTTTCCAGTCAGGATCACTTTGACGAACAAGTCTCCTCCACGGACTTTGTATCTGAAGTGTCTCCTTGCCTTCTTTGCATTGAGAGGGGGCTCATAGTATTTCTTCTCAATCTTCTTCCTGTCAGAGCTGAACCTTCCACCCCTGCCTTGCGAGGTCGGGACTGTTGGTGCATCCTGAATTTGCGGCAAGTTCACTGGAGTGTCGAGCTCGAGCTCTTCGATCTCCTTCAAATCCACCGGTCCCATCTTCTCGCCCTGTGCAGCAGAATCCTTGTCAGTGAAGGACTTGAGGGGAACTGCAGCATTGAGTTACCACTTTCTCCAGGATGGCTCTATGAAAGGGATCATAACGTCGGAAGTTCTGACCGATGTTTCTGTTGTAGATCTCTTCTTCCTTTGCAGCAATCTTGGCTGCTGCTGCTGCGATGCGTGCAGCCACATCGAATTCCGCTGGATCCTGCTCGGACGTCGGCGTTGTTGCGTTGTTGGGGGACATTTTCAAACATAGCCGCGAGTCGAAGGAACAAGTCAGCCTGCTGCGGCTTGACTGCACCCGCCATAGCGAGGGAGAAAAGGCAAGCCCATAACACTTGGATGAAGCAACGAATGTGGTTTGGCGAAGGGAGAGCATGAGCATGAGACTCGAAAGAATGCTTCCATGGAATGTTCTCTGCATTGTTTTTCGCAACGTGCCCGTCGTCCTACCTCCTCCTTCCTCCCTCCTCCTCCTTCCTGCCTCCATTCCTCTTCCTCTGTCTCCCTGCATCTTCTTCTGCTCTACTTCTCTACTTCTCTACCTCTCTGCGTCTCTTCCTCTCAAATCTTCACTCCTTGCACCGCCATGTTTGTGATGCGACCCGACATTCCCCACTTCTTGATTACTCAACCATGTGACTAATATTATCGTCCTCCTTTGTTTGCTCCGGTTTGCCTTTCTTTTTCAGTCAATAAAGGTGAAAAACGAGCGAGCGCAAACTCGCGGGAGACTATGAGAGCTTGAGGGAGACAGGGAGACAGGAAGGCAGGAAGGCAGGCATACGCACATACTGACTGACTGACTGACTGACTGACTGACTGACTGACTGACTGACTGATACATAGAGAGATAGATGGAGGGTTGCAGAGAGGAAGAGCTGCACTACAGGCCTGGGTGAGATGAGCTCAAGAATGAGAGCAGATCGCACTAGAAGGAGCGTCCACACGAGTTCAAACCTTGACATTACTTTGATACAATACGTACACGGGACCTACAGCGTTAACAGACCGAGTGTGGTCAGGCAGCGCTGGTGAGGTTGGAGAACAGCTGCAGAAGCTCCTTCGAGGTCGCCAAGCTCTCATCCAAGATCTGATCTGACAGCTGCAACTCCATCCTGAGATTTTCAAGAGCCTAACAAGGCAGTCAAGCACCGCCAAGATCACCACCACCACCACCACCACCACCACCACCACCACCAAGCGCTGACCTTGATCCTCGAGGGCCCATTGAACAACCCTTGGTAGATATGCGTGCCTTCTCTTGCAGCCGCCAGCTGCTGCTGTTCAATTGCTGCTCTCAGCTGGGGAAACTTTCGCAGGAACTCGGGGGGAAAGCCCACAAGGGGTGGGTCGATGAATCCATGTCCAAGGAGTCCAAGAGCACCTGGAATCCCGTCAGGCCTTGATGCGTCGACAGATCAGCTGCCTGTAGAATTCAACAGATCTCTTAGCAACGTGAAGTTCTTTGACACGCCGTCCAGATTTCCTGCCTCTGTTGCACAAGTCAACCCCCCGTGCGTATCCAAGGAAGACGACAAACTACCCGCAAGAGCTTCCAGCCACTGATCCGGAGAGATTCGAAGGAAACATGACATAAAGTCAGTCGTCCAGGCACGACATACATCAAGCACGGAGTACCGAGTTCACGGTGCCCTCCGGCGAGAAGTTGGGAACATCCTCTGTCAAACTTTCGATGGAACCTGCTCTTTATCAGTCGCCATCTTCTCCGGAGGCTGGTTCCGCTCACCGTAGGGGACCCACGTTTCCATTCCACCTATCGGTAGCCCAGCTGGTGGCGCCGTCATGTTTGGCCCCATCAGGACCCATTTCTTGCGGCTAGAGGAAGTCGGGGTGAAGCACTCCCTATCCTCTAGCCTCCCCCCCTCCCCCCATATTCCATTCCTCCGTCGCAGCAGCAGGAGCCTGTTGTTGCGCTCAGAAAAGGAGATCGGTCTCTGGGTCTGAGTCCATGGAAGGTCATCAAAGATGCAGTCGAGTACTGCAGGAAGATGGTGAGAAGGTTGCGAGGAAATCGGAGTGTGGACACCTTTCATGCTCGAGCCTTGTCTCTCTTGTGGATCGCCAGCTGTCCAATCTGAGTCTAAGACGAAGATAGACGATGATGTCCTGAATACTTGTTAGAAACTTCAAAAGGAACATCGCATCAAAACCTGAAGAAAGCGCATCGTTCTATGTGAACGAACGCTTGCATGAACATACCGACAGAAAAGCAATTATTTTCAAATCCACTCTCCATTATTTTAGACTTTGAAGCTCCGGAAACTTTGATGGCTGCAAGGCTCTGAAGAAATCCTCGTTTCAGTGTGATAGGATCTCACACCTGGTCTCACCGCATCCCGGAACACGCAATCTTTCACTATCAACAAGCTCCTCTCATAAGTTGCGATAGCATTCGAATATTGCGAATCTGAGCTAGAGAAAAGCTTCAGTTCTTCGAATCGAAAGAGAATCTTTGAACTAGAATCGTACCTGTGTGTTGACCCGAACTTACAAGAGATGAACTCAACAGTAGAATTCTGGGTGATAGAACAGATGCTGAAGGAACAGTGAGATGAGACTCCTCACAGAGCATGCACAGAAAGAATACCATCCTTCCGAACTTTTCATGTCACATCGCTCAAACTTCCAGGGACCGCCTCGGATAAGCAGCATGATGGAGGAATCATCGTCGCAATCCTCCTTTCCGTTAGATGGGATCGAATCAGTGCTTCCTTGAAAGCGAATGCTGTAGAAGTTTCCATTTGATCTTTCTGTCATGAAAAATTGTCCCTCTATGACTACTGACTCTGGTCTCTCTTCTAGACCTCGTCGAGTACTTTCGTCCGATTGTTTCCATCGTGCAGGTTGTCTACTGACATCCTCGTGTGGACTCACAAAAGCACATCCGTCGACAAGAATTGGCTCTACGACATCAACTCGTGAAGCAGGATTGCTGCAAGAAGTCACTCATCTACAAAGAAGCAGAAATGTGTCAATCATGAACTTACCGGGTAGGTTTGAAGGAGTCGACCTGGTAGTACCCTGGTTTCATCAAAACTATTCTTCGTTCGTTCCCTACGAATGAGAACGCTTCGACGACATTTGTGTCGTCAGGTACAACTACTTCAACGTCTCTGGCTACTGCATTCTTTGACTTCAACTTGCGCTTGATGTTTGCTTCCAGCGAAAGGGTAGCATGACCCTGGTTTGATCAATTTCATCTCGTCAGAGGTTACGAGAATCCTGTGCGCATACCTTGGTAAAGTGAGTCATAGACCCCATGTTGCTAATGGACGCGCTCGCCATCCTCAGCGTCTCCTCGTCCAAAACTTTCCTGCAGCCCTCGCCCAGGACCTCTTCGGCTATCTTGTCCTCGAAGCTCAATAGCTCAGGAATTGACGATCGCTGTCTCAGCAAAGACTGGATCTTCGATCGCGGATTCTCCCTCGCATGCAACTCTGCTTCTCCTTCCGGACCAAGAGTACGCATGCTCGGACCAGGAGTCCGCATGCTCGGACCAGGAGTCCGCAAAGTCGGTGTGCTGAGGACCATACCCGAGTCTTCGTCGTCAACGAAGTTCTTCACCCCTGTCCTCCCAGATCTGAACGCAGACGCACCAAGGAGGGTCGTTGCGGATGGCGGGACAGGTGAGTCCAAGATTGATTCAGTATCTGAAGATCCGTGTGTTGAGTGCTGAAGCGAATAAGCACACCCCACCAACACAGCGAAAAAGCAGCAGGTTCTCGTAGAGAACTTCATGAGTAGGATTCAGATGCTGGTCGGATCAATCTCCCACATCAAGACAACTCCTCCTCATCCTCCTGCTACTCATGCTGCTGCTGCTGCTGCTGCTGCTGCTTTTCTCTCTGTTTCCCCTTCGCCACTCCCTTTCCTTGCTGCCTTCATGTCGTATTTACCTAGGATGCGGATCAATAGCAAATAACGGTCGTAACGTTGAATGTGAGGAGAGCAAAGGATTTCCCGATGGCGTGGAAAGCTCTCGTTGCGACGGCAATGGCTGCAGGAGCGGCATTCTTGGTGGTGGTGATGCGGGAGAGAAGGAGGATGAGAAGGTACGACCATCGTCATGCTCATGATGTGTAGAGATCAGCTCAAAGAATGCCTTAGTGGATCCTGCTGGTTCCTTCTCATACCCCCTGTTTCAGGCAGTTGATGGGGAATTTTGTGGACGTGGACGGCAAAAAGATTTACTGTGAGGTGCAAGGTGAAGGGAACTTCACTGTTGTCCTCGATGCCGGCCTTGGGATGTCTAGTCTTTCATGGCATTGGATTAAGGTAACCCATCTTCCAGAGCGGATTCATCAATGCCCTGACATGGTGGCAGGATGTTCTTGTCAGTAGAACGAGGGTGGTGTGTTTCGACCGGTGATCTCCAGTTTTCATGATGTCGTCAAGGTTGTGATCCATGTATCCCTCCACCAACAGGCCGGGTCTGGGATATAGCCCACCCGACAAAGGCCCATCATGGCTGCGGAGGGTGGACTCGATAGTGGATCTCACCTACCAGCTTCTAGGAAAGCTGAAACTTCAGGTTCTTCCAGGCTAAATCTTGACCGCCCCTTGGCTGATGAATGGGATGCCGCAGGAGAATCTGATTCTTGTCGGACACTCCTCTTCAGGAATGCATGTGCGGCTCTACGCTCACCTGTACCGAGAGCAGGTGATCCTCGAAGCTCCTTCATGAGGTTGATGAAGAAGCTTCAACCTTCAGGTCAAGGGGATTGTGCTGATCGATGCTGCGCATGAGAAGCAGCTCCAGAAGCTGCAAGGCAACTCCATTTACAACAGCTACCCTTCTAGGGAAATGACCGAACACAAAATGGTGCTTCGTTCTCATGTGGATGTTCTGCGATTTGACTCGTTATCAAGAAAAGATTGAAGTTTCTGTCTAATACCGGACTTCTTCGTATCATGGTTTGCTGCCGGCCCATACTTGATGCAATGTGACCTTTTTTCAAGTACTTGATCTCCGGCCCTGAGTTCAGTAGGCTGTGCTGGCAATTCCCTCTTTTCGTTTACGTGCTGAAGTTCTTCGATATGCTGGGAAGATCTGTTGCGGTAATGCCGTTGTTCCAAGGAGCATGCTCTGGTTGATTGTTGCTTGGTTACATCACTGCAGGTTTCCGCGCGACAGAATGAAAGAATTCTGGGTCCACATTTCCCAGAGCACCTTCGCTCACGTTTTCAAGCGGAACAAGTCGATTCTACTATCAGTCACCAGCACACCAATCCTGATCTTTGCTCTCAGAGTGATGCGGCAAGCATGCTTGCCATGATTTCAGAACATGGATCTCAAAAAGACTCCATGGAATACATGCAAACACTGGACATCATGAAACCCGGACAGGTGCTTGCCTGACTGAGAGAGTTTCTGTTGTGCTCACTTGAGACGTTCCCCCGCAGCTGGGCAACATGCCGCTTATGATCGTATCGAGAGATCCCCAAAGAGGTGCTGGAGGGAGACTCTATCCCAATGCCAAGGGAGATCCAGTGCGGGAGAAACTGCACGAAGTAAAGCTTTCCTCTTCATGCTGCTTTTCTAATGTGCCTCTCGCAGGAATTTCAGTTAGAGCAGGCTGCCCTCTCCTCAAACAGCTCACGGTAGACTCAAAATGCTGACGAGAGCATGGAGCTCATGGACGTATGGAACAGGAAAGTCGTTGAAGGAGCGGGCCATGGTTCGCTGCTGTTTGTCAAGGAGGATGCAGAGGAGGTAGCTCAACACATCTGCTCTTTATTCAAAGCAAAGTGCGACTGAACTCTCAATCAGACTGCGAAAGCTATTTTACAGTTAGTTGATGCCGCAAGAAATGGTTCACAGCTGAGATAACGAACATCCAAGACTTGCAGGAAAGTCTCCTGTATTGTCACTACCGCAGGAGTTTCCAAGACAAAATTGGAACGATTTGACCAGACCAGACTCTCACTATTCCTGTACGCATCGCTGTCATAGCTGAAAATCCTTATAACCGTCAAGAACTCTGTAAGTAACATCAGCTCAAGATGAACATTAGTAAACCTACCGTCCCCAACACGGCGCAGGAAAAGGCGGTGTTGGAACCTATTCCCAAGACACATCAAAAAGACATACAAAATAATAAAGAAAAACTACCCAGCATCCCCAAAATGATTGAGTGTTGTGATTCCAGTACTTTTTGCCAACACCTTGTTTCCAGAGTTCTTTCAATCGAACTACTTCTGCTTGCAAATCGACGCTGAGCTTGTCCCTATCTTCATACGCCATACTTGAGGTCTCGATGGGCTTCCCTATGATGAGTATTATCGGGCTCTTATGGATTTCTTTGAAGCTGTCGACTTTCGCCCCAAGAATAGATCGCGTGTTGCAAATCGCTACAGGGACCACAGGCATCTTTGCTTGAATTGCCAAGACGAGGCCTCCTTTCTTGAATGGTCGCACGTTGCCGTCTGATGACCTTGTTCCTGTACATTGCCAATCAGTGACTTCAAGCAGAAAGGATCAGTCGTACCTTCTGGAAACAAGAGCACAGATCTAGGTCGCTGTTCCAGAGCCTTTCGTCCCTTGTCCAGTGAATGAACAGCTTTGTTGTGATCTGAGCGATCTATGAATATCGTCCCACCACATGCAACCTGGAAGGCTGGGTCACCAAGTATCGAAATCATGAGTTTCACCCAACCGCCCATCCGAATATTGGGAAGTAGGCGACAGACGATTTTGCGATCGCTATCAGCCAGAACCTTAAAAGCTTTCAAAAGACATGAAAAATGTCCGCAATGACTTACGGCAACGCAGCGAACACGAGAGGGATGTCGTAGATTGACTGCATCTCAAGCATCAGGCTTCGCATTGTGCGACGAGCATAGAATCATACCTCGTGGTTGCAAGCGAAGAAATAGTGCTTGTCAGGATCAAGGTTTTCCAGACCGATCACAGTATATGCAGCACCAGTGGCCCATAGAGTGATCTTGAAATATATCGTAGAGCACCGCCAAACAAGCCGCTGCACTCTCGTGAGCCCTGCAGCACCTCGTCACACTCAGCTTTTCATCAAATCTTTATGAAGCACCCATGGCAGGAGTCAACAAGATCAAGGACAAGGTAGGCAGCCCTATCACTGGTACCCAAAATAGCGCGTTGGTGAGAACCCAGAGACTACGAAGGCTGGGGCGTTGTCAGAGAAGCTACGCCCTTTCAAAATCAAGCCCCTTACATCCATCCATTGTTCTTGGAGTCAGCATTCGTCATCTTGTTCTTCGCAGAGCTCTCTTTTGCCATCGTTATCCTTCAGCAATTAGATATTTGACATGTGTCTCCTTGTAAATCCTGACTTACGAAAAGGTCATTCTCGGCAGCTAAAAACATGGCAGAGAAAACTTGAGTTCTACACTGGTTCGGCTTCAATACATAGCTCCTCTTCGCCTCTAAACCAGCCATTACATGTATGGCCCCTCATCTTGACTCATTTGTCTTCAAACACAAACCTCCTCCTCCTCCTCCTCCTCCGGCGCGCTTCTTCAGCTCTCCCTCTCCCCCGCCCCCCGACACACTATCCATTTTTCCGTGTCCTGTCGACCGTCCCTCATCCCCGCTCAAGACCACAGAACCCGGGCAGAACCTGGGGCAGAACACATGGGCAGAACAGGGCAGAACCCACCGGGCCCACCCCTGCAGGGCCCACCCAGCAGTCAAGTCGGCTGCCGCAGTGCACTCCGGCCCTGCTGCAGCCAAGCCTGGTCGGATTAATTTACTTATAGAGTTGGTACAGTTGGTAGGCCTGACTCGTTTCACTCTCTAGTAAGCCTGATGGTGAATTCCTGTGCATCTTTTCCATCTTTCCTTCTTCATCATGAGAGGTTAGAGGAGAGGTTGTGTACAAGTCAGGCTGGTACCTGACCTCCAGGGACACTTGGCTGCCAGGCAGCCCTTTGAACAAGTCGAACAACTCCTGCTTTGACTTGCCAGCTATCGGCTGATCGTCGATGCTCAGAATTGCATCTCCATTTTGAAGGGCTGGGAACGCTCGGTCGGCAGGGCCACCTGCCTTCATCCCGATGATTTTGTATATTCCATTTTCCTGTGAATCACCATCACTAGCAAAAGCAGCCAATATGACAACAACATCAGCATCGATCCGGATACCGATCCCAGCGCTATTTGAGAGATGCTGTAATGAATTTTAGCCCATAATCAACCATAGCGTCAACGGTTTGTTCCAACCTTGTCCAATTTTGGGACTCTCAACATCTCAGACTGAAGGATTCACATCAACAGGAAGTTTGCATAAAGGATCAAGCAACTGTCACCGTCTGGACTTGATTCCCTAGAGTGCGAAGTCACGCACTGCTACGAAAAGCAAGGAAGTGCCAAATCAAGAATTTTACCGTGTTGCAATGCTTGAAGGGATTCTTCGAGGAATTTCAGTCTATTCAGGATTTGGTCCTCCTAGCCAGATTGAGTTGAGGTCGACGAATCGTTCGACAGGAAGGTGATGATTTACCTTGGGACCTCTTTGCGAGACCTCTGCAGAATTCCTAGAAAGTTTTTTGTCTTCACAGTTTGTAAATTTTTTTCGAATCACTCCACGAAACGTTTTTCGTTGAACAAATACTGTGTGATGCTCTTCACCTTCGTCGAGTGAAGGCATGCCGCACTGTACAGCACTTTCTACAGTTTCAATCACCTTCCTACTTTCATGTTGCATGCTGGAAACATCAGAGTCTCCGTTGGACTCAGCACAATCATTCCAAAGTTCGTCGATGATTTCTGATAAAGCATCATCCACCACTCCTTGCGAAGATGTATCTTACACAAGCGACGTCAAGCTCATACTGTCATCAAGTACCACAACAATTCACCTGCTTCAAGGGCTTTCCGAGCAAATGAGATAGTTTTCATCCTATCCTTCAAATTTTTCATTCCCATTTCCGCCAGCTCCCTATCAGCATGTTTCCCGGCTAGTTGCTGCAAGATAACTTGCTCCTTATTGAATGTGTCCTTGAACTCGGACAACTCATTCTCGTCAAGCCAGTCTGAGATTCTCACATCAAGCTTGTAATCACTGGCTGAATCAGATACGTCAGCGAAAGAGTCTTGCCGTTGAAGCATGCCTAAGTTCGAGTCAAGAGAGCGCAGCACTTTGTTTGCGTCTTGTATGAGAGAATGCACAGCTTCGCTCGGAAACTCGTCCTTCCTTTCCACTTCATCAGCAGGCTCGGGGGAGCTCACATACAGCCGCGGCATGCGCAGGTCCTCCCGCGTTCCATCCATGGCGAGAGAAGGGTCAAAAAAAAAAGAATTTGATTGTCAAGATTTGATGTCCGTTGGCCTGCACCATGCTGAAGCGCGCGGTGGGATGGTGGAGATGGCTGGCGTTTCTCTTGTTGCTCCTGCCAGAAATCAATGGATCGGGGCTGTGGATGAAATATGGTACCTTGCAGTGGAGACAAAGTCAGGAAAGGAGCGTGCGATTCATTATTTCGACTGCATGGCCCTTGTCCTCGTGGAGGTTGTTGAGAGGAGCACCGAAGATAGGAGACGTTGTGGACCTAAGATCGAATGTGACGGATAAGAACATGCAGCTGTTCTTGAGCTTCGGAGACGGGAACTCCCTCGGCGAGTCGCAATCTCCTCTGACCTCTGCATCTAGCTGCGCGACTGACGGTTCGTGCCTCTCTGCTGAGATAAGGGGGATCGATGAAGCTGAGGATCTCGTGTTTGCGCTGGTCATAGTCGACCATACATACTCACCCTCAGATGGCGGGACGGTTGACAACTATAACATCTTCTTCTCAGGCTGCTGCAAACCAATCAGCGGGCTAGACAACAGCGCAGGCTGTATGTACAAGATAACATCGTTGGTCTCACTGAACAGTACGGACTACACCCAGTCAGCTTTGTTTGCTCAGACTCCGATTGTCAACGTCTCGTTGGCCATCTCTACCACTATTCAGCTCTTTGCCTATCACCCCACTCAGCAAGTAACCTTCGCGATTGGGACAGACTCTGACTACGGAGGAGATACCATGTCATGTATATCTACCACGAAGGGAGCGCCTTACGATGTCACTGTGGATGCGTCAAGCGGACTTATCTTTGTTCCGCGTCTGAGCAGAGAGTCGTACTACTCCATCGTTGTGCGGGCATGGACCACCGACGTGATCTTCACAACAATGGAATTCTACATCCGTGTCCGTCCGACACCGGCGGGTTTCTCAATTTCTGACCTGCCGGCAGGGCTACAATACGCGAGGACGGCAGAAAGTTTCATCTGCGATCAACTGAATTCAGTAGTTGTCCGTGCCGTCCTCTCGCAGCCGACCCTCAACTTCTACGTCACCAACAGAGACTACTTGCCGACCTTTCAAAACGTGTCGAGGTTTGGCCAGCGCCTTCCCCAGCTCGAAGTCATCCCAGACACGCAAGGACTCCTGTACCAATTCTTGTGGAACCCTCCCTGTGAGAGCCTCCAAGAGCAGAAGATGTACACCTACACAGGAAGGCATCTCCTTGACACGTTTGCTGCTTGCTTTCAAGTCAAGCAACTCACCAGCAGCCTGAGCGTGCCAGACTTCCTGGTGTCTCTGTCACATCCATCTTGCTATTTCCTTCCAGTCATTCGATGCACAACCCCGCAGCTTCAGATCAAGGACGAGGATGGACGAGACTTGCTGCCCTCCTACGTTGTTCAGGCCGGGAACTTCACAACCTTCACAGCGCTCGCAAAAGATGATCCTCAGACGCAGGTTCTTGACTTGAAGCTCACAGACAATTCTTTAGGACCAGGAGGAGATATCGAGATCAGCCCAGCAGCATGTGTCTCTGGCTCTTTTTCTCCGATCGTGCGAGATCGTAACCAGAACTGCACGGAGGTGATGTTCAAGGTAAGTCAGGTCTTTTCCAGCACCAGTGAGTGATTCGATTTTCCTCCAGATCACATTTCGTGGTGGGCTGAACAATGCTGGTCGAAACAAGAGAATTTGCTTCTCTGTCTATAACGATCAGATACTGTGTCCTGCATCGAAACGCTCCTCCGACATCTTCTGTACGGTCTTTTTGGTACCTGCTCCCGTCGTAGAGTGGCAGATACCCTCAATTCCCGTGCCACCTCAAAACTCCAGCTCGCTGATTTCTGAGTCTCAACATTGGGCAGTGAAAAATGTTTCACAGAACAGTTCGCTCCCGTCATCAGTCAACAATATCAGGTTCGCGTTCAGCCCGAAAACGAATCTATCTGCTGGAACTCGCATAACTATCTCAGGTCTCACTGGGAGTGCAACCCAGAATTCGCCAGTGGAACCGATGAATTCGGCAACAGGTTCTTCGACAGCAACGAATGACAGTGCATGGAAAATCAAATACACCAAGCATTCGAGCAATCTGGTCGCCAATTATAATCAGCTTGAGTTTTATGTTCAACCAAAGTACTTCATGCCGGAGAATCAAACAATTGAGATAGCTGGACTGATTGGAACACGAGTTGTATGTAACAAGGATCCTTCGTGGAACGTCCAGCAATCTTTCTCGGTTCCTGTAGGAGTTCCTGTTTTCTTTTTGTGCGGAACGTCATGTACAAGGAACAACCTCTTCTTTGACTTGCGCAATCAGACTAGCGCTCTTGCAATTTACTTTCCATCCATTCAAATTCCTTATCAAGCAAGTGTTCAAAAGGTTTTACTTAGTTTGACGGTTGTAGAAGCCTTGCAGCAAAACCTTACCATCAGGATTCGCACCATCAATCATGTGAACCCTCCTTTGAGCATGCTTTTTCAAAATGTGAGCACATTCAAAAAGTCGGACCAATTTGTGGAGTGGAAGTTAACTTCGTCCACCTCAACTGGCATCGCCTTCTCTCTTGACTTGTCTCTTCTCTTTCAGGAGAAGTTTGATGATTCTCTGTGGAAGGAGGGAAATGCGGTCTCTTTGTTCTTCGAGATGACTTCGCAGGGTTGCAACTCTCCATCCTGTGTGATCAACTTTCAATACTCCAACATCAACATCCTGTACACGTGCCCGCAAATAGAGAAATATGTGAAGATGCATGAAATGGGGAAGGATCCAGCAAAGTATTCTATGTCGTTGGCTGTGAGTTGGAATCAAAACACAGGAGTGATTCTGATTCGGCTTCCCCTCAGCCTTTCTCTTCTCAATGACCGTATCTATCGTTTTGTCTTCACTGTGCAAAACTCCTTGACAGCCCAGCCTGCTCCTACTGTGACCCTCAGAACGTACAATGATACTGGTCCATTCTGTGGTAAAGCGATATCTACTCTCATCTGCTCTAGCAAGCGTGAGACGTTTGATCACAACATTTCAGTTACAGGTTCTGCTGTGAATACCTTTCTCCTGATTTCTGCAATCAGTTCCAGCCTCGCACGTCAAAGTACCTCCAAGCCTTTACATGCAAATACACTCGTCGTTGAATTCACAACTTCAGTGGAGTTCGATGAGTACAATACTGTCTTGGTGCAGGGTTTGAATGGAATCGTGAAAAATGCTTCTCTTAACTATCTTTCTGCCGTGCGGGGTACTGTTTTCAGCTACAAGAATTTCACGAATGGTATTCTATCGTTTACGATCAACTCAGGAACCAAGATATTTTCAAACTTCACATACTCCTTGTCATTTACTGTTGTTAATGGTGATACAGTGCAACGCGGTCAAAACATCTCAATGCTCATTGTGGGCATCACCAACGGAGATTTCACCTCTTGTGCCTCTGCAAGCGGAGACTCGGCTCCTTTGAGAATACGAGTCTGGGATAGTATTTACGCTTCGCAGTCAAACTCCGATAGAGATTCTGACTTCACTTTGCTACTTAATTTCACCTCTCAAGTTTTTCTCGAGACGAATCAGAGAATAACGGTCAGAGGATTTCAAGACATGAATTTACAGTCAAATCTAATTCTGGATAACTCCACAACTACCTCTGGTCTCAGTTTCGTCACTTTCGAGAATTCAAAACAAGATGCTGTCTTGGTCGTGACGACTACGCTGGCTGCTAGTCAAGTATCACTTGGCGTCTTGCTGCGGCATGGCAGCAATCCAAGAATTGGGAACGATATGTACGTATCTCTCGGGGGGGTCCTTTCTTCATCTTTTGAGTTGGTCACTACCGGAGCATGCGAAGGTCGACCGTTCTACGTGAATTCGATATCAATCAAATCAAATTTCAGTCGCGTGCTTTTGCCTGTTTTCGAATGCATCTCGTGGATATCTGACATTGGTAGCCTGTCCATGAGGCTGAAAGCGGTGAGCTTCTTTTTGATGCTGATTCTTCATGAGTTTTCATCTCAGAACGTCGAAGCAGGAGAGGATCTGCGGTGGAGTATGGATGTGATCAATGATATACACACTCAAGCAGCTCCCAAGGTGAAACGGTACACATCCCATTCGAGGAATGATCGACATCCTTTGTGATAACAGGTAATCGTCGGGATCAATGAGGCAGGATGGGAATATGTCGACACTCCTCAAGGAGAAATGGCTGCGCTGAACATTAGTGCCTGGAGCTCCAGCTCGATCTCACAAACGAGGTTTCTAGACTTGCTCGCTCCATGTTCTTCATCATTGACGAGTGTTAGCAATCAACCAGGAAGCATCAACATCATCACAGTGTCGCTCATGGCGGCCATACCAATCAGGATAGGCTCATTCGTGACTGTGATAGGCCTCACAGGTTCCTTTAATGTTTCTCTTGCAGTAGTTGACTTGGTCGCGGATAGGCACAGCCCCTTTGCCATCAGATTCGTACTACCTGCCGGCTGATTGCGATCCTTCTCCCTGTCTCGCTGTCAATCTCAAGTGGGATCGAAACACTGGGCAGCTTGAAATTCAAGTTGTTCAAGAAATTTCAGTGGGGCAGGTTAGTGACTTTGCTCCAGTGCCCTGAAGCTGTAAATTCTGTTTTGAATGCCAGAGCATGATCGTCAAGCTGACTGTCAAGAATCCAACAAGGACACAGGTCCTTCATGCACGATTGCCATAGCTCTGATTCAATCTTTTCAGCAATCTCCGATTGTTTATATCTGGGAAAAACTTGTTACGACGCAAAATTCAACAGTCATTATTGCACCTGAGCAGAGGATCGCCCACTGTCTAGAAAATTATGATCCACACTACAACTCGTTGTGTTCACGGTATTGTTTGTTTCCTCGTGCTCTTTGTTTGGCATCATGATATCTTTAGGTTTGGAGCAACAACCATTTCGCATAGCAATACAAATCCTCCTCTATCGTGATCAACCTTGAATATCTAACAGACAAGCCGTGTGTGACTGGATGTTTCAGAATCGAGATGTGGGAAGAGGCAACCATTAGTCAAAGCAATCCCTTTCCCGGCAGCATCAAGTGAGCCATTTTGAGGTGTCTTCCCAATGTCGCGATGACTTCGTTCACAGCGAGTTAACATTTTTGATACGATCTACGACATCAATAGGTTACGGTAAGTCGTTTGAAAAGTCGCTGCTTGTCCTTATGTTCCGACCTTCCGCCATTTAAAGGTCACACAATCACTTTCTCCGAATTGCATGGCATAGCGACGCCATCAAGTCCTTCACTCACCTCGCAGTGTCAAAACCCTGCAAATGTTTCTACTTGCAGCGCTGTGGTTGTTCACTTGCCCTGATTCTTGAACGGCCTCTCCAAGTGAGAATGTTATGAACAGGTCGAAGACATTTTCCTTCAAAATATCCAGCCTTCCAGTGGCATCTCTGCTACAGAATGTGGTGATCAGTGGCAGGTCGGGATCAATGAGACCTGGGTACTTGGAAAACAAACTGACGGGGATCTTGTTGCAGAGCTACTGTGCGTTGGCTTACCCGAAATGGAATGCGGAAAGAGCGACACTTAGTTTGGTAATACCAAGGGGAACACATCTGTAAATATTATGCTTCCTATTTGCTCAACAAGTTTGATTGACTGTCATGATTTCAGACTGGCAGGAGTAACCTATGAATTCAAGTGGAAGATCAAAAATGGCATGACCCCACAGACAGCAAGGTTCGATTCTTTTTTAAATCGTCAGATTTGTTGATAAGAGGCCTGATAGTGGGTTGGTATAGGAACGTTTCTGTTGCTGTACTTCCACCACCCTCTTCGGACACCGAACTATTTCAGTCGGACCCAACGTCAATGCGACAGGTATCTTTTTGTGTCAAGGTCCTCCTGATGAAAGAAATCGTATTAACGATGGTCATTAGGACATCTTGAATAGTGATAGCAGGCCACTCTATTTCCTCCCACCGATCGCTCTTGGTAACATGTTCGAAATTTCCTACATCTTCCTCTTACGGACTGTAACTAGATGTATACGTTGGCTGTCAGATGCAACAATCATTGCGAGCAACTGAGGAAAGGTCTTGAAAACTTCTTTGTTTGCCTGAAGGTTGTATCACAGATCTCGTCTTCATTCGTGTTAGACATAGAATTGATTCTCGACGCAACTCGTCCGCCACCCCAGGGATTCAAGATGGAGAGTTTTGAGTGCCTTCATTCGTCGGAATTGCTTGTGGGCGTTCCACAGAGCAACTCCTCAATCAAGTGCTCCGATGTTCATACTGGATTCCTTTGGAAAGCAGCCCAGAGCGATTGGGGTTTGAAGTCGCTGGTATCACTGAGTCTGACTGGATGATTTACATGTTGATTAATGTTCTTTTTGAAGGTTTGCTTCCGAGCAGCAACTCAGACGCCGGTTTCTGTTGGTCTCTGCTTCCAAATGAACGTGCTCAAGTGCATATATTGCATACAGGTAAATCATGAGAGGAGCGCTTTCTCGTGAATTCAACCGTAACACGGAAACAGCAAAACGATTCTTTCGAATCGCTTGCTATTGAATGGGGTGAGCCTGCCTTTGTGTGGCCTGTCTGTTGTTATGCTTACCCTTGCTCAGGATCAAACTGGTTGCAAATCTGGTCTACCAACCTCAACATTCTCGATCCTGCATCGTTAGATATGTATGAAGATTATGCACTTATGCGTACCATAACTCTTATATTCCCAGTGGCCAAAAAGTTCTGATAGGAGGGCTATATGCTCCTTCCCCATATGATACCAGTGCAATCCTGGTCAAGCAATTCGCAACTTCCCCCGAGTCGCTTCGAAAGGTGCGAAAGCTTATAAGAGTTTTCACGTGACCTCTGACTCACTTCGACGTGTTGGAACAGGCGAACCCGAACGAAGAATGGGATGCCGTGGACAATGGAACAGCTTTCCTGTCACCTCACCGCCCCTTGTGTATTATACCCAAAATTTGTACAGACATCTGAGAATTAAATTTCTACATGTTACATGCGCGACTAGCCTGTGGCCACCGGCTAGATGCAAGGAGCAGTGTAGGGGACCATACTGAGCTATATCATGTTATGAGCCTCAAAGAAGGGTCCGGAGGTTTAACTTCCCTCTGTGACCAGGCAACGCCAAGCCTGTATCTAGCACCTATAAAATCCTATTGATTTCTTCACATATTTCAGTTATCAAAGTTTTGTCCGTCAGCGGCGCTATCGTGCCATTCAATGATTTTGTTCACAATCATGAAAACAAGGGGTATGAAGGCGGGGAAACGGGTCACCGGTTTAGGGTTGATCAGAGTTTTTCTAAACCTGAACCCCGGGCCTGAGCCCAACTGCCTTTCGCTTAGGAAGTTCTTTTTATTGACTGAAAATGGAAATGCAAACCGGAGCAAACAAGGAGGAAAAGGAGAAAACCGGAAGTAGGAGGCGGCCTCGACCCTTCAACTTGGCAGGAGATATTCAAATTTTGGCGTGCACTTGAAGCTAAGAGACCAGGCAGTAATTAAACAGCTGTCCTGCAGCTGTCTAGCACATGGCTTCCGAGGCGGATCTGAAGGCATACTGACAACAAGTCGACGCATCGAATGCACATGCAGCGTCGTACGAAGGACTGAGAGGAACTGCGCGGCCCGCAGGTACGATGATGAGGATGATGAAGAAGATGAAGATGAAGATGAGGATAATGATGCTGAGGATGATGATGATGAGGATGAGGAAGAGGATGAGGATGATGATGATGAGGATGATGATGATGATGATGATGATGATGATGATGATGATGATGAGGATGAGGATGAGGATGAGGATGAGGATGAGGATGATGATGAAGATGATGATGATGAGGAAGAGGAAGAGGAAGAGGAAGAGGAAGAGGATGAGGATGATGATGAGGATGAGGATGATGATGATGAGCAGGAGGGTGACATCTAAATTATTTGATAATAATGGTTGCTTTCAGAGTTATACTCTTTGTTGCCTTGATGTCAACTCATGTAATGGACTCAGAGTTTTAGTTCCTGTGATGATGGTGGTGTTTATGATAAAGCTAGTTCTTGAGAAGATATAATTTCCTCGAATACAATCTCCTTCAATGGCAATCTGAATGTGAAGGTGGCTACTAGATGACTTCCAATGAAGATCAACCCACAAAGCGTCGCAAGCGTTTGGACCGCTCACAAGCAGAACGTGAGGAAGAGAGCGTCGAGCAAAGATCGATTGCGAGCAGAGATCTGCTTGAAATTGAGCACAAAGACGACACTCATATACGTATGTGTAGGGGTGTCGTGTGATATCTGAAAGCTTACATTTGAGTTCAAGCCGACTGTTGCTTTCTGGACGAGAGCACAAGAAAATTGAAAACGTTTCCTGTTGGCAAGAGCAATTGTAATCGAAGAATACGATGAAAGGTTGCTTGCATGCTGACAATCTTCAAAGTGCTCGAGAAACTCAGCGAATTTATTCCCAAGCTGAAACGTGCCAACGATGGTCAGCAGGATGTAAATGGAGATACCAATATATGAGTTTGTGAAGTTTTTGATTGGTGCATGGCTCTTGCAGACAAGCAATCAAGAATGTATCGAGGATGTCGATGAGTCGAAGCCATACATACAGCTGGTATCGATTGTTTTTGAGTGTCTTTGATGAAGAATAATCGTTCGAAGGATTTGTTTACGGGTGTCAGTGACAACCCAGCATTCGGGCAGACAGGTTCTGTAGCAGATGAGCAGGTGGTCTTGTAGTTGCTGGTTGGTTGTGAAAGAGATGATGCAGGCTGATACCGGTCATGGAGCTCAGAGACCATCGATGATCGAAGTGCTTTGGTCTTTTTTCACTTGTTGTTTGTGATATCATGCGAAGGTTGTCGAGCCGGAGGACAAAGATAACAAATCATGAGTTTATTTGTACAAGTGTACGACGATATGCTACTGCTACTATCATCCGATTCTATCTACTGCTGATTTAAGCTGGTCCAATACTCGTGCGTCAATCTCAGATTCGGATTCACCTTCGTTGGAAGTTTGAATAAACCAAAGCAAACTTGAGTATCCTGTCCTGACTTCGTCGTAACTGACGTAGCCATCACCGTCAAAATCGATATCCTTCAGCAAAGTACTGATGTAAACTTCGGGCATGAATCCTGATAATTTCTGCTTCAAATCATTCAATAAGCATTGTCTGATATCCATGTTCATGCACGATGAAAACAATCGGAAAAGCAATTGATCTGACTGCCGAGAGGAGAGTGCTTGTATAAGATCTGAAACATGCGCTACATCAACTTTCTCTGAGGCAAATTTCTTCCATAGAGATTTTGCTGATGTACTATCAATCGAGAGATCATTTTCAGTAAGAGCGGCCTCAAAGAACTCGTAAGTTATCGTGCCATTTTCAGAGCGATTCAAGAGCGACTGAACCACTCTTCCCAGACTCTCGTCGAAGCCACTGAGAGAAGGAGAGAAGCGATCTGGACTGCTTTTTGCTTCCACAGGTGAAAGTGAAGGAGCATGTTCAAAACCTCTATCTTCTTCCGCTCGAGTGAGCTCTTGCTCTTGTTTCTCCGGCGACTGTTGGGTCGGTTCCACCCGTGCATGCACATCCTCTGCGAATATTCGAGGGTTCAATCGATGGCGATTCATGACTTGAGTCGCTTGAAGTATTCTCGCCCTTGCGTAAATGAATGCAACAGAACACAGCCAAGCAGGCTCAGCAATCAAAAATTCAAAGAGCAAAGATACTACTGTGGCGTAGATCCAAGCTTTTACAGTGACTTCCTGCATGGATGATCCGATCACAAGAGATGTAAATATTGACAGCGCGTAGATGGTGACCACTGGAACATATAGCAAGTAATAGAATCTCCTTGGAAGGGCCGACCGCCTCGATGTTCGTTTTCTTTTCTTAGCTTCGCGCTTGGGTTGATTTCCTTCTTCTCGTTCTGCTACCTGTGATTCGAATGCACTTCGAATGGGAGGAAGCGAAGGCGGCCGTTGGAGCGCCCCGCTGAGCGCCTGTATACTTGTTGTAGATGCTTTTGGTCTCGAGATGGCGAATTCCTGAAGAGAAAGGATTAGAAGCTAAAATTCAAAAACATCATGTCTACCTCAGGTGTTCGTATTCCTCTCCTCTCGGGTATTCCAGGGATCGTCAAGGACTTTAGACTCGCTTGAGCTTCCTTCCGCCTTGGCGGTAAATTTTCTCCTGTAGAATCCATGGGTTCAAGCTTTTTGCCATTGTCGAAACTTTCGATGTTTGCAGCGACTTCAATGCGTGGTTTACGTATTTTTGGCTCTTGAGTGAAAACTTTGTTTCCATGTCGCTTTTTCGCAGACTTTTTGTCCTTCCGCTTCGTTCTCAATGAAACTTTGAAAATTCCAGACAGAATCGGGTACACAGGGATTAGAGCAAACCCGGTCAAAAGTCCTACCGATAAGAATTGTTGATCCAAGAAGCCGACTTGCTCAAACAAGATGACGTTGAGTATCAAGGTACTGAGGACATAAACGAACAGACATGAAAATTTGGCAGGTCGATCAATCATTTCACTCGGGTGATTCCAGAACAGACACATGATGCCATGTTGTGTGGCAAACAACTGAACCATCTTTCTCTTCCAAAGTTCAAAGAAAAGAGATGAGGATCTAGCTCCGCTCTTCAAGACTTCAGAGTGCAGATAACCCCTCTCAAATAGTGATCGTTTCAAAGCCGGGGATCTCCTCTTGAGTGCGTAGGCGTCCAAGATATAGCCGTAAAGTGCAGCCCAAAATGCGAGGAAGACGATGGAGCTGACGATCATAAAAGGGATGAGGGAGTATTGCGACGTGTTCCGGAATGGTGAAAGTGATAGCTTGCCATAATTCGGAAGGTCTGGTTGCCTGGTCGGAAATAGAATCGCTGAGAAATCAGTCAAGTGGAAACATGAACAGACAAGTACATTGGCTGAGTCCATATATCCCATGCAACCTCTTGACGACCAGCCGTGAGATTCTAACGCCCAGAAACGGCACGTAGGAACATTTTCAGCGACAGAATCCGAGATCCCAAGGATCGGCAGCGAAATTTGCACCGGGATCTGTACATATGGAATATTTCTCAGCAGCCTGTTTTCAGTCACTTGTACACTTGTCTGATTCGATATGCTGGTTCCTTTCAAAAGGGGATGGAAAATTCCATTCCAAACAAGAAGATGTATATCTATAGTGATACCAGGGATCGATGGTGACAATTGAAGGGATGTGCAAGTCCCTTCAAAGCAATTTGGAGAAGAGATAGTTGGTATCAAGTCCATTTGCTCACGAGCCAATCGTTTCAACACCAGCAAGATTTCACTTGAAGTCAGTTCAAGGGTATTTTCATACGGAACATGGCCAATCAACATCGTTGATCCCAGTCGGAGGGCTGAGTCCTCAACCAGCAGCAACGTGTTGTTGAAAAGAGCGTCCACCTTACTCACATCTTTCCTCATCTTCTGGACGATCCCCGACATGGCGTCAAACAGATTTTCAGCAGCAACATCTTGAATGATTTCAAGAGCATCTGAGCCGTTCACAAGGCCAGATATAATACTCATGGCGAATAAGTGAACTTCAGTCAAGGTAGGATCATCCATTATGGACGCTTGAAGAATTGGAGCGCTGATAAAAGTTATGAATGTGTATGATCCAGCTGTCTGATAGTATGTGTTATTGAGGATTTTCAAAATATCCATCGTATATTCTACGTTTGATTGCCAAGTGGTACTTGCTCTTCTTGTAGGCGCTATCCCCTGCTGTTGCATGAGGTACAACAGATTCAATGAGTTGACGACTACACCTTCAGAGTTTCCTGTGTTTGCAGCTGATCTTATGAAGCTGTCTAAATATTCTGAGTACTTGGCTTCGTTTCCATTGTTCAACACTTGAATCGGAACGGTCTTTGAGTCAACACAAGATTGACCCAGGTCGCAAACCACTACGTAGGCTTCATACATAGAGTCTGAGACGTTGAGTTGCAATGCTGGAACGGTTGTTCGAAGCTGGTTATCTGAAATTGAACTGCTCAGCTGAATTTCAGTCTGCCCAGATTTTATTCGATAAGAATACTTCAGGGGGAATTCATCAGAAGAGTCCAACCATCCGATTGCTTTCAGTAAAAAGTAGGTATACAAAGAGAATCCACTCGTGGGAGATACAGTGAAGATCCCACCTCTGGGAGGCTCCCTTACCAACAATGCGATCCTCGATGTACCGGAGGATCCCGAGGCGCAAGTTACTCTGAGCTCAAAGACATAATCCTGACCCTGTACAAGAACATTCGGACGAATGACCAGGTTTGGAGAAAATAAGCTTGTAGTTCTCACTTCAGGCTGCAGCAGATCAATATCACCAGAGAGCAACGACCATTCATAAGATGGTTTGCAACTTTCATTCGCGAATGTCAATACCCTTGATGTCAATACCAATCGATTGTCAGGACTCATCAAAGAGTATGGAAGAGCATTTGTTGAGAGTAGAATCTCTGGAATCTGCTCAGGGATGATGAAAATAGTAACAGAGACCTCGCTTGTTCTTGGACCAGGATCCTTAATCAATTGCAAACTAAAAGTGAGATTCCTTCCAGCGACAAGTTTGGCAGCTGGAATTATGACAATTGCACTATTTTGCAACAGGATTCCTTCCGGATCATCAAAGCATGGTTGCGAAAGACAAGTCCAGAAATACAAAAATGGGTATGGTTCTTCGTCTGGATCAACACTGCCAGTAGCATTCAACACCAGGTCGCTCCGAGAAGACAAAGTCCTGTTTCCTCCCTCTATCACAGCATAAATGTTACTAGGGAGAACACGAATCCGAATGTCGCTGTACACCATGCCCTGATTTGAGGCATTGACACCTAACTTGAGCCTCATCGCATAGCTATAACCAGATTGCAGTGAATTTGGTGGCAAATACAGAGTAGTGCTGTGAGCTGTGTTGGGTGCAGGCCAAGAATTCAGTTGAGTCCCATCGATCTGTGACCAAGAATAGTTGACCGAAACAGCTCCTGAGCATGAAGACAACTTTGTTCTCCCCTCTAAAAATAATCTGGCAGAACGATACATCCAGACCTCAGGCTGACCAACAACAAGCAAACTCGGCACAATTCGATCTTTGGAAATTTGGATTTCGAATTCAGTAAGAGCTCTCTGCTGCAGAATATTACGAATCTCCAATGAAAAGGAGTACTTGGTACCAGGAATTAGATATTCCCGCGGTACAAGAACACGATGAGCATTATTTGACAAGGCAGAAAGGTAAGCATTCACAGCATCATAGTTCACAGGGCCAACACGAACTGCCCACTTATAGATTGCCTGTCGTATACCGGCTCCATAAGATGGTGTTGCGTCCAAGTCAAGATCATCGCACGCACCTATCACCAAGGGAGTACGGAGAATGGGTGTCAATTTCAGTACCTGATTCGGTACCGACAAGATACCACTGTTTGAAACATAATACGAATTTAGATCACGAGATCGCAGTACATTCTTAAGAATCGATATTGTTGTACCCAGCGTAGCTGTATTGTTGTTATCAAAAGTAATAGTAAGTGATCGATCAGAGGTCCACACACATTTACTATCCATTCCCAGGCTATACATAGTCTTGTTTTCAAGCAGATATTTGCAACTGAAAAATCCAGTAAGATTTGCTCGATCCGTTTTCGAATCGAAAGAGATGATCGCTCCCGCTAAATCAGGCTGAAAACTAGCTGAAAGGATACGTGGAGCTGGAGCAGGCCAAATTCTCACTGAAAATGGACTATTCCTAACGTCTTCTCCATCTACCTTTAGCGACATTTGACAGGTGCTCGTTGGATAGGTGGCAACATATTTCAGCTCAATATCAATGCTAGGGACGATATCAACAGTCACTTTTGATCCCGAACAATTCAAAATTGCAAATGTCAACGCTGTCAAATTTTGCAAGACCACAGGATTTTCGAAACGATCCCTAGCTTTGAGTGTCATATTTGAAACCGAACCAGCCTCGGCATACTGCAACCCAAATCCTTGGATGAAAGAATGGTTGGGTGCAACTTGACCAGGGCGAACTTCGATCCAGTACAGCAATCGAATATCCAGATATCTGATAGCAAGCTGATATTCTCCAGCTTGACTTATGAGCATGGGTAATGGTCCATAATCTTCAATAGATAACTGCACTTCCTCTATGGTTAAACTGTTCTCAATTGAGTTGCCGTACTGGTCGAAAAGACTGACCAACAGGTCTGTCGAGCCTACTTCCAACACTCTTTGTCCGAGCTTGAATCCTGCTGGCGACAAGAACAAATTCGATGGATTCACATGTACCGTCATGTTTACAAACTGCAGAGAGTCTGAAGAAGCAATTCTCATGCTATAATCTCCACTCTTGGTCGTTTGATAAGAAATCACAAACGTGTCTGTTGCAACTGACACCATCACCTGTGCTTTCGCGTTTGGATTTAAGAGTTCGACTTCGATCAACCTGGGATACACAAAGTTGGAGAAGTGGTTGCCATAAGAATCCCTCGGAATCAAGAAGAACCTGGCAGGTACTCCAGCTGTTGCGCTTGTGACACTCTCACCTTGATAAACAAAGGTGTGGAGGTCCAGTGACGAAGGGATTACCTGGATTGTGAAAGGGCTCCCCTGGATATGATTCATTTCGAGAATGATGGACATACTATATGCTCCTGCTTTTGTGAGCTCGTATTGCACGATAAAGCTTCCATCCAAGTTATCGACAGCTTTGAGCTCAAAGAAATTGTCTTCCAAGGCTACCGCCACCGAAAAATTTAAGACTGATTTCGTGAAGTATATTCCATACTTGTCGACAGGCTGAATTGTAAATTTACTCAGCGTGCCGGCCACAGACAGCGACAGAGATTGACCAAAGGCAAAGGAAGATTGGACGGATGGAATTGGAGAAATCGTGGGATAAACTCGAATTGTTTTGGGACTATTCTGAATGTTGACACCATCCAGCTTTACAGACAAAATTCCAGTTGTTTCGGATAATCCAGAAGTTATTTCTCCTTGGAGGACTCCTTTTGAATTGTAGCGAACAGTGATAATTTCATTGACGGTGGAGACAGATACATAGTCGGCTTCAATTCGATCTACGCTGACAGAGCTGACCGAATTATTGAACTTATCCAAGAGCACCACATAAAAGACTGTTGCTTGTCTTGCAATGACTGCTTCTGCACCCGGACCAGCAATCTTTGAATTCTCAGCTACCACACTGGATGATTCAACACTGAATACATAAACCATATCGATCGTATTGTAAGTCGTTAGGAGAATTCTAAGATTCAAGACGCCACTCTTTGCAAATGAAAAATCAATCAACCAACTACAGTCACCGAAGTTTGCAGAATAACTTTTAGCTATGGCAATCTGATTGTCTTCAAGTAACTGATATTGAAACTGGAACGAAGAAGGCGAACAGATCCAATTCCCAAAATAATCATACGAATGCACCTTGAGACCGTACAAGTTACCAGCTACGATTGTGCTGAACTGATTCGAGGAGGATATGTAGCCTCCTTCCGATAAAGTCAAAGGAAATAGATAGATTGTGACAACAACAGCTGGACTTTGATTGATTTTAAGTTGCATTATGTATGTTCCTGAGATTTTTCCTGAAAAGTAAAATTCAAGGTGGTTCTTGATACCCGGTGCATACGGAATCAAGGTGTAATTTTCACTTTTTCTGATTTCAAGTAGGAGAGAATCAAAGGTAGCATTATCATTTCCGTACATATCCTTTGCTAATACGTTTAATGTTATGCTTTCTTGGACTTGACCGCAATAAGTAATTGAATCGTTGCAAGGCCTGAGAGTTGTAAATTGAAACCCTGTGCTTGCCATCCAAATATCTGCTGGTAACACTTGAACATGATATGGACTTTGAAAAATATCTTGTCCGAGATGCTGAATCCACAATGTCAGGTTGCCACTCTTGGTTGTGAGAAGTTTAAAGTCATAAGTCCCATTCTTAAAATCCTTCACTTCAGACTTCAATGCCCCACCTTTGATGAAGCCATATACATTGAACAACTCCCATCCATCGTAAATCCTATTTCCAAACTCATCGAATGCATGTATAGTCCAGCGGAATGGAGTTCCAGCTGTGGCATCTAATCCTCCATTTATGTGAGAATTTAGATTGCTAAATTGACTTGGACGAACAGAAAGCGTGAAAGGGCTATTCTTGACGTGAAGTTCTTCATAAAATATCGATAAAGATAATCGGCCGGAAATTGTGCTCAGATATGTGCACCCATACGTCTCAGATGACAACTTGCTGCAAAGAAGTCTAGATAAAACAAGATTTTGGGACTTGTATCCATAAAATGTAAAATTATCATTTATGACAAGATTTCCAAATTTGTCATGCGGCAAAATCGAAAAACCGGTTTCTAATCCAGCTATCGCAAAGTATATTCCGAGACCCTCAATGACACAATGTGGTCCAAAAGGCTTAGATGATTGCACTTGTATTTCATATGGCGATTGGCCAAGAATCACATTTTCATATAACAAAGAAATCTGGAAGGATCGTGAAGAATTTCTCATGTATTCGATTAAAGTAATCTCATTTGAAGTTTGCCTTTGATAGAACGAGAATTCAGTTGAGCTTGAAATAGACAATTTTTCTGGATCCTTAGAATTACCAAAGTCATCAAACAGTAGGATGCGAAACTCAGATGCAGTGCCTACCACAGCATTGCTGATGCCAATCCCATAAATCACACTTCTTGAGTTTGACACTTTCCCTGGAAATACCTGTAAGCCTTCCGAAATGATTTTAGAAGACAGTACAATATCATTGCTAGACCATTCAAAGAAGATTGTATAATTCCCAGTCTTTGTTATATCATAAATGATATTGAAGTTGCTTTCAGAGGTATACAGTGACTCAGTAATGGTTGTCTCACCATTGCTTGAAATGTAAACACGTAGATTATTTCCAGATAAGAATGATTTTGAAGGATTTAGATAAACATCCCGAGGCTGTATTGTGAACGTACCAAGTACACCTGCGCTACAAATTGACAGCCCATGGCCATAAGATGTAAAATAATTTGGATTGGCATAAGATGGAGCAACGAAAATTGTGAATGGACTCGTCGAAATATCAATTCCATTCAATTTTATATGGATGGTATAAATTCCAGAGAACGTTAGTAAAGACTGAACTTGGTATCTTGAATTTGTAGATTCAGTACATGAAATCGATTTCAATGGTTCTCTTCCATTTGTTGATTCCAAGCTGCAGCTGTCAATTCCTACAAAATCTGACTTGAAGTACCCAGCTTCGGTCACAGGTTGTATCATGAAAGTGTTGGTGATTCCTGCTGTTGCAATTGTGACCGGTCTTTGCCAAAGCAGCGATTGCTTGGGAGAAATTACATCGCTGGCTTGGTTCACTATCGTTATGGAAAATGGACTGCCCACAACATGTTTTTGGTCCACCGTCACATCCACAAAGTAACTTCCTGGGGTCGAGATGATAGAAAACGCTGCAAATTTGGCATGCTTGATGTCATATGGCTGAGTCAGCAAAGGAACAGTTCGTGCACTTCCATAATCTCGCAAATCTATTTGAGGATGTGCAGAATTTTGTAACAGCATCAAATTACCAAACACATCTGAAACATCAATATAGATTGAGAAATTTGTTCCAGCGATTCCTCCATGAATAAGGCTACCGTATACCATAGAATTGTTGACGTCGACTTCTGTTGCTGGAAAAAATGTTACTTCAAAAGGATTTGGTATCAATTGTTGATTTAGTCCAATCACAAAACAGTATACTCCAGCTCTCGTTGCAAGAGTCTTTAATATGTAATGACCTTGAGGATCCAATTGTATATTGAACTTAGGGGTGATGAATTGATTACAGGTTTCATATAGTTGAATAGAGTCGTTTTTGACTTGAACAGGGTTCAAAAATGGATCATGAATGGAAATATTGAAATCAATATAACGACCCACTGTCGTTGATACATCGTTCAATCTAATATTTGTTGTTGTCAAAGAAGCAGCCGAAGGTAGGACTTGTAAAACATCCACATAGTTCCTTTCTAAATTCGGATCGAATTCACGAACAATCAAGGAGTAATAACCAGTTTTGGTCATGACATATGCAACTTGCCAGGATTCATTCACCCTCTGAGTGAATAAGGCTTTTGTAACGTTAGAATCATTGGAGACAATTGCGACATTCAATGCAGGTGGATGATCTGTATCAGTCACCCAATAATTTCCAAAGACGTCTTTCAGATTCAACAGGAAAGTCGACTGCACCCCAGCTGTTGACACTGTCAATCCAGGTCCACGAAGCGAAATCGAATTGAACTCGACATCTCCAGGCAAGACTGTGAGGTTGAAAGGACAACCCAAAAGATGCTTTTCAGACAATTGGATATCTACTTGAAAAACTCCTGATTTTGTAATGTTGTAATAAATCATTAGCATTCCATTGACAGTTTGGGCTGTAAAATTGTACTTGGTATGCTCAACCAACAATTCTAAATTACCATTGTAATAAGTTGTTGGATTACTAAGAGAATCTCTTAAAATATATGAAACGTAGGCAGGAACACCTGCATTCACCGTATATTTGACTTCATTTGGTAAAGTAGTCACAACACTAGTCGGGCCTGGCACAACAGATATGTTTTTGATCAAATTTCTCACAGGAACATCATCAAATTCAACTGTGAAGATATATTGTCCAATGTCTACATTTACGAAAGTACAAATGTATTTTCCATTGCCTTCGTCATACACTTGTGCAATCTTTCCAGGAGCTGAATTCAACCTTGCAAGGAACGACATTCCTCCCACAACACAAGGATTTTGAAATCGGTCATGTGATTCAAGAATGACAATGCATTGTGTAGTGGCCCAGCATTCGTTAGGACTAGATAAGATCGAGTTTTCTATCAGTGCATATGAAGGATTTACTTGCACCGTAAACGTACTCCCGAAGAACAAAGCTGCGGTTGAATTGGGCTCTACCAGTGACATTTCGAGTGTATAATTTCCACTTACAGTTAACAATTTCTCCAAAAAGATACTGTTCTGACTAATAGAGAATAATGACATTGGAGATTGTGAGTGATTTATCCAAACAGTGATGTTGCCCAATACTTTGGTAGAAGGATTTTCAAATACGTCTTTGCCATATATTTCAATTTGCAGAAGTTCGCCAGCGACAATGTCCGGTTTCACATAGACATGAGTGTGGTTGATGGAAATTTGCAGCGGAAAAACCGTGAGCCCGAGAGAATGATTTTGCAAAGAAAGAGGTTTCTGATAAATATATACCCAAGCTTGGTATTTTCCAGCCTTTGTAATAGTTGCACTTGCTTGCACTACAGAGCCCTTGAATTCGAAAGATCTCATACTGAAGTTACTTGGGCCATTTAATACTGCTGAAATAGAACCTTGATCTATCACTGGGTCTAATTGGATTTCATTTCCATACTGATCCTTTGGATAAATGACCAACGTAAATGTGCTATTTGCATTTATACTCTCCGGAGATATAGCAACAGCTGTGATTTCTGTGTTCAATGAACCTGGTTGGACTTCAATATGTGACTTTTCATTCCCTATGATTTGATCTTGCAAGAAGATAGCAATACTGTAATTCGCACTGGCTGTCAACAAGACTGAGAATTGGTATAAGCCATTTCCGAGATCGTTCAATGGGATTGTGGAAGTGGAGAATGTTGATTCGATATTTGCAAACAACTTCTGGCCCCCTTTAGACAGATATATTCCTTTGTTATCCACAGCTTGCACAAAGAATTGATTCGATATTCCAGCGTAGATATATTGTAGGGAGGCACCAAACCAAAAGCTCCTTCGGCTATCTATGTTCCCAGAACTCGATCGCACAACAAGTTGGAAAGGGCTGTTCATGATATTTTCATAGTGAAATTGTATGAACATGGTAGAGTTATATTCCTCTCCCCCGTAGGCTACTGTCGTGAATTCAAATACGTATCGACCATTTCCGTGATAATGGGATAAAAGATCCTCAGCTGCTGGCGTAGTAACATTGAATTCAAGCCATGAGTTGTCCACTGTATTTCCATATCGGTCCCTTCCGATCACTAGGATCGACACCCTCACTCCTATTTCGGCAAAAAATGTCCGACTTTCAGTTTGGTTGATGGAGAACTGGTAATTAAATGCATCTGACGACGGAAGCTGAATAGCAGTGCAGAGATTTGGTTCGAGGACCCCACTATGAACGTAAATCCTGAAAGGACTCTGCAGGATACCTTTCGAGTCAATTTCAACAAACAGAAGGTAAAAACCAGCCTTTTCGCAAAAGTAATTACCCCAATATGTGTCATTCTTGTTCGTTACGTAAGTTTTGCACGGACTGCCCATCGGACGCACATTTTCACTAATATAAAGAGAAAAACTGATGTCATCGTTAGGTATTGCAACCTGGTTGGAATAGACATCATTGACTTGAATACGAAAGTTGCCAATTGTTCCAACCGTTCCGATTGAAATTTCCCTTCCAAATATTCTACACATACTCGCAGTTGGAGTTGCTGCCGTGACATTAAGATTAATTGGTGAAAAACTGAAAACATTGAACAATCCATTTAGACTGATCTTGATTTCATATCTTCCAGATCTTGTCGCAGTCATTCGAACCGAATATGTACCATTTTGATTATCAATGACATTGATTGCATCTACCCCAACAGATGGCCCATTGATTATTCTTGCAATAATCAAATCTCCTCCGTTAGTGAGCTTGTTTCCAAATATGTCAACTAGTTGGATTACCGCATCCTGAGTCAGAATCGGATTTTTGCCATAAAAGCGCTGATCGTTCAAGATGAAACAATTTGGTCCGTAAGCATTCGATGGATGTACTCTTATGGAATATGGACTGTATGTGGATATGGTACCGTTGTAGAACAATCGTAACTGATAGTCTCCACTGGCTGTCAAATAGAATTCCACGTATTTTGCATCTATACCCTCGATGTAAATGTTACCTATTTGAACACCACCTTCACTAACACTTTCTACGTAGAAGAGGTCGGGGATTCTGTCTATAGTATTATTGTAAATATCTTTTCCAATCAAATCAAAGTATGTGTGATTCCCAGCAAAAATAAGTCCGTCAACAGTCTTGTGTAGTGAACATAATTTTGGGCTAATCAAATCAGACGGTTCAATATATACTTGAAAAGGAGTATCTCTTAAGTTTTCCAAGTATGGTTCTAATTTGATTCGGACACTGTATATACCTGCTTGCGAAGTTTGTACCTTACAGAAATATTGTCCATTCAATTCATCGGACAATTCGAATTCGGGCAAGTGTCCATATTTGTCGAAAATATCAATTTTGAAAGTGTTCCCACCAAGAAGAAGAAGATTGTTGTTCCAATCCTTCGCTTGAATTACGAACGCCAAACCTATTCCTGCAGTGCCAATGGTGAGACTGTCCGACACCAAATAAGTGTACATCGGAGAGGTCTGATTCAGTGCAACAACGCCAGATAGGGGATAGTTGTACACATCAATACCAGTAAATCGTTGTCCAGCTACATCGACAGTGAAACGCAAATTTTTTCCAACACCTCGCGATGTCCTAAATACAATTTGCGTATCATTTGTCAAATTCGGAATGATTTCGGTGTGAAATATTTTTGTTGGAAATACACTGGCATATGTCAGATTTATAGATGAAGGATCAGGACCAAAATTCACACCCTCAAGAATCAAAATATCCCCACCTTGATTGCTAGAAGCATTTACCGACGAAAACAGTGATGCGGTACTGTTTCCATCCACGATGTTTGTGCTGGAGCTTTGATTGGCAAATCGAAGGGTTCCTGGAAACATCAACGGTCCTGGGTAATTAAACAGGTCTTGTCCGAGAGGTGAGAGATATTGTCCCATATAGCTAGACAAAGTGAAATGTAACTTTGTGCCAATTCCTGCTTCTGATATGCAAAGGGTGTGACTCTGGTTCCAAATGATGCTATTGAACCTGTTTAAGCAGCGATATTTCAATTTATCATGCTCTGGACCGTAAAAGATTCTAGTATTTTCCGAGAAGGGTCCAAAGTTTCTTCCGCTTATTTCTAATATATCGCCTCCCATGGTCGAAGTTCCAACGACAAGCTTATTGAGTCCAGCGGATGGTTTATAATCATTTTGCAAGTTTCCAAACTTTGTCAGCAATTCGAGTGTCCCGCTGTATATCACAGGATCAGGATATGAAAAAGTGTCACTACTGATGGTTTGCTGCTTGCCAACCTTGAGCAGTAGTGGCAGACTGGTTTTCACACCCGATTGAATCACACATTGTATTCGACTATGATTGATCGGTAACCCACTCCAATGGATAGATTCACAGCGATACAGTGATTGAAACTCTCCATTTTTACAGTCTGACTCACACTGACCAATTTCAATATCAACCTGATCCGAGCTTGGTCCAAAGTTTAGACCATCAAACTCAAGGACGTCAATTTCGCCTATTGTAGACCTTCCGATCGCCCTTATGTTGTTATAGAAGTCCTTCCCTATATTAAAGCATCTTGTCGGCTCTGAACACTGTTGACCGACAATTCTAACCGACCCTGTTTTCAAATATGGAGCTGGGTAACTAAACACGTGATTGCCATTCGAAGTTTGGTCTGCAACAGTTATCAAGATATTGAAGTCGGTACCCACACCTGATGCTGTTACACAATAAACAAAAGTTACACCATCAGATGATTTCTTCAAATCAACAGTAGCACAAAGTTGAAGGTCTGTTGATGTATCATAACTTAGGAGCCAGTCGTGAGGTTGATCTCCACAATTGCGGCAAAGGAGCCCTACAGTATCGATTCCACCCAAGGTTGTTGTGCCTGTAATATTCTCAAAGAAAACAAGAGAATTAAAAAAATGCAAGCTCTTTGAGACGATTTCGGGAGGTGGAAAGCTGTATGTGCTTTGAGAAATTATCCATTGTCTGCCAACAGTGATATTGAATCTTAATCCAGTTCCAACCCCAGCAGGTATCCAGCACAAAACGAAAGATTCATTCACTCTCACTATATCACAAGAATACTTATTTTTCTTTGAGCCCGCTCCAAATGTGATGGCGATGGACGACAAAACTTTTCCCATATTTGCTCCATATATTTCCAGGGTATTATTAGTTCCCAAAAAGGGACTGACTTTAATGTCATATTCCTTCGGTAACGGGTAATTCAATATGTCATTTCCAACAGTACTTTGACCATCCACAACAATTCTCAGCCGTAGATGGTTTCCAGTTCCACCTGAAGATAAACATACAATTCTGGAATCATTAGACACACTGTGTGAGACTGAACAGAAGTACGAGTTGAATTCTGGTGGATGCCCATATGTCACTGCGATTTGATTGACGTCAGGTCCAAAATTTTTGCCCGAAAACGAAATTTGTTCATTTCCACTAGTGTCAGAGAGCACAACAGAGTGTGCCGAGGTCCCTTGTGAACCGGATCCCAAGGAAATCGTGTTTCGGAATATGATAGGGCCATCAAAGGAGAAACTGTTCGTCAAAGATGAGCTCAATCCACGGACTGTTGATACAAAGGCAGCATTGATTCCAGTCCCTCGAGGAATAAGACATTGCATACTTGACTCAGAGATCCAAGGAGTCGATGAACAACCAGTCCGTCCTGCACGAACCGAGGGGGTGGAGTCATAGTACCCAAAACCAGAGCCCCATATCTGTACCAAAAACGAACCAACGGCATGGCAGTTACCAACCGATAACTGAGAAATAATAGGAAGATCGTAAGACAAAACAACGGAAGAGGTTCCTCGACTGCTTACAGAAATACCCAAGCGCATTGAACCTTGTACATAATACACAGGAGAAAGTAAACAAAAAATACTGGTCTCAGATTTCCAGTCCGTCCCCTCGCACCCCGTCCCCCCTGCCCTCCCCCGCCCCGTCCTGTCCCCGGCCCCTAGCCCTGCCCCGCTCACCTCTACCCTCCTGCTCCCCGTCCCTGCCCCGTTCCCGCCTTGCCCCGTCCCGCTCGTGCTTGCCCCGTCCCATGACCACCCTTTTGCTCAAGCTCCCCGCCCTCTCCCCCGTCGTCACCGCTACCCGCCCGTTGATTGTTGGCCGGGATTGGTTTTGAGCTTTAGGCTGGTTGCTGATATCCATTCTGTTTTCTGAGAGGCAGAGCCTTGTATGCTGATTGAGTTTGAGTAGAGTTTCTGAGCTTCAAACAGTACTTGAATGTATCTTGTTGATATCAGTGTTGGAGCGTTTGTGCTCAGGAGAAATATGTTGTTGTCTGTGGAAAACAACTCGGTGGACGTTCCAACCTGGATTGCAGTAGTTACGGCAATGTTTTTGCTCCTTGCAACGTAGGGAAGAAACTGCGACTGAATGTCAATCGCTTGATTCACAAGGAATTGGTTCCTTACCTTCACAGTCATTGTAGTATCTGAAAGCCAGCTGCTCTGCACAATGCTGGAAGATTGGATTCTACTCGCTGAGCTGTAGTCTGCTGTAGCATATCGGCTCCCGTATAAAACAATGCTGATAAGACTTGTCGGTGCTGCATTTTTTGAACTCAGATCTGATATTCCAGGGCTATCATAACTGACTATGTCATAAACTTTTGAGTTTGTGTTGATGGTAAACTCAAGACTTAAAGTTGCACCAACACCCGGGGACGCGGCACATCGAATCGAAGTACGGGAGGTCCATACAACTGGATCACACACTGTTCCACCAAGTCGAATGCCATATGATCTGAAACTTTGTAAACCATTACTGATTATGGTGAAAAGCCCTCCTTGCGTCGGCAAGTTATTTGGTTGTACAGTCACCGAATTTGATGATATGAATAATAGAGAAAGGCAAAGGAGCCAGTAAACTGTTCTAGAGCAGAGAACTATTTGCGACTGCATCGATACCAGTGGTCGAACAACAATCAACGGCTCTAAGTATTCTGTTGGCTATAAGAAGATAAGCAGGTTTACCTGCGGATCTTTTAGTCAGCACCGTGAGTGTCTCCTGCAGTATCCCTGTTTGAGTCCTACGCTGACACAAGCTTGCAGAGTCTTGGTTCCACCTTGTCTTCAACCTGATACACCTGCTAGCTCCACAAACTCGACCTTCCCCGACTTCATCGCCTTCCCGCTCTCCTTCCCTCCTTTGGTCGCAAGATATCTTTAGAGGAGTGTCCTTATCCTGAAACGGTTGTAACGGTTTGGAACGGTCAAGTAACTGAGGTAACCTTTGGACCAGGCACACGGTCTCAGTGTTGTTTTACTCCTGCGCATTGAAGAGTAAAGGTTGAGGTTCCTTGCGCCTTTCATCTCACCATCACTGATGCGGCAGTGACCGGGGGGGCCGGTACTGAACTTGAACCCTGGGATCGGACTCCGAGCCTCCGGCTAACGGCCTCGGATATCAGGCCACGGTCACCCATCCGATCATCATGCTGGCAGTGACTCCGAGCCTGCGAGGCTGTGAAACGGCGAAGCAATAGTCCCATTACGCGCCGGGATCGCATGCCAGCCTTGCCAGTCAAATAGCGCCGAGTTAACAAAACTCTCCTGTAAACCAAGACGACCCTAACCTCAAACGGAAAGCCCCCTCTTCGTCCCACACGCTACATCGGCCGCCTCGCCACGTAAGTCGTCTTGGTTTACAGGAGAGTTTTTGTTAACTCGGCGCTATCTGACTGGCACGCCGGCCTGGCATACGTTCCATCAGTCTCATCGTATCTTGACTTTGAACACTGCTGACATTCTCATTTCAGAAACTCGGGGGCATTCGTGCTCCCTCAATTCTGCCACATTAAACTCGGCCTTCAAGAGCCGAGCCTGCGGCCACATGCACTAACAAAGTTGTGGGCGAGTCCGTCAAGTCAGTTCCGGTCGGATCCGAGACGGGGTCAGTCCGAGTCCGGTCGGGTCGGATCCCGGCCCGGCACTGCCACAGGCACTGCGGCACTCGCAGGGCCGGGCCCGGCCGGGCGCCGGCCGGTGACCGTACTCGGGGCCTCAGGCTCCGTGTCACAGTGTGGTACGTAGTACTTTTACTCAAGTATTATTATCTGCACTACCAGATTTCGAAAATTGGCGCCGGTTAGCCGCTCGTCATGGCGTGAGGAGGGTGGCTGTTCGCCTACGGGAATCAAGGTAATCATGCATGAGCCTCTTATTCCTGTGTCTTCTCTTGCCATCTCTATCGATGTCTTTGTCACTGCCATGACCATGGCCTTATTACTGTTCTCACAGGTGAAACGAGCAGTTTCGGAAGGACATGGAGAGGTTTTCTGATAGCCTGAGGCACGTCACTCAACATACTCTAAAAGAACAAGAGCAAGAGAACGAAAGAATTCAGAGCGAAAATCTGAACCTCAAGTTGCGTGTACAATACTTGGAAGATCTTCTTGGGGAGAACTCTGACTCTGCACCTTCGTAATATGCTCTTAATCTCGCGTGATGGCACAAGCTTCATAAGTCCTGAGCCTTCTTCTTTTATAGGTACTGGGACTTGCAGTCAGCGCTGAGCAGAGAGAGGGAGCGTATCATTGAAGAAGCTGCTAGAGAGGTTCCTGCGAAGAGGGTTTACCGGTGCTTGACGTATTTCAACAAGGTTTCTGAGAGAGACGAGCTTCTTGCAGCTGCGAAGTCAGCTCAAGATGATTTAAGGTTGGAGAACACAAACCTTGTAAGCCGAGTCGAGCAGCTAGAACGAGAGATCAGTGATTTGAATCAGCTGTTTCAAAGCAAGGACGAAGAGCAGCGGTTGCAACATGAAAAAACACTTGAAAGAGAAATAGAGAATGCCAGAGCCATTGAGAGAGAAGCTGTTGAGAAGCAATATGCGTATGCTCAACAGATCGAGAGAGATACTCATGAAAAGGAGATTTCTGATTTGAAGGAAAGATGGCAGCAGTGGCACGATTCTGAAGTCGACAGAATTACGGCGGATGCGGTAAGCAAACATGGTGTACAACTAGATTCGCTTTATGCTGAGGTCAATAGGCTTCAATCAATTATGAATGAGAACGCGCAGAGACAGCAGGAACAATTATCTTCGAACGAAACCAGCTACAAATCTTTGGAAGATCAATTTGCCAAGCAGTCCAAAGATTTGAGAATTCTCCAAGAGTTGCTGGATGAAAGAGTGCAGGCTATCGACCGTTTGAAAGAAGAAATACATTCCCTTGAGTGCTCCAATCAGGCCTTGGACGAGTCCATGGCCAAGAGAGATGCGGAGATATCTGTTTTGAAATCGGAAAACAAGAAATTGCAGTCTACTTTGGATATTTGCTTGACAAATGAAGAAGAGTACAAATTTATATGTGAAAAAAATGCCGTCGAGGGTGTTGAATTGAAGGCGGAATTGCAAGGTTCTTTTGAATCTCTGTCTAATTTTCTCTCTCATTTCAAATCATAGGTGTCAAAATCAAGCTCTCCGAATCAGAAAAACTTGTGATGGATTTGAATCACAAGCTAGCTCAATTGCAGGTGGACAAAGAAGCAGTTTCAAAGCTTGAAGTTGAAGCCGAAGCTAGACAATCAAGAGTGCTTGAGTTGGAGCAAAACTTGATTGAATCTGAGGGGCAGAGACAGGAAATTGCTCGTGAATTGAATATCAAGAATCAGAATCTGATTGAAAAGGAAGCAGAAGTTGCAGAATTGACGAACGAATTGAAAATCATAGAGCAGAAATTGAGAAGCGAATCCAACACGGCAACATGTGCACAAGAAAAGCTTTTGGCAGAAATCCAGCTTCTCAGAATGAGCATGCAAGAGAATGAGATTGAAAAAGAAAGGGATCTGAAAGTGGATGAAACCAACGGTCTTTTGCGCCATCACGGGGTGCAAGATGGACGTTCACAGGTAAATATAGTTGTCAAAGTAAGCTTCGATCTTAGTGTTGTGCATTTACAGCAGGTGGAAAGCTTGAAGAAAAAGGTGAAACAACTCGACTCTCTGCTTGACATGGAACGTGTCAAAGTATCTTCCTTGAGGGATGAGATTCACAAAGTTCAACGCGACGCTGAATGGAGACTTGAAGAAGCACAATTGGAAAGCAAGGACAGAATCAGCAAAGTCTACGAACAACTCAAACTGAAGACGCTGGAATGTGCAAGATTGCAATCCGAGATCAAGATGCTGAAAGAAGAATGGAATGGTGCACTGGACAATGTAGGAAACTTGAATACGACAGAGAAAGACTATGGAACACTTGTGCAAGAAAATTTCCACCTTCGTAAAGAGATGGAAATCTTGCAGCGCAGCTTGTCGGACACTCGTGAGGCTGCGCAACAAGCTTTGAGAGAGAGGGAGTCGGCCTTGAAAAATTATGAAAGAAGGCAAAAAGAACTTCACTCTAGTGCACATCAACAACAAGCGACCGCCGAAAGGTTGATGGAGGACTTGAGAATGCAGCTAGATAAAGGTAATTTCATCTGTGAGAGAGAATTTGTTTCGTTCCAAAAATTTTCCGCAGCAATTTCCTCGCGAGACCAAGCAGTAGCAGATGGCCGGGAAGAAAGAGAGGTCAGTGTGGTCCTCTAGGTCATTCAGTAGGTACAGTATTCACTCTTGTTCCACACAGAAGTTGAACCAGATGAACAAGTCCTTGCAGCTGCGATGTTTGGAGTTGGAGAAGTGAGGACTTGACGATTCGCAAGCTGATCTAAGACATGCACATAGGGAACTGCAGTCAATGAGAGGAAAGGGTTGTGAAAGTGGAGGGCTTGATGTCAATCAAGATCCTTGGAGAAGCTTGAAACAGGCCACCGAGACGATTCGCCTCCTGGAAAAAGAAAACGAGCGAATCTCAAGCAAATATTCGATTCTCAAAGAAAAGTACACCTTCTTCGCTCAAGTCGGCAGCTGACATGTGTCTCAGGACATCACAATTGTACTCTGAGCGAGAGCGGGCAAATTTGAAAATGGAAAAGTTGAAGCAACAGGCTCATGATCTAAACCAAAAAAATTCGCAGATCCATGCACAACTGACTCATTCTGAGAATACTTGGAAGCGAGAAAAGGACGAAATTCAGCGAGAAATCTCACAAATGAGTCCTGTGCAAAACGAAAGCGCAGGGATGCAAAGACTGCGTGACTGCAATCGAGTTCTGATCCTTGAGTTGGAAGATACCAGATGCAGATTGCTTGAAGAGAAGAAGTATATCTCTTGTTTTTGTCACGATGGCAAGGAATGAGCTGACATTGATTCGCCAGACGTCGGCATGAGGCTGAGAACTTGTCGAAGTGTTCACGTTGCGGCTCCTCGTCGAAATTTTCCATCAACGGGGAAGTGTCCAAGAACGCGTCGCCTCCAGCGCAGGGGCCAATTCTATCTCCCGCCCACCCAAAGAGCTTTCACGACAGCAACTCAAGGAATGTCTCTGCACAGAATCTGCAGGTGAGAGAGCTTCTCCCTTGCACGTTGAAGCTCATTCAAGCTCATCACAGGTCGCTCTCACCGTAAAGGATATGCAACAGAGCCCCAGTGTCTTGAACCTGCCATGGTCGTCAGCTGATGTCTTGGAGACTTCATCCCAGATGCACTCTCCTTCTCCCTCGAAGCACCCCGAGGGCATGGATGCTTCAGCGTTGAACTTGTCAGGAACCACGGTCCGGCACCTCAGCCAACCGCTCGAGAGCCCCAAGGTCCCTCGTGTTGCCTTGCTAGCTGCTCTTCTCCTCACAAGGTTGCCTTTCCAGCTCTCGACGATGATCTCTTCTCTGCAAGACCGTCTTGCGAGGGAAGGCCAAGGAGACTCTGGCTCTCTTGACGACCCTAATGCCATCGCACTGGCATCCAGGTATGACACTCAGACTGGTCGGCTGTTGCTGAGCTGCTTTTTGGACAGGCACCAGCAGCGGGATAAGAGAGTCAAACAGCAGGACCTTTCTGCCCGCAGTCGCCTCCCCCTGACTCCCATCACCCCTGGAGATGTCAACAGGATCCACAGGTGGTGAGGAGAAATACATGAAACGATGAAGGTCGACACATTTATTTAAGATTCACTAGCTTAACGACTGAATTCTCCTCTCGATCCGACATAGCGTAAATTAAAGTACATTTCAGAGAAGAATACGAATATATCTTATTCCTTGTTGCTGTTGCAACGTACAAGTTTCTTGTAGACCTCAGGGTTCAAGTGACGGAAAGACTTGTGCTCCTGCAACGACGGTCAAAGTCTACCTCACTACCCGTCCTCCCGGTTACCTCAGGTGTCCAGTAGGGGTATGTGACGGTAACCCAGCTCCGTCGATTCCAGATGTCTCGGATCGTGTTTGTCGCGACATGATAAGCTTTGGCGAACTGCATCGACGTCAACATGCTGGTGGCGAGGAGGAGAAGGTGGACATACCTTAGCGGCGTGAGTTCCATTCATCAGAACTGCACTTACAATAGCCGGCCTCTTGCTGTAAATCTCCACCGCATCTTTGGCCGTCAGGGTTTGCGAACGGAGTCGCTTTGCCGGACGCAATGCTTGATCTTGGATGCTGGTGGGGATGAAGGAGGGCGTTGGCGCAGCGAGACCGCTAGACGCCTGCAGCAGCTTGGGATCAACTAGCTGATTCTTCCACAACATAGTCGCATGGACGGGCTTGAATGCACTGAGGCTCGACGAGCTCACAGGTTGAGCAAGCCATGCGGCGTTGGAGCCACCCAGCTTGTGTTGAGAGGCCTGGTGGATCAGCAGTTTCAAGCTGGGAAGAGTCTGTGGCGACTGACTGGAGCAGCAGGTAGCCAGCACATGCAATTGTGTCAATACGCTTGAATCATGCACCACAGCTACATCAGAGCAAGTGCCGCTGGATGCAGGATGCTCGTTAACATTCGGAAGGAAAGTCTTCATCTTCGGCAGCACAGTCTGCAGATCCTTCTGGTCGACATGCATCCAGTCGTCTGAGGTAGCCTCTGAGGCCAAGTTTGAATCACAGGCGATGATATTCTCGATTCTCATGCATGGGGCCATCGTACGGTGCTTCTGATAAAATGTTGACCTAAAGACCTGCAAACAGACAAGGTCATGATTGATCTACCTCGAGTCACCGTTGATACTACTCTGCAATCCCCACATGTCCATCTCGTACTGGTTTATTTCCTCGATTCCTCGCAACTCCATCACTCTCTCACAACCTTTCCGACATCTCCTTCTTCGTGACTCATATGGGTTGTACAGATTTGCGATACCATCAAATTCTCTTGATGATATTTCAGCTCTTTCCTTGCTGAGCAGATCATTAAAAAGTTGCCAGAACAGAATCTTTCGCTCCGAAACTCAGTTCGCCAGCACAATCGCCTGTACTTCTTTCACATCCGACCCTGTTCCCCACTTGGTTGCCTCACTTCCTCCCTATCTCTGATTCCCTCTTCGTCATCCTTCAAATCCCGGTGGGTGCATAACATCAAACTCGCTTCCCTCCCTCCTTCCCTCCCTCCTACTTCGAACACTCTGAGTTTGTCTTCCTCCCTCACTTCCTCCTTTGATCAACTACAAGCTCTCATCCTCATGTCCTCTCACCGTTCCTCCCTGTTCCCCTCATATCCTCGCCACCCAACTGCACCATCGATCCGTTGTTTCCCTGGCTCCCGTTCCTTCTCAGTCGCTTGCTCTGTTGGGACTTTCGGTCGGAGTTCCCTTTGTTCCTTTGACATTGGCGGGGTCTGACCCTACCCACCATGTAGGGTCAATTTCGATGGAAGACCCCACTTGAATTCCTACTACCGGTGACCGATCAAATTCCTATCAAGTTTTAGCCATAGTGAATGTATTTATTGTAAATATTTTCAAAATCTTTTAAAACAATTTGAGGTTGAAATCAAAATGCAGAGTCCTGTGTACCGGTTTAAGAAGTAACACTACCCCTTGCTGTATCAGTTGATCGTACCCCCTACCCCCTTATTCGGCTTCCCTCCCCGCTTCCGATACGCCAACATTTTGGTTCTTGGACCCCCCACCCCACTGATGACTGAACTCTATCTCCGTCAGTACCCCACCCCCACCTCACCCCTCGGATCACAGGCTGGTACACGGGTGTAGTGTGCTGAAGCACTACCCCCTTGCCGACCGATGGTCCGGCACATCAAATAGCAATATACCCACCTCGATAAAATTGGACCCCAATCTTAATTAATAAAAATAGGGGTCCAAACGTCAATATATATCACCCCCACCCCTATAAAAGAGTATTCCAAAGGGTACACCCCCGTCTCCGACCGGCCATTCTCCGAGTCGTCACCGAGAGGATATAATAAAAAATGGCGGTTTTACTCCCTACAAATATGTAAATTTGATATATGGCAAAACACAAAATTTTCTTCACAAAGATAAAACATTTTAGTATATTACAATACAAAATAATACAGATCAATACAATCTCGATCAGTACTCCGTGGTTTACTTTTTGTACCTTTAATATAAAATATTGGTTTTAAACCAGCCACTGTTGCCCGAGTTGGCTGGCATACCCGGTGCTGCTCTTTGTCATCTCGGGGCGTCGATACGTGCAGTACCTAGCTAGCTAGCTAGCAACTCTGACTAGCCTCGTCACCCCCCACCCCCACCCCCCTTTTCGATAAAAGAAGACTCTATGTGACCACCCCTACCTTGCAAATCCCCAATTCCACTCGAGAGCGGCAAAAATGGCGGGAGTGCACCACAGGGCACAGCAGCTGGTGCGAGGGGCATGCGGAGCAGGCATCTTGTGGATGATGATCAAGGGCGAACGGAGAAAGATGTTGGAGACGGGGGGTGGCAAGACGGTGACGGAAGGGACGTGGACGATGCGAGAGAGTCGCACTGGAGCTCCGGATCGTCGGGGTGCAGAGCAGCAACATAATGGAGTGGATAGCACTTGTATCGGGGTCCCTGCATCAGATGACGGCTTCCTCGTCAGTCAGATAGAGGCTCTGCGGAAAATTGTAGAAACGGTGGAGGTGAAGAGGGAGCAAGCAGAGCAAGCTCTGGTCGCCATGAACAAGACTCTGCAAGGCAATAGAATATGAATATAAAGCAACTCTTGATGATAACGTCTTGCACAGATTACAAATCCAACTACGTTCATTCAGACCAATGCAAGTCTGTTTTTATGGGACTGTTCTCCCTTGAGATGGTAATTGTAGAACCGTTTGATATTTACAAGCGAGGGTTTGCTGATTTCACAATGCAGGTTGTGTTGACGTTACTTGTCATGACTGTCCTGGTCTCCATTGCTCTCATGATTCGCCGCAGAAGAAATGCTCTGTTTGAAGACAAAAAGAAAGAGGTTCTGAAACTAGAAAAGGATTCGACCATCGTCGTTGGGGAAGAAGTGAACAGCTCTATTGCAAAGGCATTTCGAATCTAAAGCGGCTCTTGTGACATGCTGCATGAATAGGCATTCGAGATGTTAGACAGACTGGAAGAAACCATGAAGAAAAGTGAAGTGCAGCTCTTGGACTTTAAGTCGAGGGTCGACAAAGATCAAGTAATGATCGTCCTTCCTTTTGCGTAAAAGTCTGTGATTGGAGCAAGTAGAAGGCTATGGAAGACTTGCTTAGAAGAAATGAGGTTTCCGTCAAGTCCAAATTTGATTTGAGCATGGTGTAACAATCAAATTGTGCAGGATCTTGAAGATGAGTTGTTCAACACGAAAGCTGTTTGCAGAGAAGTCGTCATTGCCTGCTATTCCCCTTCCTGTATCTCAAGTTGACTCTCAACCAGTTGGCTTCGGACCTGGTGATGTTGAGGGCGATGAGCAAGAAAGGTGGAAGTGATTCGGATGTCTCCGCCTGAAACTCGTGGGCAGGCAGCATGGAGCTAGTAGGAGACACTATAGCGCTTCCATCATGATCACCAGACGGTTGCGGTACATACCGTACGTCGAGTCCGAATTACCTGACACCCTAAAAAAAAATATCTGTAAAAGAAACAAAATCTTGATATGCCATCGGCTGGTTTTCCGCTCTCCGATTTCACCGCCGGGGGTACTCGTTGACCTCATGTTTGATTTTTTTGAAATGCTGTGCACACAAAATATCTGCTGTCAATCGAAAAGTTGCCACAAATATCTCCAATTTAGGGTACAATTTTTGAACTTTCCGATAATTTGACTGTTCAAACCAGAGACCCTTGGGATGATATGAATTTCCGATTCCACCCCTGTTTCCAAATCAAAACCACCCCCTTGCTCTGGTACCCCCATGGAAATCATCCCCCACCCCTATTTGGCACCCCTTCAACCCCCTATTTCCCTATATACCTTTCCAGTTGCCTTTTGTGTCTGACTACCCCCCCTATGAATATTGTACCTGACTGCCTCAACCACCCCCTATCGCCCACTCTCTCTCCTCGACAACACAACAAGCAGGGCGCTGCGCTTGTGCTTGGGCTTGTGCTGGCTTTGTCTTATTGTCTTGACATGCTCTTCAGGTTGCAGGCTTGTTGCCATCAGCGAGGACTGGCTTCCCTCGAGCATCTCTGCCTCTTCCTCGAGCAGTCTCACGACGCCTCCTCTTCTCACAACCACCAGCGAGAAGCTCCTGCTGCCGTGGGTCAAGCGGGAGGTGGAGGTGAGAGCGACAGAAAGAAGCTGGAGGAGCGGAGTGCGAAGTTGGAGCAGGTTGGTGCGAGTTTGCGATGTGCTTACATTGAGAGAGAGCGCAGGAGAATTGGGAGCTGAGAGAAGAAGTTCGTGAG